CCGCGGGCCCGACCCCGACTCCACCCCCCCCACCCCCACCCCGAGGCCCACCCGAGCTCCACCCCCACCGGGCCCCACCCGAGCCACCCCCCCCACCGCGGCCCCACCCCCCCCGAGCTCCACCCCGCCCCCCCAGCCCGACCCCGCCCCCCCCCCCCAGCCCCGACACCCCCCCCCCCCAGCCCCGACACCCCCCCCCCAGCCCCGACACCCCCCCCAGCCCCGACACCCCCCCCCAGCCCCGACACCCCCCCAGCCCCGACCACCCCCCCAGCCCTGACACCCCCCCCCCAGCCCCGACACCCCCCCCCAGCCCCGACACCCCCCCCAGCCCTGACACCCCCCCCGCCCCGATACCCCGCCCCCAGCCCTGACACCCCCCCCCGCCCGACACCCCCCCCAGCCCGACACCCCCCCCAGCCCCGACACCCCCCCCCAGCCCCGACCCCCCCCAGCCCGACACCCCCCCCAGCCCTGACACCCCCCCCCCAGCCCGACACCCCCCCCAGCCCCGACACCCCCCCCCCAGCCCTGACACCGCCCCCCCGCCCGATACCCCCCCCAGCCCTGACACCGCCCCCCCGCCCCGATACCCCGCCCCAGCCCTGACACCCCAAAAGACCAGTCAAAGAGTAAGTCTCATTCAGGCTTTGACAGTGCTGAGTGTCAAGCAAGTCAGAGGGTTTCTGGGATGACGTTCCAAAGAGCGGGGGGTAGGTGGGGTGGACAGGGCGGGGGACATGAAACAGGCTCGTGCTCGCTGAGCAAAAAGGAATGGCCTAGTCGATAGGGCTTGAGGAGGTCATAGAGGTAGGGTGGGGCAAGACCGTGGAGGGATTTTAATGGTGAGGATGAAGATCTTGAACTCGATCCTCTGGGGGATGGGGAGCCAGTGGAGTCATCCAAGGATGGGGGTGACAGACTCTTGGACCCTGGTGAGGGAAAGGACACAGGCTGCAGAGTTCTGGACAGTCTGCAGGAGCTGGGAGTCCACCGAGTTGGAATAACGGAGCCTGGACCCAATGAGAGCAAAATGATAGTGGTCCGAGCTGGACAAGCAGTGGGAAAGCTTGCCAAACAGTGCTATCAATGGTGTATAAAATGGCAGGCTATGCAGTTTTAGCTGGTTAGTTTCCAGCATTTACCCCAACTCTAGGGGTATTCTGGGGTCCCCCAAACTGCTCTAATACTTTATGGAATTAGATAAGTGTAATGCGTCCCTCCGGAGAGAGAGAGCGTGTGCATTCCGTGCAAACAATCTTATCTCTGGAATTTGCACGTGTAGATAGGATGCATAGAAACCTCAGTTTGGTTTGGGTAATCGTAAGCACGGTGATGTGTTTCCGCATGTGCCAGACACCCGGCTGACCAAAAACATACTTCCCTCCCCCTCTCGCTCCTGAACCAAAAAGGAAGGACACTGAGGCCGGTGTAATATTGAGGCAGTTTATTGGGTCTCAGAGTGAGGAAGCGGGGGGCACATCCTCGCATGGACAGGAAGCCAAGGGTCAATGACAAAACATCCAGTAACATTACATCACAGCCTCGAGACCCCCAGTGTCGGGGTCTCACACTCTCTCATTTCTTTTCTTCATCACAATTCTTTCCCCCTCTCAGTCAGCAAGGTTTTGTGGGGAAGTGGAGATGGGGTGGGGGGACATTCTTTCTGGAATCTTCAATCACTGTCATTTACGTAAATAATAATAATAATCTTTGCATTTGCAGGAGAATGCCACAACGGGAAAGGTGCTAAACCACACAGCAGTGTCCCACAACAGCCGCGAAGTGAGTGACCAGCTTTATTTGGGGGATTATTGGCCAGGTCACTGCGAGAGAGAAACTCCCTTCTCTTTTCAGATAGTGCATTGGATCTTTAACATCCACCTGAACAGGTAGATGGGATCTAGGTTTAACTTCTCATCTAAAAGGCTGCACCTTCGACAATGCGACACACCCCAGTTTAGACGATATGATTCCAAGTCCCAACGCGGTGGCTTGAACTCACAACCTTCTGACTCAGAGGCAAGAGCGCTAACATTGCACCAGGCTGACACACAAAGTCAGGACTGGCCAAGAAGGAGCCGTGGCAGATGATGCCAGAACCCATCAAATGTACACTAGGTGGGTGGTGGGGTGAAGAGAGACCCTGTAATTGTTGGGCACTTTTTGGTCTACTTTATTCTGGTCATTTCTCTTTTCCCCCTCTCTACTCTCCCTCTCTTCCTCTCCCCACCTGTACTCCAGCCCCCACCTCCCCCTCCCTCTCTGTACTCCCCCCCACTACCTCCCTCTCTCTCTCTCTTGCTCGCTCTGCTTCCCCTCTCTCTCTCTCCTCTCCATCCTCTCTCCTCGACCCCTCCTCCCGCCCTCTACTCTCTCCTTTCTCTTCTGCCATCTCTCCTCTGGCTAAACAAGACCATCAGGAGACAATAAAATCAAAAATAAAACGTCCTATAAATCTTTCACCAGTGACTGCTGTGTTCCTACCACTGATGAGAGAGAGGGTATTCCCCCACCCTCCCACACACTCCCAGCAATGACCCTCTGCTCAGTGATGCCCCTCCACCACACTCCATCTCTTCACAGCTCAGCTGGTCTCACCCCCTTAATTTTGACGTGTGTCTAATAATAATAATAATAATCCTTGCATTTGATATCACGTCGTCAGATGTCTCAAGCGCTTCACAGAATATACTATAAAGTGGAGTGACTGTGTATTTTGTGGGTGAAACGCGGCAGCCAATTGTACACAGCAGTGTTCCATAAACAGTCATGGATTGAGTGACCAGTCTTTTTTTGAGGGCTTAATACCCCGGAAGGTGATCCGCCAATCAACTAACAACTGGGTTCCGACTTACTGCTGAGTAAACAGAGGCGTGTGGAGTAAGGAAACTTGCCTAAAGTTTCACCCCACCCAGGAATCGAACCCAGGTCCTCTTGCTTGTGAGGCAAGCAAGCTAACCACTACACTACGGGACTCCACTGGTATCTACAGCGCGTCTCATTGAAGTAGAGGCTGGATCATGAAACTGCACCCTGGACTGCAAGGCCATTGGTGTGAGTCACAACTCTTGAGTGTGGAAGTGTGAAACACACCCAATGCCTCTCATTACACACGTGGGCATTTATATATTTATACATTTATTCATATAGAGAAATGACGATGTGTTACTCCAAACATTGGAACGTGAGTATGCAAATTCACACTGCCAAATGCATGTGTGCAATTTCACATGTCTAAATATATAAGTGTGTAACCACACTTTTCAATTGTAAGCGTGCAAATCCACATTTCTATATGTACAAGTGTGCAAATTCACACTTCTAAATGTATGAATCCACGTGTGTGAATATGTGTACATGCAAATGTACACTTTTAAATTTTCAGTGTACAAAATCACACTTCTAAATATATGCGTGCACGTTAATATTCCTAAATGTATATGTAAAGTCACATTTTTTAGTGTGTGAGTGTGCAAATTCACACATCTAAACATGTGAGTGTGCAAATTCACACATCTAATTTTAAGTGTGCAAATTGACACTTTTAAATATGTGGGTGTACAAATTCACGCTTCAAAACGAGTGAGCGTACAAATTTACATGTATGCTAAGTGTGCAAATTCCATTATTTTAAATGGGTACACCAGTGAATGGGTAAGCGTGAGAATTCACACTTCTAAATGGCTGAGTGTGAAAATCCGAACCTCGAAATACAGTATGAGCGAGCGTGAAAATCTCTACGTCTGAATGTGTCGAGTGTGCAAATTCACAGCTCTTAACGTACAAGCGTGTGAAACACTGCCTTTGGCCTCTGCAGTGACAGGCACCAGACCGAGAGGGAGAGGGACTGGTGGGAAGGCAGGGCTCACTCTCACTGTCAGAGCCCCACATCCACAGGCCACAACCACAGACACCAGCGAGGGGAGGGATACACATCACATCGGTGTCAGACGTAGGAACCACGTGAGCACCATCTTCTACTAGCAGCAACATTTAAACACTGCAACACCATGCCACGGATCAGACCGCTCCTGCTGCCTCGCTCCCAGCACCCGGGGGTCTCGCTTTGTCCCTTCAGTCCTTCCCGGATACGCTAAAGATTCCCTCCGATGAGCCGTGGCACACGAAGGGAGACCCTGTGGGGGAGAGAAGAGCATCAGAGAAGGACAGAGCGTGTGATGTGAGGGAGGTCGACCTGGGACATTAGGGGAACCCATTCGAACATAAAAACATAAGAAATGCTAGACGAAAAAAGCACCGAGGGCCATCTACTTTGCCTTCCACTTTCCTGGCGGTCGCGTGCACATATGGCCCGAACTACCTATGTACTATATCCCATAAGGTTGTTTCCTAAAAGAAAACTAACTAATCTGTGTTTGAAAGAATAAACACTTCCTGCTTCAACCGTCTCTCTAGGGAGCCTGTTCCACAGGTTCACTATTCGCTCACTGAAATAGCGTTCGCGTAGATTCGTTCTGAATTTACTCCCCTTCAATCGCAGGCTGTATCCTCTGGTTTAACTATTCTGGACAAGTTGAAACAGCCTGTCATGATCTACATTGTTTTGCCTCTTTAGAATCTGAAAGATAGCAATCATGTCGCCTCTCAATCTTCTCTTTTCCAGCGTGAACATGCCCAATTTACTTAATCGCTCCTTATTGTCCAGTCCTTCCATTCCTTCAATTATTTTGGTTGCCCTCCTCTGCTCTCCTTCAGCATTAAATACTGGTAGCCAAAGGTACAGCCATGTCCATCATTGGTTGGTGAATTATTTGTGGGTTTGGTGGATAAACTACTACTAATAATAATATTATCACAGAGAAGGGAATCTCTCCCTGTGTCCTGACCAGCGCAATCACCCGGATTAATTCTTAGTTTATGTCATGGCTGTGCACAGGACTTTGCTGTACACAAAATGTTGACAATGCACTTGGTATCAGTTATCTTTTGAAACATTTTGCCTTTAACCTCTTTCCCCTGGTGCAGACGGAATCTAGGTGGGAAGCTGGGAGCCTCGATTGTGGAGCGGTTGCACATCGAGTACATGGGGCAGCTCCGGCTGTTCACCCTCACACAACTCCAGCATCACTTCGGAGACAAAACGGGGTAAGTTCCCGCTCCACATCTCCTGTCTACTATCGTAATATAATATTAATTCCTGCATTTGATATAGCGCCTTATCACATCAACAACAACAAAATTACATTTATTGAGCGCCTTCACGTCGGGAGGATGTCCCTAAGCACTGAACAGTCAGGTGTCAGGGCCCGAGCATGGGGGGAGGGGGTGGTGGTGTAGGGGTGAGGGAAGGCAGAGAGGTGGGAGGGAGACCAAAGGCACGATCGAAGAGAAGGGTCTTGAGACCGGCCTTGAAGGATGTAAGGGAGGAAGCGAGGTGAAGGGACCTTGGGATGGAGTTCCAGAGTGTGGGGGCAGAGAGGCTGAAAGCCCGGCCACCGATGGTAGGACGGGTCGGGCGGGAGATATTGGAGCAGGCCGGAGCCCGATGAGCGGAGGGAGTGGGCAGGTTGGTAGGGAGTCAGCAGGTCAAAGAGGTAAGGGGGCAAGGCCATGGATGGCCTTAAAGGTGAGGACAAGGATCTTGATCTCGATCCTCTGAGGGGTGGGGAGCCAGTGGAGTCGGGCGAGGGTGGGAGGGATGGGGTCACGGAGCCCAGTGCGCGAGAGTATATGAGTTGCAGAGTTTTGGATGATCTGCAGCTTGTGAAGGGAAGAGTTGGGAAGGCCGATGAGGAGGGAGTTCCCGTAATCGAGCCTTGATGTGACAAATGTGTGGGTGAGGGTTTCGGTAGCCTGAGGGGTGAGGCAGTGGCGGAGTCTGGCAATGTTGCGGAGGTGGTGGTAGGCAGTGCCAGTCATGGCGCGGATGTCGGGGAGAAAGGACGGTTCAGGGTCAAACAAGACACCCAGGTTCCTGACTGGCTTAGTGAGGTTGAGTGTGCAGTCATGATTATCACATCATCAAGACGTCTCAAAGCACTTCACAGGATATACTGTAAAGTGTAGTGACTGTGTGTTTCATGGGCGAACACGGCAACTGAATTCACACACAACAATGTAGTGTTCCCTTTGCCTTCTGTTGCTGGAGTTTCGTTTTGTTTCCCTTGGGTTGTTGATTGTTATTGTGGTGTTTCTCCCTTTGATTCCTAGAATTTAAAAATTAACCTCCAGGCTTGTTACTTACAGTTTGATTCTTTTTTGGGAGCCGGGTTAGGTTTAGCAATCCAGCTGGTTAGAGTTGGGGGTTGGGTTGAGTGTTTGGGGATGGAGTGAGCTTTAGTGTTTAGGTTCAGACTGTGTATTGTTTAGGGTTACGGTTGGCTGAAGTTGGGGTTGGGTGATTGTAACCCTGTGTCTGTGTCACAGCTCCTGGCTGTACGAGCTTTGCCGAGGGGTGGAGTTTGAGCCACTCCGACCGCGGCAGCTGCCAAAATCCATCGGCTGCAGCAAGATTTTCTCTGGTAGGACAGCTCTGGCCACGTGTGAGGAGGTGAGTGGTCACTTCCTGGGATAGAGGGTCGTGGTGGGGTGGGGGCCGGGACTCTGCCTCTGGGCTCTGGGTGAGAACACCACCATGTAACAACATGCATTTACACAGCATCCTTCACGCGGGTAGTGTCTCAGAGCGCTTTACCATGGCAGAGCTTGACGCCAAGCTGGGGAGATAGGGAGGAAGGTCTTGAGGGGCAATCTGTAGATGGACAAAGAAGGAGCAAGGCGGAGAGATTGATGGAGAAAGTTCCACAAGTTTGCGGTGTAGTGGCTTAAAGCACGGCTGCCAATGGTGGAGGAGCCGAGGGACATGTAAAAGGCTGGAGCAAGCTGAGCAAAGGGGACAGGTAGAGGAGTTGGAGGTAAGCAGGCCAGAGGGATGGGGAGGAGCTGCGCACAGAGTTATTTGTTATTGAGCGTGAGGACCTTGAAATAGATTCATTCTGTAATACATGGCCAGGAAAGGACTGGGGTGATGGGGTGTGGTGTTATGTATGGATGAGGATATGGGTGGCTGAATTTTGAATATAATAATGATCCTTGCATTTGATATAGCACCTTATCATGTCGTTGAGACATCTCAAAGCGCTTCACAGATTATACTATAAAGTGAATTGACTGTGTATTTTTGGAGCCAAAGGCCACAATATGCAGTTTTGAAAAGAGTAACTGTCGAGTCTTGTCTCTCTGCAGATCCGATTCTGGCTGCTACAATTGGCGTCTGAGCTTGAGGAGCGACTGACCAAAGACAGAGACAGTGTAAGTGCCCTTGCCACTCCCAACAAGAGGGCAGTTTCTCTCCCTGTATCCTGGCCAATCCTCAAAATAAATTGGTTATAATAATAATAATTCTTGCATTTGATATAGCGCCTTATCACATCGTTTAGACATCTGAAAGTGCTTCACAGGATATGCTGTAAAGTGCAATGACTGTGTATTTTGTTAGCGAAACCTGGTAGCCAGTTGCGCACAGCAGTGTCCCACAAAAAGCCATGGAGTGAGTGAGCAGTTTTATTTGGGGGATTAATGGCCAAGACATCGGGAGAGAGAAACTCCCATCTCTTCTAGAATATTGCCATGGGATCTTGAACAACAACAAATTATATTTGTATAGTGCTCTTCACATTGGGAGGATATCCCAAAGCCTGGACAGTCATGGATGTGCACCCAAGCTGGGGGTTTTGTTCAGAAGGGTTGGAGGGCAGACAGGGTGGGGTGGGAGGGTGACCGAAGGCGTGATCGAAAGCACGGTCTTGAGATGGATCTTGAAGGAGGCAAGAAAGGGGCAAGGTGAAGGGATTATAGGATGGAATACCTAAAGGTGGGGGCAGGAAGGCTGAAGGCCTGATCGCTAATGGTGGGGTGGGCAAGGTGGGGGACGTAAAGCAGGCCAGTATGGGCTTAGCAGTCACAGAGGTAGGGAGGAGCAAGGCCGTGGAGGGCTTTGAAAGCGAGGATGAGGATTTTCAACTCTTCTGAGTGATGGGGAGCCAATGGAGCCGGGCGACGATGGGCGTGATGGGTTCATGGAGCCTGGTGCTGGAGGGGACATGAGCTGCAGAGTTGTGAAAAATCTGCAGCTTGTGGAGGAAAGAGTTGTGAAGGTTGACAAGCAGGGCGTTAGCATAGTCAAGTCTGGATTTGATGAAGTATCCAGGGTAGTGGAAGTCTAGAACTCTCTCCCCCAAAGCCTGTGGATGCTGGATCCATTCACATCTTCAAAACTGAAGTGGGTGGCAATTTGTTAGGTCAGTATATTAAGAGATACGGTACAAGATCAGGTAATTAGACTTGAGGTACAGATCAGTCGTGATTTTATAGAATGACGGAACAGGCTCGATGGGCTGAATGGCCTGATCCAGTTCCTATGATTCTATGAATGTGTAGATGAGGGTTTCGGCAGCATGAGGGGAAAGGGAGTGGCAGAGCCGGACAATGTTGCTGAAGTGGGGGAAGGCAGAGGGTCATGGCATGGATGTGGGCTAGAAAGAACAGTTGAGAGTCAAACAAGACACCAAGGTACCGGACTGGCTCATTGAGGTGTAGAATATTCATCAGTGGTTGGTGATGCTGCCAGCACCCAATGTGTGGAGGCGCTGACGGGAACCAAGGAGAAGGGCCTCAGTCTTGTTGACATTCAACTGGAGAAGTTTAGCTCTCATCCAGGACTTGAAGTCTGACAGACAGTCCAACAGTCCACCTGAACAGGCAGATGGGACCTTGATTTAGCGTTGCATCCGAAGGCAATGCAGAGTTCCCCCAGCACTGCATTAGAGCATTAGCTTACACTATATGATTCCGAGTCCTAACGTGGGGCTTCAACCCACAACCTTCTGACTCAGAGGCGAGAGTGCGACCAGTACGCTAGGCTGGCACACTAGGTCACTTCAGTGGGTCACAAGGGGATAGACCATTAATAAACCCTGTGTTTCTTCTTCCACAGAACGGCCGTGTGGCCCAGCAGCTGCTGGTGGGTGTGCGGTTGAAGGATGGGCACGGGCTCTCACGCTGCTGCTCTCTGCCGCTCTGCGAGGCTACAAAGATTGCTAATGATGCATTTGCGCTGATCAGGAACTGCAACAGAGCAGCGGGACCGCAGGCTGCCTGGTGAGTGTGCGACCAACAATGCATGCAGCCTGACCAATGAATGGACCAAATGGCTTCTCTTTGAAGGGAAATGGCGCAGGTTCGGAGTCCCATGGCCGAGTGATTAGTGTGCTCACCTCACAAGCGAGAGGACCCGGATTTGATTCCTGGGTGAGGGGGAGGCAAGTTTCCTTATTTCACACGCCTCTGTTTACCTAACAGCAAGTAGGAACCCAATTGTCAGTCGATTGGCAGATTTCTTACTGGGAGTAATAAACCCTCCAAAAAAAACATGGTCACTCAATTGATGACTATTTATGGGACACTGCTGAGCATAATTGGCTGCTGTGTTTCGCCCACAAAATACACAGTCAATTTACTAATATTTATAATATATTCTGGATCGCTCTTGAGACGTCTCAATGTGATAAAGTGCTATATCAAATTCCCCTCTCCTACACCCCTCTCGTTCATCCCTCTATTCTCCCCTCCTATACTCCTCTATTCCCTTCTCCAACCTCTGTTGGTTTAGGGTGCGCAGGGAGGTGGGAGGTGTTGATGAGTTTAATGTTGAAGGTTGTGGGAGTAGGCAAGGGATGGTGTTCAGGGAATGGGAATAATCAGCCAGTCTCACTCTGTATGTTTCTCAGTCTTGGATATTCCCGTGTTCCTCAGGTCTCCATAGTATGTGTCACATCTGTGATTCATAACGGAGACTGTTGGAGTAACTGTTACCGAGAGCAAGGGGTGTTCAAGAGCCTATGTTACCTAGCCTTGCTTGCCGTAGGGCATTAGCTTGCTCAGATTCAGTGGGTGGAGTCTGGGATTGGTTGTTGGTCCAGTCACCATCTACCTTTTTCTGTTTCCCAGGTGCCCGGCCGTCACGTCCCTCTGCTTGAGTGCTAGTAAGTTTTCAGAGCCGCCCACAGCTCTGGCCAGTGGAATCACCTCCTTCCTCAGCAGCGACCCTGCTCCTTCCCACAAGCCGCTGCCGGTGTCTCCTGTAGCTCGGAGAGAAGCGAGCAAATCGGGATCAAGCCACAAGCCAGTGGGCACTATCCTGTCATTCTTCCAGGCAGCAGCTGACAGTAAATGCAAGAGCCTTGAAACCACAGCGACATCACTTCCTAGCTGCTCGGACGATATTGAGGTAGTCGACCGAGAGCCAGACACGAGCTGCGCTGACGTGTTGACCACATGTTTGAGAAGCGAGGAGAGAGACTATGCCCTTGGGCAGGATTTCAGAGGTTTCTCTCCAAGCTTGAGGCCTTCCTCAACGCAAGAACCAAGCAGCTCTGAGTGTTTAGCCACCGCTGCCGAGAGTGTGGGAAATGTGTCCAACGTGGAGAGGAACTTGCAGATTGATGCTGGGTTACTGGGCAGCACTCTGCCAGGAGCCTGCGCCTGGGAACTTGTCCCTGGGAAGGGGGTGACGGAGCCTCCCATTTTGGCCCCGGAGGATGTGGCACGGTGCGAGAAGTGCGGCGAGTACTTGCCGGTGTGGGACATGCCCGAACACCATGACTTCCATTTTGCCCAGAACCTTCAAAGCTCGTTCTCCACGCCGGTGCCCGGCCCACTCTGCAGCCCCCGCGCTCGGGCTGGGGCTAGGGCCAGGGCTGGCTGTGCAGCCAGAGGCAAGAGCAAGAGAAAGCAAACACCTGCATCTCCCGCCAAGCGCTCCCGGCACCAGCGTGAGCGCACACTGGACCTTTATTTTCAGAAGCCAGCTGCTGGCAAGGTGGGCTGTCAGGACACTGAGGAGGAAGTGGTTAATCAGTGAGCAGGGCAATGCCTGTCTGCATGTTTTGCACATATACAGGGTAACCAAAAAATCATGATACTTTTACAATGTCTAATAAGTTTTAAAGAAATGATGATATATATTCTTCTAACTTATACTAATAAAATGTCAATGTCTATCTGTCTGTCTGGTGATTCTGTGTATCACGCAATAACCGATTGACGAAAAGACATCGGAAAGGTCTTGCATCTGGTAGTGTCATGGGCATATTTGTTTTGGGGGATCTCTCTATTGTTGATGAGCTATATTAAAAAATACTTTAAGCCTCAACTTGTGAGGTATGCATTGTATTCTGAAACTATGTAGCGACAGAGAAAAGCATGCACCATTTGGAGAGGTACATCTGTGACAAATGTATGTCACTTTTTTCTGGTTGTCATAGGAGCTAGAGTCTTCCAATGTGGGACAGATAGAGACTGAGATAGTGAGAGGGGCTGAGAGAGCGAGCGAGAGACTGGGAGAGAATATATTATAAATTGTGGTGACTGTGTGTTTCGTGGAAGAAACAAAAAGACCGAGAGAGACAGACAGAGAGATTGAGATACCGAGAGACAGGGAGACCGAGAGAGATAGAGAAAATATATTAAAGGAGTCCTCCCAGCTGAGTATAATGTTAAACGAAATGTCTGTCTGTATGTCAATCTACATTCCATGTTGGATCCTTTGGTTGCAAGCGAAGCTGCAATGGGTACAGCTAGTTTTAGACAATAGGGTAGGTATCACGACTTTTGGTCATACAGACACACACTTACAATTACGTAAGTCACTGGCAATTAATGGGAGAAAAATAACAACTGTTGAGACAAATTAATAACGTCTAACAACTGTCGAATAAAGTGCACAGCTCAGCTGTCCGTCATTTAAAGATTCGGCTTTGACTTTGTAATCAACAACCCCAAGAAAAAGGTTTCTGGTCAGAAATCAGACTTCATGTGTGATGCAAGACTTGTGCTGTTTGTGAATTTACCAACTGACTTTGATACAGACATTTGTCTATGCTATTGACCTGTCTGTTGTACTTGTGATAATTGAACTGATAAAACGTTCACATTTCTTATTAAGTAAAGAATTTTCAAAGCATAAGTTGCTGAGTGTCTTTGGTTCCTCTGTTCTTGGCTCCTTAATTAAAGGAAGGCTGTAAAGAATAAGCTGGTCTTATTCTGCTCATTGCCCAGATCCCAACACAGTAAAGATCCCTCAACATTGTCTATTCACACTCTCGGGTCAGTGCCAGCATGCGTTATTGAGAGAGTAAAGTGCCCTCTAACCTATCCGTCCACACACTCAGGTCAGATAGAGCAATGGTTAAGAGACTTAAAAGTTCTCTCTGCACTTCCAGGTTAGCTGTTAGATTTATAATTGCTGAGTGCAGTTCTCCCTACAACAGATTGGGAGGGGTGGGTGGGGAGTGTTAGCAGCTGGTCTGAGCTTTCCTGGGGTTGCATCAGCTGCCAACCTCTGCCAAATAGTCAGCCCACCCCACCTCAGTAACGCCTCAAAACCTGCTATCTTGTGGTTTCACATGATTGCTGTTACTAACCGCGACTGCTGCTTTCTGTTTTGAATGATAATAATCTGCTTCACCGACTATATTGTAAAATGGATCGACTGTGTATTTTGTGGGCGAAACACTACCATATAAATACTTATATAAAGGTAATTTATTATATACTTATATAATTTATAACATATATGAATACCAGGGACAGGGTGAATTATAGGGCACTAACTGACTTCTGCCTATGCTAACCCTGGAACAGAGGTAGAAAGTTTCTAAATGAAAAACAGTATAAAAGAGAAGAAACACTTAGTCTTTGCTGTAAAATCTATTAGCAGTTAGGTTTATTGGGATGTTCCAAAGGAGGAAAGACTGGATATGTTGGAGCTTGTTTCCCCCCTGGGGATTGAAAGGCGACCTGCTAGAAGTATTATTAAAAACACTTGACAGCATTCAATAAGTAAACCGTTTCCACTTGTTGGTGATGAATTCCCACTTCCACATGTGTCAAACACCCAGCTGACAAAAAGTTTAGGAGGAACCGGTTTACACATTGGAACTGGTTTGCCATAAGATATGGTCAAAACAAAATAAACAATGTTTTAAGGAAACTTGAATCATTCACAAGAGAAAATGGGGGGATTTGAATGGGTCACTGCTCAAATGCACCCAAACTAATTGGTTCAAATGGCCTATTTCATGTAATTATAATCCTTATTTTGTCTCTGGGACTCTGTACACAAGTGGCTCCATATTCACCCTGGCTTTGAGATTTTACAGCAAAGACTAAGTGTTTCTTCTATTTTATATTGTTCTTCATTTAGAAACGTTCCTGCCTTTGCTCCAGGGTTAGCACAGGTAAAAGTCAGTTAGTGCCCTATAACTCACCCTGTCCGCTGAGCTTCTGTCTCACCCATGGTTATAAAGGCCAGTATTACTAAGTGTTGCCTCAGACAGCATTACATAGTATTGCCTCAGCCGTCTTTTTGGCCCAGGCTAGTCAGCCACTAGTGAACCCCTCCCCCAGGCTGAGATCAGCTCACTGTCAATACGTTTCACAGCTGCTTCCGCCTTATTTGCAAATATAAGGTGTTTCAAGCAATAAGGCAGTGCTGGTGAACACCGACATCATAGGAGGAAAAACAAGTTAAAACTTTATTTTTTTTAAAAACAAATCTCTGTACATTTTGTATATACAGAACATAATGTACACAAAAGCCTCAATGTCCTTTATATTACATTTAACAAAAATTAACCTCGTTTTATCCCAGGCACTGGGAATGCACCACAACAACTAATTTGTATACAGAACAAACATCAAACGTCACAGAGAATTTGCAGATCTCTGTGAATGAGTCTGAAGACTGAATGCTACTCGTCTCCTTAGCTCCGCGATGCAGCTCACAATCACGTAACAAAGCATTGAGAGACTGTGACAAAGCAGCACATGAGGGATTCTGAACTGTGTACACACATGGATTAAAGTCTCTCAAACGGACACAAAGATATGCCTTTATTTAGCCAAACGACCCACTAATTTCCTGATCAGACGGGTTTTATAAAAATTACAGTAAAAACTTGTGGAAACAATGCGCAGGACTCCACGTTCATGCCCAATAACCAATCCACAGAGCATCATTGTGGAGGACGGAAAACTCAGCAGAATTGAACTGGCCCAGGATTAGCTTTTTAAAACATTTTGTGTACTTCAAAATTTGACAGATTTGCAAACAAAAATGGACATAGATCCCATACCAGCCAGTGATGCTTAGTTAGGGCAAAATTCAGGCACCCCCAACTCACGCAAAGATACACACAGTACAAACACCGGTGTAAGTCACACAATGGATGTGTGTGGACCGGCCCTGAGTCCAGTTTACAGAAACCAAACAGCCAGGCAGTAAAAGAAAAAGAATCAGCTGGGCTGGAGTGCAACATGGTCACACAAGTGTATCATGGAGACAGTAACAGTTAGTAACAGCAGGACACAGCGCAGTGACCAGGCTCTGAACCTCGCCAAATGCACGCAAGTCATTGGTTACATTTCACATTTAAGGAAATGTTTAATAAAATATCTAATATAAAATATCCATCGAATGAAAAACGCACAGTAAATAATGATCTGTATTCTCAAGGCTGCCCTGTCAGCCCTGGGCACAAAGGGGTGGTGGGGAGAGAAGAAATAGGTTTGAGAACAAAATTTAAAAATGTGTAAGATTTCTATATTCAAGGTTTTAAAATGAAGTTTCCAAACATTGGGAGTAGATTCAGTAAAGAATCAGGTTAGAATTCTCCAAATTAGCTGTGTGGGCACAGTGTCAATTCAGCATAGTCACTCACACAGTCTGTTAGCACTCTGTGTATGTCAAGGACAGACTGATGACTGCTTTCAGCATTGACCTTGGAAGTGGCATGTAACTCGTCTGCAGATGCAGGAAGGGAATAGCTTTTTTCTGAACATCTTGCCACACAGAGGAACAGTGCCAGGATCACTCAGTCACCATCTCTCAATTGCTGGGTGATATATATATATATATATATATAAATGCAAGTTGTTGTTGGCTTATAGAATGTAAAATTCGGAGGGCAGGGAATTATTGTGATAGTAGATTATGTGCCTAGTGATGAGGTCAGTGTAAGAGATGTGAGAGAACAGCTTTCTTGATGCCCACTCTAAACCCCAGGACATATATAAAGGAAACTTCCTCTATTTTGTTTCAACCATTCACCTTATTCCCAAAAGAGCACCAAGAGCACCCCTGACTGTAGCAGTTTGCCATTCCATCTCCACACAACATCCAGTGACACAAATGTGACGTTAGAGGCTATAGCACCAATATGTTTCTTCTGTGAGTCCATCCATTTGTTGGGAGCTGGGCTCAGATACAATGAAATCCATTCTACACCAAAAATGTAAAGTGCAGACACTCTTAGGACCCTGCGGCCCAAATTCAAGTCCATCCTCAATCAAACTAAGGGCTTCACCCCTCTGCAGACTGAAGGAGTGACAGGATTAAAAGCTGCCCAGCCTGCCTGTTGAACAGGCTAGTGAACAGCAAGGTGTGGGGGTAATATCGCCCTGTTCACCAGTGCTAACGAACATCATTTATTGCACTGTGACAACCACTCGCTCACTGTTTGCAGTCAGGGTGACTCTGGGCTGAACTCTGCCATCTGCAGGCTTCCAGCCTGTGTTCTGGGCACGAGCTGAGCCTGAAAGGAATGGAACCTGCAGATGAACTGGAGCTCAGATGTTCAGTCTGTCCCAGACAGAATGAGGATACAACAGCTCCAACCACTGGACTGAGCGAGAGTGATGACTGCTTGAATCATGCAGCTTGGTTTACCCACTCACAATGTGGTTATATCTGGATTCATAATCTGGTATCACATGGGGGGGCTGGGGGAAAGAGGGGAGTCAGTGCTGCAAATTCACAAGAACTCCAGCACTGTGCTAACACACTAACTCCCTAAACACAGGTAGCACACAACCCATCTCCTGAGCAACTCCACACAATATTACACAGTAATGCCACAAATATGAGGGTGGGGAGAAAGAAGGAGAGCGTGAGGCCCAGGCTACTCTAGATGCATGCTACTGGTAGGGATACTAGCTATAACAGTCTAAACCACCAAAACATAGAACATGTGCCCCAACATTACAGCAAATGTCTACGTAGGAGAGGAAGAGAGGGTAACCATGGAAAAGGCACACGAGTAATGGAGTCGGACTCGGAAGTTGTTGAATTTTTTTCTTGAAAGGGCTGAGGCCAATTGCTGGAGGGAAGACAGCTCAGCGCAGCATGGAGAGGGGGCAGAGCTTTACCCTCTTGCATTGCCCTTGGGCACTGAGCTGCCTCCAATAGTTCACTGGCTCGTAGCCTGTACTTTGGGGGCCGTTCACTGTATCAGGAAACAGCTCTCTGCAGGGCGTGCTCTCAGTTCAGATATTCTGGTCATTGGAGGTTGGGTGCAGCTTTGTGACATGCCCGATCCCCTTAGTGACACCCTCTCGGAACAGGAGCTTGGCTCCCACCTTCAGGTACTCAGAGTGCTTGATAAAGCGGAAACGAACAACGGCTTTCTCTCCGGTCCGCAGCTCCTCCTAAAGAGAGAAGAGAGAGAGAGCATCTGACTCAGCAGCCATTGGGACCTGGACATTAGACGAGTTTTTTTCCACCCCCTCCCCACAACCGCTGTGGCTGGCGCCCCTCCGCCCATAGCTGTGACCAGGGCCCCCCATCCCAATCATCATACCACCTATCCAGAGCGCCCCCCACACGCCAGAACTGATTCATCTGCCTAGTCTGTAGCCAGCCTACCCAGTGCCATGTCAGGAACAGCCTACATCCTCACCCAGGGAGGAAGTGTGTGGGAAGTGGTGTCACATGCCTACCTTTCCCTGTATGATCTCCACAATGGCCGTCTGTCGGACGTTCCCGACATGCACGGTGACCTGGAATCCCCTGCGGAAAGTCTTTGCGTGGAAGAGCAGCACAATCTCCGACTCGAAGACAGAACAGATGGTCGGGTGCATCTCAGGGCTGACCATCACCATCCCCTGCCACAGAACAGCAAGATTTGTGGCTGCAAAACAGCCCTCCCCGACCTTCAATCTTGCATACAGTATCACTGAGAATCCCCTCCAGTTACACCCCACTTTGCCATGCCTTCTGCACATGCAGCAATAAAAGTAATCCTTGCATTTGATATAGCACCTTATCACATTGTTGAAACGTTTTGAAGCGCTTCACAGGGACTGTGTATTTTGTGGGCGAAACGTGGTATCCAATTGCGCACAGCAGTGTCCCACAAACAGTAGCGGATTGATTTGACCAGATTATTTATTTATTTATTAATTTGAAGGGATTATCAACGAACAACCAGGTTCCTACTTACTGGTAGGTAAACAAGAGGCATGTGGAATAAGGAAAACTGACTAAGGTTTCGCCCGCCCGGGAATCAAGGGCCTCTCGCTTGCTAGGCAAGTATGCTAACCATCGTGCTACACGACTCATTTTCATTTTTCATTTATGGCCACAATGGATGGCCTGTGGTCAGACCCCCATGACAGCCACCTCACACAGTCTGCTTTAAGCGCTGACCTACCTTCCTCAGCAGGGCTCGGTCAAAGTTTCCAAGAGCTAGAGTGGCAGCCTGGCCCGCTCGTAGCACTCGGCATGCTGAACGGTTCCTTTGCATGCTGCACACCTTCAGGGGCAGGAACTTGCCCTCGTCTGTGGGGCCCACAACTAGGCGTTCACCTTCTCGGCAGATGCCACTAGGAGACAACAAGCATTGTTTATTGCTGTTTCACACTGTTTTGACCTAGTGAGCAATGAGTCAACTAACACCCCGAGATTTCTCTCAGCTTCTCCCTTAGTAAATTCTATCCTATTCAAGGAATACTTTTGTTTCTTATTCTTGCATCGTATATGTAGTACATTGCATTTACCAGTATTAAACTTCATTTACCAGTTATCAGCCCATATGCATACCCTACAAACTCTCTTTATCGGATCTTTGCTGCCTCTTTGCAAATCCAGGTCATTAATATACACGAGGAACAGGAGGGATCTCAGTACCCTAAGGTTTAATACTTCTCCTCATTTTGACCTGGTTCCCCTTAACAAAGACTCTCTGTTTCCCTCCCTACAATCAACACAGAATCCGTGTCCATGGTTTGCCCGATACCCTGTGATACCCAGCCGGGATTCACTGTTTAGGATCACATGGGAAGAGTGGGTACTCGGGGTGGGGTGCCCTGGTGGAGGCCACTTGATGCAATGCATTGGCCTGGGAGGAGAGAACCTCTCGTTTCTTACCTGTACAGTGTCCCCCCGACCACAGTGCCCACCTCAGGAACACTGTAAATCTCATCCACCTGAAAGAAAAGAAAGAACTTGCATTTGTGCAGATCTTGATCAAAGTGAACATCTCACAACAACTTTGGAGAAAGTCCCTAGTTACCAATAACAATAATAATAATAATTAATGCTCCACAAACAGCCATGAACAAATGACACCAGGAGAAATTCTGTTCTCTTTTCGAATAGTGCCATGGGATCTTTAACGTCCACCTGAATAGGCAGTTGGGATCTTGGTTTAACGTCTCATTCGAAGGACAGCGCATCTGACAATGCAACACATCAGCAGCACTGCATTAGAGTGTCATCTTAGACTATATGAGTCCAAGTCCCCACAACCTTCTGACTCAGAGGTGAGAGTGCTAACCATTGAGCCAAGCTGACAATAGTGTCCCAACAGCTTTAAAGTCCACCGTATTTGATACTCGTGCCCCCACGCGCACCTGGAACTCAGTGAGCTGCTGCATCAGTTCCTCCTGCTCCTTGCTGTTGGTCAGCGGCGGCAGCACATTGAGAAAGACCTTTAGCAGCTCCAGATTGACCCCACTCACACCAGACAGCGGGAATATTGGAGTGATACTGCGCAGAACAAAGAGCAGTATTAAATATAGTGCCCCCCAGCACATCCCGCCATGCCCCCCACACCCCCCACCACAATCAGTCATCATTGTCCCGTCCCCCACAAATACACGCAGCAGCATACTCAACCACTGCTACATGACATACCCAGCCCGTCTCACTCTAGGCACAACTCTCCTCACAGCACATCTCGTCACTACCTTCCTCCTTTCCCCACAACACACCCTATCACTGGCCCCCCTCCCAGTACAGTTCGTCACTGAACTGGTGGATGTTCTGTTTGAGAGAGAAGATCGAGGAGAAGTGAGAGAGAGGACAGACGAGTAAGCTGAGACCGGCTCTGTGCATGTGAAGAAAGGAGACAATCACTGAAACAATTGTTTCAGACTGTACTGAGATTTGCCAGGCTGGCAATGAGAGGAGAGGGCAAAAGAAATGTTCCAGTGACCAAACAACAAAGAGAAATGAAAAACAAAATTCAGACACTATGCGCACAATGTTAGGTTCTGTGTTTGTTGTGGACATGACATGGTTCAATGGCTGAGAAAATCTATCACTAGTTTTACTCTCTATACAGATAATAATAATCCTTGCATTTGATGTAACACCTTATCATGTCATTGACATATCACAGGATATATTGTAAAGTGGATTGACTGTATTTTGTGGGTGAAACATGGCAGCCAATTGTGCACAGCAGTGTCCCACAAACAGTCGCGGATTGAGTGACCAAATTATTTATTTCATTTTTTGGGAGGAATTATTACCCCCAGAAAGTGATCCTCCAATTGACTAACAACTAGGGACCCAGTTACTTTTGGGTAAGGAATCTTGCCCAAGGTTTAACCCTGATCATGAATCAAACCCGGGGTCCCCTTGCACTAACCACTATGCTACGGAGCTTTTGCGTTTTTACCTCGGAGACTGAGCAAAACGCTGTGCAGCCATCACTGCATCGTCACTGGTGGACACCAGGAGCGGGACCTTGTTGCAGCCAGGTTGTTTGAGCACCATCTCCAGCTGTTTCACAGTACGCTCGATGGTAGCCTTAGTGCACAGGTCCACCTTACTGACCACGATGAAGAACGGCACTTTCAAAGCCATTGCCAAACCCAAATGTTCTCGTGTGGTGCCAGCTACAAACAAAGCAAGCCAGATTATTAACGGAGGTAGAGATGACAGCTTCCACCCCCAAACATGCTTTGTAACCCCACGTAACAGCTAACTACCTCACAATCCCACCACTGCGTAATTCCGTCACACCATAACTACTAGGTGGGAATCCGCTCAATCCCAGATTTCTCTCAAACAGGCAAGTCTTTTAAATTAGTTGCTATAAATACTGAAGAGAAAATAGAGCATTGGCCCCAGTTGACTAGCGACTATCTTCTTGGGTGGTAGGAGAGGTTAGAAGAGTTGAAGAGAGGTAAGTAAGGAGGGTCTTTTTGGGGCTGAGCTAGTTCCAACGTGATGCGCCTAGCAAAGAAATACTGGAAAGAATAGATCCTTTGTGGTGGTCTCAGTAATCTGCTTCCTGAGCCAGGCAGGTCTGCTGGGTTTTGAAGGATGGCTTGTCAGCAGTAATAATAATACTTGCATTTGATATAGCACCTTATCACATCTTCGAGACGTCTGAAAGCACTTCAAGTATACACTGTAAAATGAATTGACTGTATATTTTTTGGGCGAAAGGCAGCAGCCAATTGTGCACAGCAATGTCCCACAAACAGTCGTGGACTGAGTGACCAATTACTACTTTTTTTTTTAAAAAAGGAATTATTACCCCCGGAAAAGCGATCCGCCAATTAACTAACAATCTACTTACTGCTAGGTAAACAGAGGCGTGCGGAGTAAGGAAACTTGCCCAACATTTCACCCTGCCGGGAATCAAACCTAGGTTTCTCACTTGCAAGACGAGTTTTCTTCTTGTAGAAGCAAATCAGTCACCACGGGCAGGAATTCTTCCCACTCACCTATCAACCCTGCAAGCCAAAACCTTAACGGACAGAGTAGTTCTAGCTGGACATGCAGCAGGAAGCTTGTCAGCCAGTGTTTGCAATTTGCAAGATAGTTTAACTGGTTAAACTCCTGCTGTACCCCAATGCAACTCAAGGATCCCCAAATCTTGACCCTTGTTAATCTGTGTCTAGTTTCAGGGATTATTTGAACAGGGCACTTCCCTCTAAGCAGAGTGCGCACTCCATTTCAGACAACAGAAATTTCAATGCATAGGTGGAACTCTCATTAGTTTGGCTTGGAGACTCTTAAGTATTATGATGGGTTTTTGTGTGATACTTGGCTGTACCTCAAGTATCTCAGATACTTAGCTAAATAAAACAAAGCCCCACAGTCAAAAACAGCACCCTCCAGCCAGCTTGCAGCATATTTCTTGAAGAGAACCCACTGCCAGTCCTGCAAAACAATCTCTTGCCTCAAAACAGAATTACCCATTCCCTACACTGTCAGTGTTGGCACACCCATACACATACCAATGCCAGTGTTGGCGCTGACTACCAGCATAGCAAAGTCAGGGCAGTAACTGGTGAGGCCAAAGATAGTGGTTTTCAGGTACTTGTGGTGGCCGGCGAGGTCAATGAAGGTGATCATTTTCGAGGCACTTTCACAGATCTCCTCCGCAGTGCGAGAGTCGCTGTAATTCACCACCTTAAAGAGCAGCAACAGAAAACATGGTGAGACTGCTGGGGGCAGTGCAGCAATCACAAGGCTCGGGAGAATTATATGATAAAGCTGAAGGCTGCCTGGACAGCTTCGTTACTTAATATAAACGTGTTTAAGAAATAACATGATGGACACAGTGAACACACACACTCTCATCAACTGCAGAAGCTGTGAATGTTCACGCTGGAAAAAGACTCTGGGGATCTTACTGAAATACTAATGGGGTACAGTCTAGGTGAGGGGAAAGGAAAGGGGTGGAGGTTCGTGTGGAGTATAAACACCAGCGCAGAGTAGCTAGGTCAAACAATTCCTTAAATGGTGCATCTAAACATGGCCACAAACTCAACTACAAGGGTGCAGGGACTTGAGCTCAGAAGAGGTAAGGTGAACAGACAGTTCAGACTGAATTACTTCACCATGCGCATGGAATGTATGATCAAGAGAGGTAATGGAGCCAGACTGTGACATCAAATTGGTTAAGTGTTCGGTGTAGAAATCAGTCAAGGGCACGAGACAGGGTTTTGTTAATCTTTGGGACGACAATCTTCTTTTCCTCTCCTACTATTCTCTCTGGATATCAGGACCGCAGATGTTTTGATACAGCTCCTACCTCTCCTTTACTGTTGAATCCCAGAATCTCGAAGCTGATGCTGGATGTTCTGCCAGACTGGATCTCGTGAAGGTGACGAAAGAGGTTGAGCCGGGCTCTGCCTCGACCGTTATCCAGCTCCCCCTGCGTCAGGACCCCTAACAGCGTCGACTTTCCAGAGTCCACATTCCCCAATACTGCCACTCGGAGGTCCAGAAACTGAGAGCGCAGGTAAGAGAAAAAAGTCACTACCTGCAGCACCCCAACCAATCCAATTGTTAATATCATTAATAATGTTAATATCAGGCAGGTTTGTGGTGTGTCCATGGTCTGAACAAAGTGATGAAGAGTTACTCTGGGGACCACGGATTGGACATAGCCCAGGTGCTGTGTCACTAGACTGAGACGTAGTCAGATTTGTGCCTGTTCTGCAATCCTGGTTTAAGGTAAGTGGTTTACCTGCTTCATGACTATTCTCCAATGATCAACCTCTCCCCATAAGGATAGTGAGGCAAGTCCAGTGCTTAGTTATAAAGCAGGGGATCCTAGTTTACAGTTTTGGGGAGAATTTGACTGACCCTGGTTGAAAAAGTGGCAGGCTGATTTTGTCATCTAATTGCTAAGACATGGGACACAGTTAGGGTGAGGAAGGAGACACATTTTAAGAACAACAATAATAATACTTGCAATGTAATATAGCACCTTTCACATTGGGAGGATGTCTCAAAGCGTTTCACGGAATTTAATGTAAAGCGACTGTCTATTTTGTAAGACAGCACAATTTGCACACAGCAATGTCCCACAATCATGAAGCGAGTGACCAAGTTTTATTGGGGGGGATTGTTGGCCAGGACATCGGGAAAAACTCCCTTCTCTTTTCAAATAGTGTATGAGATCTTTAACATCCATCTGAACAGACAAGCGGGAGGGACCTCGGTTTACCATCTCATCCAAAGTATGGCACCTCCGATAACACAGCAACAACAACAACTTGGATTTATATAGCACCTTCCATGCCGGACGGCGTCTCAGAGCACTTCACAATAACGAATCCCGGGGCCGAGCCACGGGGAAAGGGAGGAAGGTGACCAAAGGTGTGGTCAAACCAGCACACCTTCAACAATGCACTGGAGTATCACCATAAACTCTTGAATTCAAAGTCCCTTCGTGGGGCTTGAGCCCTTAACTTTTGAACTCAGAGTTGCAACTACCAACTGAGCCAGGCTGATTCCGCCCTCCCTCTGCTCAGTGGCTATTAGGATTGAGCCAGAGATTGGAAACTCAGCACTTTGGGCTTCGTATGGCGCAATATTTCTGCCCTGCAATTCTCTCACGGTCTGAGAAGCTCTCATTAGGTGTTGTTATAATAAGAGCGTGAGCTCAGGGACCGTACCTGCTGATCGTCAGGAACTTTCCTGACTAAAACCTCGGCGATACGCCTGGGTGAGTCCGTGTCGTACTCCACGTCACGCTCCCGGAGGATTGTGATATCCGCTCCAACCCTGTGCACACAATAGTAGTATAAAGACCTGGCTCTGATCAACGGCACAGACAGTACACTACCTTCTTGTCCACAGTCCTGGCTGCCTCCCCTCCAGCCATCTAATCTCATGATCTCTCCCGTGACCCCATCTGATTGCAATCTTCTGGTGTTTCTTCTTCGTGCTGGTGCTTACACCACAGTTGGAGCTCCCTGTTCTAATCCCAATTCTCTGCTCATTCCCCAGAGACCTTTCGATTGTTAATCTTCAAATACTTATCCAGTTCCTTCTAAGTGGCCTCAGTCTCAATAGCCTCTTACGGTACAATTTTAATAATCCTCTGTGAGAATGTGCTCACCTCCTCATTAACTCTTCCAGTTATTACTTTACTAACCAGTGGAAATAATCTTTCAGTATTTATTCTGGCAAACACCAAACTGAAAGTTGATGGGGAAAGTATCGGGAGTTTGGGCAACAGAAAGAGGGCAAGATTGTAAAATCCACAACATATTACAGAGAAGCTCCACAATGTGGCTCAGAAGCTGATAAATAGAGACTCATTTTGATGATGCTATCAGTCAGTTTGCCGGTGTGAGTGGACTTTCATGCTGCAAAATGGTGCGAAATTACCTCTGTAGCCAGCACTGTGGGACTTCAGCTATAATATAATAATATTTGATATAGTGCCTTCTCACACCGTTAAGATGTTTCAAAGCATTTCAAAGAATATCCTATAAAGCGAATTAACTGTGTATTCTGTGGGCAGAAAGCAGCAGCCAATTGCGCACAGTAGTGTCCCACAAATAGTTGTGGATTGAGTGACTAATTTATTTATTTATTTGAAGAGATTAGTACCCCCCCCACCCCCAGAAAGCGATACTCCACCAATCGACTAACAATCAGATTCCTACTTACTGCTAGATAAATAGAGACATGTGGAGTAGGGAAACTTGCCTCAGGTTTGGTCCTGCCTGGGAATTGAATCCGGGTGCTCTTGCTTGCAAAGCGAATGCTCTAATCACTACACTACAGAAATCCACTAGCTGCCTCCACTCACCTCCCCCTCCCCACCTTTCCCCACTGCAGGCAAAATTCTCTCCCGCGCCCGTAGGACTTGGGCGCTTACTTCTCAGCCATTCTGCGCAAGGTTTTCAGCGAGGCCCTCAGCTCCTCCTCCAGCAGCCCAACCAGCAGTCCGTTGTCCTCCACCCCGATCTGATACACGGCCTCGCCACGACCTTCCTGCAAGCGCCATTTCATCTGTGTAACCAAGTGCTCAAAACGGTACTGAGAGGGGTTCACTAATTTCAGCTGCAGAGAGGAGAAAAGGAATAGTTTATACAAAGGGATGGAAGCCTGGCATTACAATTCAGCCTCAGGGTGGATAATGCTATTGGGAGAGCTAGCACCAGCACAGACATGATGGGGAAACAGCAGGGGATTACATAAGAACATAAGAATTAGGAGCAGGAGTAGGCCATTCGGCCCCTCGAGTCTGCCCCGCCATTTGGTAAGATCATGGCTGATCTTCAGACCTAACTCTAATTACCTGCCCTATCCCCATATCCCCTAATCCCTCTATTTTTTAAAAAAATCTATCAGTCTCAGCCTTGAAGATGTTAAAGGATTGAGCATCTACAGCCTTCTGGGGTAATGAATTCCATAAATTCACTATCCTCTGAGTGAAGAAATGTTTCCTCAACTCTGTTCTGAAAGGCTGACCCTTAATTTTAAGACTGTGACCCCTGGTTATAGATTCTCCTACCAGGGGAAACAGACCCTCAGTGTCTACTTCATTCAGCCCTTTAAGAATCTTATATGTTTCAATAAGATCTCCACTAATTCTTCTGTAATCTAGAGAATATAGCCTTAGTTTATTCAGCCTATCCTCATAGGTCAGTCCCTTCATCCCAGGAATTAACTTAGTGAATCTATGCTGCACCCCCTCTAGGGCAAGTATGTCCTTTTTTAAATAAGGAGACCAAAACTGCACACAATACTCTAGGTGTGGTCTCACCAAGGCCCTATACAGTTGCAGCAAGACTTCCCTACTCTTGTACTCTAAACCTTTTCAAATGAACACTAACATACCGTTCGCCTTCTTAGTTGTTTGCTGCACCTGCAAACTAACTTTTTGAGACTGGTGTACAAGACACCCAAATCCTTCTAAACACTAACATTATCTAATCTCTCCCCTTCTAGAAAATAATCTGTTTTTCCATTTTTTCTACCTGAGTGAATAACTTCACACTTCCCCACATTAAATTCTTTCCATCTACCACCTACTCGCCCACTCCCCAAGCCTATCTATATCCCGTTGAGAACCTTCCAGGAAAGATTACAGAAACTTCCAAGTCGCACACTATATGCTAGAAGCAAGGATAAGTAACAAGAATAATGTAACTTAAGGGCTGCAGTCCCTAAATTCATAAAGTCTGTAAAATATAATGTACAGGAAGATTTGAGAGGAAATATTCACTGTTTATACCCACTATCGCTAACTCGCAATCACACATGCAGCAGTTGTGGGGGAAGGAGAAAGAATCCACCTGCTACCTTACCCCACCCCAATGGTCTAGTCAGTAAAGGTACCGGCAGTGCAGAGGTTAAATCCTACACAGTCTGTGCTGAGTCAACTCATTTCAAGAAACAAAGGATTACAATTATACATGGTGCTCTGGGATAAAAAGTAGGCAAAATATCCAGCCAGGGTTCCAGCTTTTCATTTCTTTACGTTTTATATTTCTTGGAGTTTGGGCGAGGGCAGGATTGGGTACGGCTGTGACATCTCCTTCAATCTCGGGCCTTGCAAACACTTAGCCTGAGTGAACAGCCAAGTGCCTGGGAAGACTATTCCAAATAGAGCCAATTCTTTCATGAAAGAAGAAAGGTAATACTCCTTTGACTAAGGACTGAAAACACAAGTGCAAGTAGATGTGCTGGGAATTTGTGCAATACTGAAAATAACAAAAGCGCTGCGACCGCCCGATTAAGCTCACCTTGTATTCGATGTTTCCTTCTTCAGCCTGCAGAGAAAAGACACAATTACTGCCAGCCCCAAGTTCAGATCTACGAACTACAGAATCCATCAATAAGCCTTCGTAAGTCTGCACAGCACAGCACAACGCCACAAGCTCACACCACAAAACTCAGCAATCTTAACAGCACAAGGCACTGATTTACTCCGAGCTTCTGTGAAGCTGCAGTCCAGAAAGGAGATCAATCTGATGTACTGCTTATTCTGACACGTGGGGATACATCAGCTGCAGTCTCCTCTGGACGTACGGAGTGGAATATTGATGTAATTAGGCACAGATCTGACATTCAATACTTGCAGTCTCTCTCCCTTATTGTGTCCAAGTGGCTCAATGCAGTTAACGCATTGCAGCAGATGCACATGTTGCAACTAAGCAGCCAGTCACTCAGCCTCCGCATCATATACAGAAGTTGTTTTATTATGCCAAGGCTCACAGTAACCCAAGGATCTTACACAAGGCATTGGTTTCAGCCTGCTATCTATCCAGAGATGTGTATGTGTAATAATCCTTGCAATTGATATAGTGCCTTTCACATCTCAAAGTACTTCACAGAAATTGCTATAAACTATAGTGCCATTGTTTTGTAGGTGAATGCAGGAGCCAATTGCACAAGGCAATGTTCCACAAATAGTCAGTCATGAAGTGAATAACTACTATTATCTGGGGAATTGTTGGTCAGGACACTAGGAGAAACTCATTTCTCTTTCAAATAGTGCCGTGGGATCTTTAATATAGACCTTAAGAGGCCGATGATGGTGGTTTAACTCCTCAATGGTCTCCCAAGTTCCACCATCCACAAGGTCCATACAAAATACTGCATCGTCACTCACACTGCACACTCATCACCCCAGACTTCACCAGGCTTCACTGCCTTCCTCATCTTATTGCACTGAGATGGTCAGAACCATCGGGCAGTCAGGGAAACAGACTGCTGGGAGTGAAAGGGGAGGAATCTGGTCTTACTAGGCTTGATCAAAGTTTGAGAAGATATGTCTGGCAAGCCAAGCAGCTCCGCAATAATCTCTAGCACTGTTCTATTGACATTATTAATATTATTACCAGCCAGTCTGGCTCATCAATGAGACGTGGAGGAATAGATATGTCCTCAAGCCTGAAAAATTGGCAGTGGCAGGTGGACATGTATTGTGCTGGGCAGGTATTCATCTTTACTCACTGATGAGCCTCACTGTAAATTGTAGTGACTGTCTTCTCTGAGGCAAACCAATAAAAGGATTTAAGATTCTGAAAGGATGAAAGGGGTGGAAAAAGCGGATGTTGTTAGGATTTTTCCATTTCTTGTTGCGTCTACAATTGAATTGGAGCAACTGGGTTTCTATAAACATCTTATTTCTATAAACACTTGTTTCAAAACTGCTGACATACGACAGTGACATGATCCTTCAACTGGGTCACACAAACATCTTGGGCCTGAAATTCCACCCAGTCTCAATCTATTAGTATATTATGGCTGAAGTCCCACAGTGCCGGCTACAGCAGTAATTTCACACCATTCTGCAGTATGAAAATCCACTCACGCCATCTGAGTAACTGATAAGATCATCGAAATGAGTTTCTGTTTATCAGCTTCTGAGCCACGTTATGGAGCTTCTCTGTGATATGTTGTGGATTTTACAATCTTGCCTTTCTCTGTTCCCAAAACTCCTGATAATTCTCCCCAACAACTTTCAGTTGGTGTTTGGCAGGATAAACACTGAAAGATTATTTCCACTGGTAAGTAAAATAATAACAAGGGAGGCATAAACTGAGGACAGTCACTGGAAGAGTTAATGAGGAGGTGAGCATATTCTCACACAGAGGCTCACAGAGTCCGTAGCGTAGTGGTTAGCGCTCTCGGCTCGCAAGTGAGTGGACCTGGGTTTGATTCCCGCGGGAGGCAAAACCTTCCTCCACATGCCTCTGTCTACCCAATAGTAAGTAGGAACCCAGTTGTTAATCGACTGGCAAATCGCTTTCCGGGGGTAATCATGTCAAAAAATCATTTGGTCACTCAATCCACAGCTGTGCACAATTGGCTGCTGCGTATTGTCCAGAATGCACATTCAATCCACTTTACAGTATATTCTGTGAAGCATATTGAGGTATCTCAACAATGTGATAAAGCACTATATCAAATGCAAGAATTATTATAATAATCCTTGCATTTGATATAGCGCTTTTCACGTCTTCTAGACGTCTCAACGCACTTCACAGAAGAGACTGTAAAGTGAATTGACTGTATATTTGTGGGTGAAATGCAGCAGCCAATTGCACACAACAGTGTCTCACAAACAGTCGTGGATTGAAATGACCAATTTTTTTTTGAGGGATTATTATCAGGAGTGTGGAGTAAGGAAACTTGCCCAAGGTTTCACTCGGCCTGGAATCGAACCCAGGTCTCTCGCTTGCAAAACGAGTGCACTAACCACTGAGCTACAGGACTCCACAAATATTATTAATATTATTATTAATAAGGAGTTTATAAGGAACTTCTTCCCACAGAGGTTGGTGACAATTTACAGCTCACTGCCAGAATCTGTGATTGAAGGGAGTATTTTAGAGTAAACATATATAAGGAAGAAGGGTATATAGGAGATGGGAATAGCAGGGATGAGGGCTTGCGTGGAGTATAAATACTGGCACAGACTAGTTGGGCTGAACGTCCTATTGACACCCTGTGTCACTGAAAAGTTGGTCGGGGGGTGGGGGTGGAAGAGAGATCAAATTAAGTGATGGGTCGAAGTAAAGGACATCAGCAAGATGAAAGAGTAGGACAGAGGACAAGAGAAATCAAGCTGTGGGTGATACCAAGTGTGGACCTCAATGGCCAGCCCAAGACCAGAGTGTTGATTAAAAGCTGCCACAAGCAACAGCACTGAGACGGGTTAACCAGCAGTAACAGCTAATATACTTCACCGATCTCTGACCGTGTTCAAGGTTGGGCAGCATACCAGGAAGAACTTTTCTTCGAATAGTGCTACGGGATCTTTAATGTCCATCTAAACAGACAGACAGGGTCTCAGTTTAACGCCTCATCAGAAGGGTGGCACCTCCAACAATGCAACAGCCCCAACACGACACTGAAGTTCTAGCCTCGACTACGGGAGTTCAAGACTATGGAGTTTGAACCTTCTGCCTCAACAGGTGAGAGTGTTACCAACTGACCCAGGTTACCGCACACTACTTGGTGCTTTGCTGTTCATCACATACTGACATACCGGACCCCAAACTCCCAGCTTGGGTCCAAAAAATCCCTGATTTTCCAGCGCCTTGGGACGTCTTTCTGACGTGAAGGGATACAATAAGTAAATAAAATACAAGTGTAATTTGTTGTGGTTGTTGATAAGTAGCATGAGAAATTCCCTTCTCTTTTTGAATAGTGCCATAGGATCTTCAACCTCTAAATACTGGAATGTAATTATTTGCTTGCGGACAGAAAGAGAAAACAAGTGTTGGCAACGGTACATCATATACTGATCAGCAACACATAAACCAAACTATGTGGATACTGATTCCAGGATTACGCTCTAAACCAGATTCTCTTCCCAATCTCACATCAAGTGCAGATTTAACAGTAGGCTGCCAACACTTGTCGAGTCCTGTAGCTCAGTGGTTAGAGCGCTCGTCTCGCAAGCGAGAAACCTCGGTTCAATTACTGACAGGGCAAAACCTTGGACAAGTTTCCTTACTCCATATACCTGATAATAATCCCTCAAGAAAAAAATAATAAATTGGTCACTGTTTGTGGGAAATTGCTGTGCACAATTGGCTGCAGGTTTCACCCATAAATACAGTCAATTCACTTCACTTCTGTGAAGCGCTTTAAGACGTCCAGAAGGCGTGAAAAGCGCTATATCAAATGTAAGGATTATTATTATTATTTGTTTTCTCTTTCTGCCCACAAGCAAATAATGACCTTCCTGTATTCAGATGTTAAATATCCTGTGACACTATTCCAAAAAAACAAGGGGTTTCTCATGGTATCCTGGCCAACAATCCCCCAGATAAAAAGTTTGTAATTCTCCCCTGGCTGTGCACAAATTAGCTGCTGAGTTTGCATTCAAAAACAGTAATTACTGTCACTTTACAGTAAAAGCTCTATGAAGCACTTTGAGAAGTTGTGCCAACATGATAGTGCTATATCAAATGCAAGGATTGTTGCTACAGGTATTATAATACTATAAAAGGATATGGAGTAAAGGCAGGGAATATGGTTTTAAAAATCTGCCCTATTCTAATTAAGTGGCAGAAAGGGCTAAACAACCTCCTCCTGTCCCCACTATCCAACCTGAAGTCAGGTAAATTAGTATGGTAAATTAGGGTGGAAGCTGGAAATAACTTGCCTAAATGGCTCAGAACTGCACACAATTTATTTACAAGGAAAGCTTTATATTTTCCTAAAACAGGAACTTATAATAGTATTTAAATTCATTTTGAAACCCAATGATGCAGTTGCCAAATGCCAAACATAGCAATTGTTTGTTTAGCAATACTTAGATGTTGGCAGGAGTTATTCACCACAAACTAAGAGAACGTCAAGGAAACTGAACCTAAAGGTCAATATCTGGGACTGCCTGCCCTGCATCCTATTACACAGTGACTCACAGCAGTGAGTACAATGCAAACAAATAGTGCAATCGACTGAAACCCACAGCAGTAAGATCAAAACACAGAGGCAAACAACAACAACAAAATTACATTTGCATAGCGCCTTTCAAGTCGGGAGGACCTTACACAAACATAAAAATAGACATAAAGGCAAAGAAAGCAAGACATTTACACAAATACACACAGTGTAACTAGATAAAATCCTGAGCAAGTGAAGAGATCATGACAGAGAGTGAGTGATACACATATAGAAACAAAAATAGACTCGCAAACCCAGAAGAGCAATGGATTGAAACCCACAACAGCGGGAGAGATCAAGACAGTCATAGAAACACACAAACACAAAGTAAAAATAACACATTCAGAAAGATAGCAACAAGCCCCAACACAAATTGTGCACACAGTGCAAACACAGCAATATAATCGCCAACTCAACATCCCACAGAAACATATCCTCTGTACCCTGTACACATGTAACACTGAATGTACCCCATATCCTGTAACACTGAGTGTACCCTATAACACTACCAGCGTACCACAAACCCCGCAACCCTGGCAGCGTACCCCGCGACCCTGGCAGCGTACCCCGCGACCCTGGCAGCGTACCCCGCAGCACTGGCAGCGTACCCCGCAGCACTGGCAGCGTACCCCGCAGCACTGGCAGCGTACCCCGCAGCACTGGCAGCGTACCCCGCAGCACTGGCAGCGTACCCCGCAGCACTGGCAGCGTACCCCGCAGCACTGGCAGCGTACCCCGCAGCACTGGCAGCGTACCCCGCAGCACTGGCAGCGTACCCCGCAGCACTGGCAGCGTACCCCGCAGCACTGGCAGCGTACCCCGCAGCACTGGCAGCGTACCCCGCAGCACTGGCAGCGTACCCCGCAGCACTGGCAGCGTACCCCGCAGCACTGGCAGCGTACCCCGCAGCACTGGCAGCGTACCCCGCAGCACTGGCAGCGTACCCCGCAGCACTGGCAGCGTACCCCGCAGCACTGGCAGCGTACCCCGCAGCACTGGCAGCGTACCCCGCAGCACTGGCAGCGTACCCCGCAGCACTGGCAGCGTACCCCGCAGCACTGGCAGCGTACCCCGCAACACTGGCAGCGTACCCCGCAACCCTGGCAGCGTATCCCATACCCCTGTAACACTGTACCCGTTTCACCCACAAAACACACAAGTCACTTCACTTTACAGTACATTCTGTGACGTGCTTTGAGACGTCTCACCAACGTGAAATCCAGGGATTATTAACAGTGACAGTGAACCCCGATCCCCTGTAACATGATGAACATCACATGTTACAGTTTGTTCACCTGGAGGCAGCTCACCTCTGGGGGCAGGTAGGGCGGGTTGTTGCGGCCCCGGGGCCGACCCTTTGCCTTTTTGTGACCAGCTTTGGGCGCCGCCACTAATTTGCCTTTCTGTCCCTGGGCGGAGAGACCGGACACGGACACCGAGGCCTGTCCCGAAGCTGAGGTCGACCCGCGACCTGACGCCGAGCCGCGGGCTGAGCTGCCTGCAGCCAAACCTCGGCCTCTGCTGCTGGAAGTGGAGCCGCGTCCCGGGCCGCAGCGGGAGCCTCGAGCCTGGGCTGAACCTGAGCCCCCGAACAGCTCGCTCACCAGCGGCTCCATGACAACCCCTCGCGCCGCCGCCACCACCTCCACTTTGAACCACCAACAGAAACCGCTCGAGCTGTGCCCCACCACCACGCATGCGCCACTCCCTTTTGCCAGCCACAACACACCGTACCGCGCCTGCGCGTCCGCCCCCCGACCCCCCCACCCGCCACAATACTCGGCACCGCTTCACATCTCCCCGCCCCCTCACCGCATGCGCATGCGCCTAACTGGAGCCGCAACATTGCGCTGCGCCTGCGCCATCCTACCGCTTTCGACACAATACTACGCATGCGCTGCCCGGCGAGCGCGTGAAAAATGACGTCAGCCTGTTCGTGCGGCAATGCGCAGGCGCAGAGAGGGTGTTACCATAATAATCCTTACACTTGATATACGTTGGGACATTGCAAAGCATCTCAGAGCATATACCCTAAACTGAATGCACTGTGCATTTTGTGGACCAAACCCACAACAGTTGTGGATTGAGGGACCACATTTCCTTTTGAGGGATTTTTTGGAGTCCCGTAGCTCAGTGGTTAGAGCACTCGCTTTGCAAGCGAGAGACCTGAGTTCAATTCCAGGCAGAGGGCGAAACCTTGGGCAAGTTTCCTTACTCCGCACAGAGCCTAATAATAATCCTTCCAAAAACACAAAAACAATAATAAATTGGTCATCTTCAATCCACGACTGTTTGTGGGACATTGCTGTGCGCAATTGGCTGCCGCGTTCGCCCACAAATATACAGTCAATTCACTTTACAATGTATTCTGTGAAGCGCTTTGGGACGTCCTCCCGACGTGAAAAGCGCTGTATCAAATGCAAGGATTATTTAGGATTATATAACCCTGGAAAATGATCCGACAATCACCTAACAACCAGGTTCCTACTTACTGCTGGGTAAACAGAGGGGTGTGGAGTAAGGAAACTTGCCTAAGGTTCTGCCCCACCTGGGAATCGAACCTAGGTTCTCTGGCTTGCGAGGCGAGCGCACTAACTACTACACAACAGGACTCCACAGTGTTGCAACTGTGCAGTGGTTCCTGAGCCATGTGCTTCAGAGCCCAGGCAGCCTGACTCCTCGCCAGGACTTGGAAGGATAGGCATTCATTCTCCTTAGCAACCTGTGCTGAATACTTCACAGAATAGTTGTGCATCGCTGGGGTTAGCACAGCATCCCAGATTCCAACTGCCTATTATTCTAGTTGATTCAATACAATTTGCATTTATATAGCATAGCGCCTTTCGCATCAAGAGGACGTCTCGACGTGATCCACATTGCTGGAGATGCGGTTGGGGGAAAAGTGACCAAAGGCACAATCAAAACAATGTGTTTTGGCATATGAAAGATCCAGCATCCTCACTTTCAAAATCCCTCCAATGTCACCCCACCCTACCGACCTAGTTGCTCCCTCCTCTCAATTGAACAGTAGCCTGTTTCATGGCCCCCCCTCACCATACTGAGCTTTTAGCTATTCTGTTTTTGCTTTCTGTAACTCCATGCTGGAGTCCTGCCAATGCACCTTCTCCCAACCCACTTTCAAAACCTGCTTGCCTCTTTAACCACACTTTTGATCATCTTTTTTATCCACCACTACCTCCCACCACCCCCCAACTGCCTAGCCAACTGTATAAAACATTTTGACATGCCCTTCCAACTTGAAAGATGCGAGATAATGTCAATTGTATTACTGGAAAAGAGAATTGGTTATTTCATAGGGACCTTCTTGCAATGTTTTTCACTTCACTTGACTACAATTCCTCGTGAAATGTTTCACAGCAGTTTGACAGAATATCAGATGGAAGGTTTTTGTTTAAAAAATGGCAGGGGGGAGGGAGGGGAAGAGATCCTTACAGCAGGGATCTCTGAATGGCAGAAGCTGGTATCGGAGAGGTTGGAGATTGGTTGATGCTATCATACGGACTACAGATCAATCTCCTAGTGGGCAAAGGGACCACACTGCAGAATGGCACACAGAGCATGAAGAACGCCGGTTCCAATTTCTCAAACACACTCCTTGCTAGTCTCCTCAGTTCCATCATCCTCAAGGTCCAATTCATACAATACTGTGCCTCCCTCTTCTTCACCCATACCAAACTCTACACCTCAATCCTCGCCAGGCTCCCATCTCTGAAACAATTAATTTCAAGATCCTCAGACTCACTACAAATCTCTTCAACATCCTAGCTACTCCTTAGCCTCTCTGTTCATACCCCACTCCACTCTTATCGTTGCTCAGCTGATACAGACTTGCTACCCGTCTCCTGAAACTCCCTTCTCTTTCAAATCGTGCAATAATAATAATAATCCAACGGGTTCTTTAACGTCTTCCTGAATAGACAGGACAAGATCTCGGTTCATCATCTCATTCAACAATGCCACATTCCCCCACCGCTGAAACAATGTGCCAAGCTAGACTCCCGGGCAGGGCAAAACCCTAGTCAAGTTTCCTTACTCCACACGCCTGTTTACCAAGCAGTAAGTAGGAACCCAGTTGTTAGTTGATTGGCGTTTCCAGGGATAATAATCCATTAAAAATAATAATAATTTGGTCACTCAATCCATGAATGTTTGTGGGACACTGCAGTGTACAATTAGCTTCCAAGTATTGCCTACAAAATACAGTCATTTCACTTTACAGTATATTCTGTGAAGCGCTTAGAGACATCTCAACGACATGGTAAGGTGTATATCAAATGCAATGATTTTTATTATTATTATGAAGCCTCAATGTGGTGCTTGAACTCTCAACCTTCTGACTCAAGAGGCGAGATTATGACCAACTGAACCAGGCTCAAGGTGAGCAAAGGGGTCAAAAATAGAACTATTAATATCTGAATCATCAGAGAAAGTCACTTTTAAAAATATTAATTCAGCTTTAATTTATTTTGTAATTCAAAAGAATCTTAATTCAGAAAATCACCCGTACACCCAAAGACTGAACTGCACATGTGCAAAGAATGATTTTTATATAAACCAGGGTAGTGTAAATTGAAGTGTGCATGCACCAGGATAGTGTAAAACAGGAGTGTACGCACCAGTGTTGTGTAAAATAAACATACCTAGGGCAAGGCAGAATGAAACAAGTGAGCAATTGTGTGCCCAGCGGGATAAGTGTGAGATGACGGCGTAACAAGTGTCAGATCATCCATATGCCAGATTAGTAAAAAAACAAGTGTGTGCAGGCCACGGCAGTGTGAAACAAGTCACAGCCTGTGCATACACCAAGGTAGTGTTCAAAAAATGTGAGGTTACGCCAGAGTAGTGTGGAATGAGTGCCGGGCAGGGCGGTGTGTAACATGACAAGATGTCTAGTTCCTGCAGTACCTGATGAGATGGATCATAGCGGGCACGCACCAAGCATCTGCTGTTGTAGACGCAAGGGGTGAGGCTGTGTCTGCTTTCCTGCAGCTAAAAGTATTACATCTAACAGGGGGCAGGAGAAACCCTGGCTGGAAACTGCATCGGGAAGGTGGGGAAACAATGAAATGAAGCTAAATGGAGGGGGAACAGAGGAGCAGAGATCAGCTGAGGAGTTGACACAGACATATATATAGAAAGATACAGAAATTGTTAATTGCAATTGGGAAAATAAATGTAGAATATATTCAGATGCTGCAAGGCAATAAGGGGGCGCAGGTTCAGGCAGGTTTAGGACAGGCACTAGAAGCATTTCTTTACACAGAGGGGAATTAATGTCTGGAACAGGTTACCAGATAAGGTGGCTGAGGCTAGAAATCTGGGACACATTTAGGAAGCTTAATGCTGCGGTGGAAAGACAATAGAGAACTGGTAGCCTGAAATCAAAATGGGCCAAAGGGCCTTCTTCACTTGCGAGTCCTGGGAGCGTGCGAGGCTAAGGGAGAGAAAGCCAGTGGGAATATGAGGTGGTGGGAGGGATACCCAGTGAGTGTGTGAGGTGGTGGAAGGGATAGCAAGTGAGCGTGCGAGGCAGTGGGAGAGAAAGCCAGTGAGTGTGCGAGGTGGTGGGAGAGAAAGCCAGTGAGTGCCCAAGGCAGTGGGAGAGAAAGCCAGTGAATGTGCGAGGCAGTGGGAGAGAAAACCCAGTGAGAGTGTGAGGTGGTGGGAGAAACACCCAGCAAGTGTGCGTGGCAGCAAGAGGAAGTTCAGTAGCTGATGGGAGACCTGCTGAACTATCCAGAGCTACTCTGGGCAGAACTGCAGCACCAAGAGAGAGTTTAAATTAGTCATTAATAGTTCACATTGGTTCATGTTCAGATCGTAGCAGGAAATGAAACTGCCTCCACGGTGAAACACTCCTGAGATGCACTGTAAATGGGGTAGAGGTTCTACACCAGCAGATGAGCGGCCCTGTACCCTGACACCAGTGAACTGTCCTGCCCCACACTCACATCCTGGTGTCAGCCCAAGAGAGGGCTGCAGTGGGACAGATCCACGTTGCTGGCGCTCAGACCACGAGATTCTGTCAGGTTACTTTTAGATCCCTTAGGAAGAAAAAAAGATACAAGTTCATGTGCAAGTACGTGAGAGAGAGTGTGTGAATGAGTGAGTGTGTGTGAGTGTGTATATGAGTGCTAGCGAGTATGAGTGAATATGTGTGCTGTGTGAGAGTACGTGAATAAGTGAGTGTACACGTATATACGTGAGCAAAAGTTAGTGAAAGCATGCATGTGTGTGCATGCGCGTATGCGTACATGACAAGAAATCGTGGGCGTGCGTGAGAAACAGAGAGCGGCGCATATGACAAAGGGCTCGCATATGTGTGTGTGTATAAGACACAAAGAAAGATTGTGTAACAAGAGAGGACTGCGAGCGCCTGAGAAGGGACTGCGAGTGCGAATGTGTGGGAGGGAGTGCGAGAGTGTGTATGTGGAAGTTCGCGAGAGTGTGTGTGTGAGGGAGTGCGAGTGTGTGGTGCGTGTGTGTGTGCGAGGGAGTATAAGTGTGAGTGCATGTGAGGGAGTGCAAGTGTGAGAGAGAAGCTCTGGGTGGAGATTCCTACCTGGAATGAATCAGTTCCCATTCGGTTCAAGTAATTCAGTGATGCTGCTCGCTTCATACTGAAAAACAGAGGATATGTTTCATTTACAAAACACAGTCACTACACTTTACAGTAAATCTTGTGAAGCGCTTTGAGATGTCCTGCTGACATGAGAGGTGCTATGTCAAATGTAAGGATTATTATTTTAGTCATTGTCATATCCACAAGTGAAGGCTCAAACTCAAGCTTGTCAGATGTCAAGTAACCAACTTGTGACTTTTCTTCGGGCGGGTGGGTGGGGGGTGGGGATTAGGGGTGGGGGGGTAAGCAGGGTCTCCTTGGAGCTGAACTAACTCCGGGATGACATGCTTGGCAATAGAATGGGTGATGGTCTCTAGTTCGGTTCCTGAGCCAGGTAGGTCCGCAGCATTTGTCATTGGGGGCAGGGACTCAGCTTCCATTAACTCTCCGGGTTAAAGCCCTCATGTGTAGGGTGTACTGTACTGGACAAGCTATGAGAAAGCTTGCTCTCAGCGCTCTCAATGCCAATTGTGGTTTTAGCTGGTTAGACTCCAGCAGTTACCCCAACGCACACTCTGGAGTCACCAATCCTTGGGTATCCCAACCTGTGCCTAATACTCTCCGGAATTAGGTAATCAGGATACATCCCTCCAGGGAGAGAGTGTACGTTCCATTCCAGACATAGGCAAATGTTCATGTGTAGGTGACATATATATGGTTTGGTTAAGCTTAAGCACGGTGATTGGTTTTTATGTCAGACACTTGGCTGATTAAATTTGGGGTGAGAATCCTCCACATTATACCTTGGGTTCCGGGGCTCTGGGGGACCGTTTCCCTGCAGTTTCTTCACCAGCATCTCACTGCTGCGGCGCAGAACGTCCCGGATTCTGCCAAAGGAGCCGCTGCGCTGGAGAGTTCCCGAACCGTCCTGCAGAGAAAGAGGCAGAAAGCAGTGAATCCCGTGCCAGCCCTGGGGTTCAATAAGGGGTATCAATCTGGCTCAGTTGCTCCCACTCTTGCCGCCGAGTCAGACAGTTGTAGGCTCAAGGTCTACGATAGGACTTTGAACTCAGTCTAAGCTGATTCTCCAGTGCAGTGCTTGGGGGGCATTGTCGGAGGTGCCGTCCTTTGGAAGAAATGTTAAACTGAGGTTCCGTCTGTCTGTTCAGGTGGACATTAAAGATCCTGTGGCGCTATTGGAAAAGAGAAGTGAGTTTCTCTATCCTGGTGTCCTCGCCAACAATCCCCCAGATATTAACAGTGATTCAGACTATGGCTATTTGTGGGACATTGCTGTGTGCAAACTGTCTGTCGCATAACAAATAACAGGCATCCTGTGAAGCGCTTTGAGATATCTTGAGGACATGATGAGTCGCTATATCAAATACAAGTATTATTTATTACTAATCCCCTGCAGCACCGGTCAACATGGTGTCACTGTCTGTCCCCCACCCACCCGCGCCCATGTGTAGCAGTAAGAGTCAGGGTGAAGCAGAGGAGAATCCACACCAGCTCAGAGTTCCATCCAGAGACAACATTTATTAGATATTAATTTTTTTGTTACAGCAATTCAAAAATAAAAAATGAAAAACAGAGAAAAAAAACAGCTACAAAGAGGGAGTGCAGAGAAAATAATCAATCCATCCACAGTTCCCAACCTCAGAGAGACATATAGACAAACGGAGTAAAGAGTGTGTATGAGAGAGAGGGAGAGAGACAGAGACACAGCCAGAGAGAGGGAGAGAGAAAGAGAGAAACACACACACACACACACACACAGATAGAGCAAGAGTTAGCGAGCGAGTAAGAAAGAACAAACAGTGAATGAGAAAGGAGATGAATGGAGAGAGATAAGAGAGAGAGAGCAATAGGGAATCAGGAGAGGCAGCATCTGTGAGAGAAGGCCTGATTCCCAGGCACTGTAACGATGCCCTGATACCAGGTGGGTAAAGTGACACAGCTCTGTGCCACTCTCACTGCACCAGCTCAGGGCTACAACACAACACACTCGACTAAGTGGGAGGAGGCGGGTGAAGGAACGGGAAAGAGAGGGTAGGGGCTGCGCTCATCTCATTCGATATGGGGTCCTGCAAGGCAGCTCTGTGAGCACAGTTACGGCGGCAGCAGGTGTACGAGTGGGAAAAGTAATTCAATATTTAGCAGTTTAGACAGGAGAAGGAAGGGATTCCCAAGCACCTGGGGGGGGGGGGTCTTCTCTCGGGAGGTGATATGACTCCTCCACCACCGTAACACAGGACCAACTGAGACTCTGACAGCCCTCGTACTGGTGACACATTGGGTACACCAGTGAGTACTGCACTGAGTTGAGCTGAGATACTGCTGTCCATAGCCTGTTGGGCAGGGCTGCATCACACCTGGTTTCAAACTGCCCGAACAACAATCTATCACTGAATAATAAACACAGGGCACTAGGACTCGATACATAATGCTAAAATCTATAAAATGTTAGATGTGACTAAAATCTACTCTGAACGTCACAGGCTGTGGGAACGGCAAGACTGGTAAGACATCTGTACATTTCCCATTCACCAGCTGAGTTCTGAATTTCACAGACACCCCCCATGACCAACAGTTTACAGTTACCTGGAGAGACTGGAGGATTAACGGGGGAAATTTAACGGGTTCTCAAGCTGCTAAGTAATGCTTTGAATAAAAGTAAATTAAAACATCTCCACTGAGCAGCGAGTCAGTGACAGTAGGGAATATAGACAATAGGGTGTTACTGAGGAATATCAGCAGGCAAGAAAGAAGACATTAGAATTATTTTTTTTTTAAACAGAGGTCGTTAAGAGTGGGGTCTGCTTTACCACTAATGGCTGACGAGTCTGTAACAACATTTAAAAGAGAACTGGATAAATACTTGAGGAAAAATGATACTGAGCGGCACAGGGAAAGAGTAGAGGTTTGATGACCCCAGTGGGGAGCGAGCATGAGCACAGGGACGAAAGGCTGAATGGCCTCTATCTGTGCTGTGATACAGCTCTGAACACACCGACCGGCACACAATAACTGAACGCGCTTCACGTTTCAGCAACACACACAGATAGGACAAGAGATGGATAAAGGTCTCTGCGTACATACTCTCAGCTCACGTTCCCCACCGCCATTTGCAAATAGCAGAAGCTGCTCTCAGTTCAAATCCCTGACACAAAAACTGACACAAACGACCCTTTCCATCAGGGAGTGAGCTGTGGGGAAGTGAGTGCGGGGAAAGATTATATGGATGAGAAGGGACTATTTGAGGTCAGGACAAGGGACAGAGTAGGTTTAAAGTGATTACAACGCAGGGTTACAGAGCGCTGCTGACAATTTCTCAGTACACAGGAGAGGTAAGATGTCCCTTCTTTAGTTTAGTAGTGATGGAGAGGAGATCACCGCAGACAGGCAGGAATGGTAGAGGGAGGGTCGCTGGAAGGTAAAGCCACGTACATATCCTCGCTCTTGGACACAGGACGGTCGTAGGTGGCATTTAAGCCTAGCAGACAGAAAAAAGGAGAGGGAAAAGAGAGTCAGGTGAATGAATCACAAGGTGCGGAGCTGAGACACAGACAGACACAGAGCGCAAGGGCAGACAAAGATAGGGCACAAGCAAGAGTGTGGATTCCGACAGTAAAGAGCGCCAAAGAGGCACGGAGAGACAGAGAGTGCCCAAGGCTGAAAGAAATGACCTGAAAGACAAAAACAATAAACTAAGGGAGGAAGAGGGAAAAAAAAAAGAACTGGAAGAAGAGACAGAGAAAACAAAGAGGGACAGAGCACGAGCTGAGCACGGTGTGAGTGGAACTGTTGCTGATGGGCCAATAATACATGTGCGCTCTGGTATTTTGTCTTGAGTAGCCATTTGGATGGTAGAGAATTTGCTACCCTCCTCCCCCCCACCCCCACCCACCAGACCCTCCGCTCAGCCCTCTCCGTCACCCCCCACTCCAACCGTACAAATGTTCTTGCGACCACCAAGACACCTTCCCTATAACGAACCCTGCTTTTAATGAATCCCCAGTTTTAACTACCCCAACGTCAAGACCAGATTTTTTCGAATGGAAATCAGCCCTATTACAAGAACACTGAAACATTAACATGATGTTCAATTCAAATGGGTTGTTTCTTCATTTTTCTGATGTAGCTAAATGACCAAACCCTGTTACAGTGAACATCCTAATATAACAATCTGTCCTGCCATCCCCGAGGAGGGGACGTGTTATAGTGAAGTTCGACTGTACAATGAACATGAAGTATAAATGGTTCAAACAGTTAAAAGGCCACAGTTGGATGTTAGCGGCAGTGGAAACCGCGACTCACCCCAGTCCACTCCACGGCCATGCTCACTTCCTCACCCCCCTCCGAGCTCCCCTCGTACTTGACCAGCCCCTGGTTCCGTCTCCGCTCAGGGGTCTCACCATCTTTCAAGATCTCCACCACTTTAGTCTGGTTGATGGGGTCCAGACCCTGAGAGATAGAGAGAGAGAGAGAGAGAGAGACATACACAGTATAACCTAGATCTTGCAGCCAGAAATCACTGTATCATTTAGAATCCACATTGATGTTACACCATGTCAAGTTAAATTGTAGGAAAGTGAATAAACATGACTTACAGAGGTGCTCTAGGGCAGCGAAGGACAAAAAGAAAGAGACATTGGAGTCAGTACAAAGCGTCACATTGTGCTCGCAGAGCGAGACAGCTAATGGTGATAACTCTCCACAGTGATGATGAAAACGTGTGTGTGTGTGAGTGTGGGGTCCCTCGGTGCCGTCAGTAGTTAGCGCGTGTGTTGCTGTGGGCTATCAGTGCTGTCAGTAGTCAATGTGTGTGTATGTATGTGGGGGTCGGGGGGTGTTGTGGGCTATCGGTGCTCTCAGTGTGTACGTGCATGTTGCTGTAGGCTATCAGTGCTGTCAGTGTGTGTGTTGCTGTGGGCTATCAATGCTGTCAGTGTGTGTGTGTTGCTGTGGGCTATCAATGCTGTCAGTGTGTGTTGTGTTGCTGTGGGCTACCAATGCTGTCAGTGTGTGTGTGTTGCTGTGGGCTACCAATGCTGTCAGTGTGTGTGTGTTGCTGTAGGCTATCGGTGCTGTCAGTGTGTGTGTTGCTGTAGGCTATCGGTGCTGTCAGTGTGTGTGTGTTGCTGTGGGCTATCGGTGCTGTCAGTGTGTGTGTGTTGCTGTGGGCTATCGGTGCTGTCAGTGTGTGTGTGTTGCTGTGGGCTATCGGTGCTGTCAGTGTGTGTGTGTTGCTGTGGGCTATCGGTGCTGTCAGTGTGTGTGTGTTGCTGTGGGCTATCGGTGCTGTCAGTGTGTGTGTGTTGCTGTAGGCTATCGGTGCTGTCAGTGTGTGTGTGTTGCTGTAGGCTATCGGTGCTGTCAGTGTGTGTGTGTTGCTGTAGGCTATCATTGCTGTCAGTGTGTGTGTTGCTGTGGGCTATCGGTGCTGTCAGTGTGTGTGTGTTGCTGTAGGCTATCGGTGCTGTCAGTGTGTGTGTTGCTGTGGGCTATCAATGCTGTCAGTGTGTGTGTTGCTGTGGGCTATCAATGCTGTCAGTGTGTGTGTTGCTGTGGGCTATCGGTGCTGTCAGTGTGTGTGTTGCTGTGGGCTATCGTAGCTGTCAGTAGTCAGTGTGTTTTTTTTGGGGGGGGTGGGGGGCTCTCTGGGCGCTCAGCGCCCGGTCAGGCTGCTGCTCACCTGTTTGCGGGATCGTGTCGCACACTCCTCCAGCGTCTCCGCGGCCTCCAGCTTCCCCTGGCGCCGGTACAGAGCACCCAGGTTTCGCAGCGTAGTGTTCACTGTGGGGCTGAAAAGCACCAGAATCAACAACCTCACAGGCAAGAGACTCTCGTCCACACTCCCAGGTCAGTGACAGCATGGGTTAGAGGCAGAGTAAAGCTCCTTCTATTCTTCCCCAACATTTAATTGTTTTAATTAATTGCGGAGTCCTGTAGCTCAGTGGTTAGAGCACTCGCCTCGCAAGCGAGAAACCTGGATTCAATTCCCGGCAGGACGAAACCTTGGGCAAGTTTCCTTACTCCATACGCCTGTTAATAATCCCTCAAGAAACAAACAAAAAAAATTAAAAATAATAGTAATTTGGTCACTCAATCCATGACTGTTTGTGGGACGTTGCTGTGCGCAATTGGCTGCTGCGTTTCGCCCACGAGTGTACAATCAATTCACTTTACAGTATATCTGTAAAGCGCTTTGAGACGTCTAGAAGACGTGAAAAGCGCTATATCAAATGCAAGGATTATTATTATTATTAACATTCCTGCCTCCCCTGCAGGTTTCTGTGCTCTGTTTGTGCGCGTGTGTGTGTGCAAGAGAGTGGAACAGATTTTGTGCACATATTTTATATCAGACTATATGTTGTAAGGTGTCAGTTGGTTGTTTAGGTAGAGTAAAACTCTGGCATGCGGTCACTTACCTGTTAACCTTGCAAGCCTTGTACCAGCCGCCGTATTCTGCATATGGGGCGCTGTCCTTGTGTCTTCCCTGCAAAGTAGCAACACTCAAGTCACGCCACGTGGAGCCCGCTCTGCTCGGTTGCATGACCCACTCCCCTCCCTCTCTCTTGCTGTGTCATGAAGCGGGATTCACGGCACTCGCCTCCGTTATCTTACCCGCTAGTGAGCGAGCACCCACTGCACACTCTCCCTGCTCACCGGACTCCCCAAATATTCCCTCCACAAACTACAGATTATCTAGTACTATCGAGGCTTGTGTCCTCTCCCACACCAAGCTCCAGCTGATCACCCCCATCTTCACCCGGCTCCACTGGCACCCCCCCAACCCCCAGAGAATAGAGTTTAAAATCCTCGTCCTCGCTTTTAAAGCCCTCCACAGTCGTGCTCCACCGTGCTCTGTGATCTATTAACACCTGTCCACTCTTTCCATGTCCCACGCACTGCCTGCTTCACTATTGGCAGGCCTTCAGCTTTTCTGCCCCCAACCTCTGGAACTCCATCCCCAAATTCCACCGCCTCGCCCCCTCCCTTGGCCCTTCAAGGCCCGTCTCCAAGACCTTCCTCTTTGATCGTGCTTTTGGTCACCCTCCCACCTCCTCTCCCCTCCAACCCTCTTGATTCCAACCCGCAGCTCGGATGCAAACCCTTAATTGGCCAGTGCCTTGGGACGTCCTCCAAGATGAAAGGCGCTGTATAAATGTAATTTGTTATTGCTGTTGTTGTCACCCTGACTGACATCAGTACCTCAGCACAGAACAAGGATGGGAGTGGACACTGACCTGCTCCTTGTTTAAACTGATACCCCTATGTTCAAATTCACAGCTCCTCTCTCCACTCACCCGTCGTTCCCCTACCCACATAGGTGGGCCCATGAAGAATAGAAGCTTGAAGGGGCGTGGGGATGGGGCAGGGCAGTGGGTTGAAAATACCACCTGCTCCGAGAGCCAGGGCGGACTGGACAGGCTGAATGACCTCCTTCTGTGCTGTAAATTTCTATGATTCTGTGATCTGTTTAGTCTCACTCCATTGCCAAACACCCTTTCTATAATTTCACATTTAAAGCTATCAGGCATCCTGCTTGGGTCCAGGGTTTTTGGCCGGACATTCCATGTCCTAAAAAAAAATGTAATTTAAAAATAATTAAAAAGCTCTTCTGGCCTCTCTCTCTGCTGATGTTGTTGGTGACTGCCTTAAGTTGATGCCCTCTAGTTACTGACCCTTCCCCCTTTTGGGGGGTGTGGATGAGAAAGGCTAGACAGCCCATGTAGAGCGGGCAGACACACAGGTGACCTTACCTTGCTCAGCTCCTCTCGCTCCTCAGCGTGCATCCAGATTGGTTTATTTTCACCTGGAAACAGTCAAGTCAGCATGTCATTGCTGTAGCTACTACCCACTCCCCATTATTTGTGCCTTATCACGTTTCAAAGCGCTTCACAGAATATATTGTAAAGTGGACTGTATATCAGCGGCAGCCAATTGTGCACATCAGTGTCCCACAAACAATCGTGAATTGAGTGACCAAATTACTTACTTAATTTTTTGAAGGGATAATAATAATCCTTGCATTTGATATAGTGCTTAGGGTTGGGGTTAGAGTCCTGACCCAACTGTCCAGCGCTTGGGACATCCTCCCGACATGAAAAGCGCTATATAAATGGAATGTTGTTGTTGTTGCTTTTCATGTCTTCGAGATGTCTCAAAGCGCTTCACAGAATGTACTGTAAAGTGAATTGACTATATATTTGTGGGCTAAACACGGCAGCCAATTGCGCACAGCAGTGTCCCACAAACAGTCATGGATTGAGTGACCAATTTTATTATTGTGTTTTTTTTCTTGAGGGATTATTATTAGGCGTGTGAAGTAAGGAAACTTGCCCAAGGTTTTGTCCTACTGGGAATCAAACCCAGGTCTCTCTCTTGAGAGGCGAGTGCTCTAACCACTGAGCTACAGGACTCCACATTGTTACTCAAGGAAAGCGATCCACCAATCGACCAACAACCGGGTTCCAACTTACTGCTCGGTAAACAAAGGCATGTGGAGTAAGGTAACTTGCCTACAGTTTCATCCTAAGAATTAAACCCTGGAAGCGGAGAAGAGGGATAAGAAACTATGGATGCGGTTGAAGAGGTAGTTTTACCCCAGGTCTTGAAGAAGGATATTGAGGCAAGACCGAGAGGTACAGATGGACAGATAGATCAGGGGGGGGGGGGTGGGGGGAGAGGGGAGCCCGAATTAGCCGATTGGAGGGGACAAGCAGGAGAAGATCAGAGAGGTAGAGAGGTACTAGGGGGTGAATGGATGTGTAGATGAGGACTTTGAAATCGAATCCACTGGAAGACAGTTGGAGGCTGGCCAGGACTGGGTGATGGGTACGCGGGTGAGAATGTGGGCGGCAGATTTACGGATAAGGCGGAGTTAAAGGCCCGGAATGGGGGACAGACGAGATGGAATGGGGAACGGACAGGCCGGGAGTCATGCAGCAAGCCCGAGTTAGCCAACCAGAGGGGGCAAACAGTTCACAGATATCTAGGTGCAAGGCATGAATGGATTTTATCGGACTGCAGTTTAAGGCTTCATCTGAATGGCAACACCTCTGGCCACACTGAGCTGGAATGTCCCGGACCGGGAGTCCTGATGAGGGGCTCGAATCCACAACCTCCTCCCCAGAGGCTGAGGAAGGCGGGTTTAAGGACAGAGCCTGGACTGACAGTGAGGGGCAAGGATGAGGATTGTGGAGCCTGTGTGTGCAATGAGCTCGGAAGTGCTGCAATGTGTTGCTCTACCCAGAGGAATGCACTACTGAGTGGTTTTCTCCCTGGACAGAGAAACGGACCAGTCCCTGGGGTGCACAGGCTAGTCAGTAACATACCATCCACACAGCCAAACTCCTTCTCGTGGGCCCGGGTCAGGATCTCCTTGTACAAGGCCTCCGCGTCCTTGTACTTGCCCTGCTTCAGGTAGCACGAGGCCTGTCAAACAGGAAAAGAGGAAAAGGATTTGATACAGTGTGTGTATATCAAAACATCTTTGAGAGCGTGTAAAATTACTGAAAGTGTAGGGAACAAATATAGCATTTTGCTCACAGCAAGGTCCCGGACATAGGCATCAAGTGAATGACAGGATTTATCATGATAAACCATGCATTTAATATTATACCATGTCACTTTTAAATGTCCTTGTTTTTCCCTTAAGGCGAGTGACTGTGTTTGTAGGTATACACGGCAACAAATTTGCGCACAGCAACATCCCACAAACAGCCATGATGTGAATGATTTGATTGTTTTTTTTAATCTCAAGGATTGTTGGCCAAGTATCAGCCTGTCTTAGTCAATAGCTGCCAAGCCAGAGGCCATGCATTCAAACCACCCGTCAGGATTTTGAGATCTGTCTAAACTTACACTCCAATGTAGGACTGAGATGAACCACACTGTCAAATGAGATGTTAAACCAAGGTCCCGTCCTCCTGTTCAAGTGGATGTTAGAGATCCCAAAGCTCTAGAGAAACTGCCTTCTCTTTCCTATAACGCCACACTAGGGTGTCAGCCTGAGTTCAAAGTCTCGAAATGGGCTTAAACCCACAAGCTTTTGATTCAGAAACAAGACCAGCCTGGCCCCACTGCATCGCGGACACACCAGAGACCGCTGTGACACACTGTGTAGGGTTGCTCGGGTCTCCTCCCCTCCAGAGAGAGAGAGAGAGAGAGAAAGGATTCCACAGAGGTGTGTGCCATCTCTCCTCATGCACCCATTCTTGTGAGCCCTGATATTGATTGTCAGTATTCAACCAAAGGCCATCAAAGTCCAGACCTGGTCACCTCCTCATCTGACATCCATCTGTATAACCTCGGTGGCAAAATAGGAGCTTCACTAATGAGTTATTGGAGTTGAGCTAATTTAAGGGGAGGGGACACTGCTCAAATCTCACCAGGTTGTTCTTGGTTTTGGCCACGTTGGGGTCGTCAGGCCCGAGCCGGGACTCGTAGATTTCCAGCGCCCGCCGGTAGTAATACTCCACCTCCTCGTACTTGCCCTGATTCTGGCACAGCAACGCCAGGTTGTTCAGCTGCTTGGCCACGTCGGGGTGGTCTTTGCCCAGTACCTGCGGGGGGAAACGAGAAGCATCCAGCGCCAGTCAGCGCAGCCTGAGCACACTCAAAGCGCCTGTACGCACAGCTCGGGTTCACCCCGCTCAAGAAGAACTCGCTGGCGTAATGGCCTCCAATACCCAGAGTGAACGTAAGCCATCCAGCTCGCGAATAATAATAATCCTTGCATTTGATACAGCACCTTATCGCCTTATTTTGTGGGTGAAACGAGGCAGCCAATTGCGCACAGCAGTGTCCCACAAACATTCGTGGATTGAGGGATCACATTCTTTTTTGGAGGGATTATTACACCCAGAAAGCGATCCACCAATCGACTAACCAGCCAGCGACCAACTTGCCAGCCAGTGGCCATTTTCTCCTCAAAATACCCATATTATTTTGAAAGCCGCGCCTCCCCACACACAACAACCACTTGGATTTATATAGCGCCCTCCATGCTGGACGGAGTCTCATAGCGCTTCACAGTAACAGATCCCGGGGCCGAGCCAGGGGGAGGGGGACCAAAGGCACGATCGAAAAGAAAGGTCTTCAGCCAAGACCGAGGAAGAGAGGGGGCGAGGCGAAGGGAGTGAGGAAGGGAGTTCCAGAGCCTCGGGGCGTAGTGGCTGAAGGCACGGCTGCCGAGGGTGGAGCGGAGGACTCGGGGGATGAGGAGGAGGCCAAACCCGGAGGAACAAAGGCAACGGGTACTGTTTTGAGGAGAGAGGTCAGAGAGGTAGGGGGGTGCAGAGGAGTGGAGGAATTTGAATACAAGGGTGAGGATCTTGAAGTCGATCCTCTCTGTGACAGGCAGCCAGTGCAGTCTGGCAAAGACTGGGGTAATCGGGGAGAGGAGTTTGGTGCGGGTAAAAATGCGGGCGGCAGAGTTTTGTATGACCTGGATTTTATGGATGGTAGTGGAGGAGAGACTGGCGAAGAGGGCATTTGAATAGTCCAGCTGAGAGGTGACAAAGGCATGGACCAGGGTTTCAGAGGCTTTTGGAGAGAGGTATTGGCGGAGACGGGCGATGCATCGGAGGTGAAAGAAAGCGGTGCTGGTGAGGGATCGGATGTGGGGGAGGAAGGATAATTGGGGGTCGAACCTGACGTCTAGGTTGCGTACGGGTTCGGAGAGTTTTAGGGGGAGGTCGGGTAGGTGGAGGAGGTGAGAACCGTGTGATTTTAGACTTTGATGAGAGCCAAAGAGTATGGCTTCCATCTTGTCAATGTTCAGCTGAAGGAAATTTGCGCTCACCCAGCTCCAGGCAGGCTGACAGAACATCAGGGGACTGGGGGTCGCAAAGTGAGATGGAAAAACAGAATTGGGTGTCATCCGCAATACATGTGGAAATGTACCCCATGTTGCGGATGACATCCCCAAGAGGAGCATATAGATCAGAAAGAGGAGGGGGCCAAGGATGGATCCTTGGGGTACCCCGCAGGTAACCGGGTGAGAGTGGGAGGAGAAACCGTTTGTGCAGGTGCACTCTTAGCGGTTCGTGAGGTAGGACTCGAGTGCGGTCCCACTGAGGTGGATGACGGAGGAAAGACACACATCAGATTTAATCTGTAACCCCAATCCCTGCCCCACATGCTGTCAAACAGGAGCCCAGAGGGAGACAGGATGGGTTCACACCCCCCACAGTCCCCCTCTCTCTAACCCCTTGCCCCACTCACCTTCTCCCGGATCTCCAGCGCTCTTTTGCACAGCGGCTCAGCCTCCTTGTATTTGCCTCGTTTCCCGTACAGCACAGCCAGGTTATTGAGCGTTGCTGCCACCTGCATGCGAGAGAGAACAGACACATGGGTAAATCTCACACAGCAACCCCTCCTAACTACTCTCCTCCCCCAGCCTGATCCCACCGCTCAGCCTGACCTCTCCCTGTCAGCATGATACGCCCCCCCACCACCTCAGCCTGACCTCTCCTCCGGCCTGCACCCCCCACCCCCCCACCCATCCCATCATTCTGGGCTGATCCCCTCCCGGCCCGAACCCCTCCCCTAACTGCCCCAGGCTGCCCCTCTAGCTCCATTCGATTCAGTATCCAGACAGAGTCACTGCGAAGCCACCCTCCTCCACTTGCTCCTTTAGCATGCCCCCACTCCCACAACACCTGGCCCACGTCCTCCCCACCCGTCGCGGTGCCCCCCACCCCCACTGTGTGGAGCTGCCGGTGAGCGAGACTGACCGCGGGATGGTCTCTGCCCAGGGTCTTCTCTCTGATGGACAGAGCGTCGTTCAGCAGGTGTGCCGCCTCTTTGTACTTATTCTGGTCTCTGTAGAAGGGAACGGGAGCGAATCAGTCTCCAGCCAAACAGTCACACTGCCCAGACCAAGGGAAGGGGGTGGGGGTGGGGGGTGGGGGGTGCAACGCATCACTCGGTATAATCAGCGACAGGAGGAAAATGTCTTTTCATTTACTCCAGTGTGCCCTCCTGAAGGTGTTCATTTCCTTCCCTCTTCTCTATTGGGGAACGCGTCTTCCGGTGCCTCATTTCCAGTTGTGCACAGCAAACCGGGAACGCTGGCTTCTTTCCCATTCCCATATCGCCTCTGAGTCAGAAGGTTGTGGGTTCAAGCCCCATGTCGGGACTTGGAATCACATAGTCTAAGCTGACACTCCCAATGCAGTGCTGGGAGAGTGTTGCATTGTTGGACGTGTCGTCCTTCAGATGGGACGTTAAACCACCTGTGTAGGTGGATATCAAAGATGCTATGGCACTATTAGAAATGAGAAGAAAGTTTCTCTTTCCTGGTGTCCAGGCCGACAATCCCCCAAATAAAATTGGTCACTCACTCCATGTCTGTTTGTGGGACAAATTGGTTTGCCACTGTTTCACCCACAAAATACACAGTCACTGCACTTTACAGTAAATCCTGTGAAGCACTAAGACTTCTTGACAGCGTGATAAGGCGCTACATCAAATGCAAAGCCTATTATTATTATTCCAGGGTAAGGGGACAGCAAGAGGTCAGTGCCAGCGATGCGAGCCAGACTGACCTGTAGACGAGAGCCAGAATGTTGAGCATGGTGGCCACGTCAGGGTGGTCATGGCCAGATGTCTTCTCCAGGTCCTCCAGGGCCTGTTTACACAGTGGCACCGCCACCTCATAGCGGCCCTGCGAGGCGTACTGGATCACCAGGTTGTGCAGCGTGCGGAGCCGGGCCGGGATCTCATAGCCTCCCTGCTGGGCAGCAGCCACAGCACTGCTGTTGTGCTGATGGGACACTGAAACAGAGCAACATCCCTGCGTGAGACCCAGCAGAGAATCCAACCCACAGTCAGTCACAGTAACCCCCAGACCCACAGTCAGTCACAGTAACCCCTAGACCCACAGTCAGTCACAGTAACCCCCAGACCCACAGTCAGTCACAGTAACCCCCAAACCCACAGTCAGTCACAGTAACCCCCAGACCCACAGTCAGTCACAGTAACCCCCAGACCCACAGTCAGTCACAGTAACCCCCAGAGCCACAGTCAGTCACAGTAACCCCCAGACCCACAGTCAGTCACAGTAACCCCCAGACCCACAGTCAGTCACAGTAACCTCCAGACCCACAGTCAGTCACAGTAACCCCCAGACCCACAGTCAGTCACAGTAACCCCCAGACTCACAGTCAGTCACAGTAACTCCCAAACCCCAGACCCATAGCCACCCCAGACTCCCCAACCCACGGTCACAGCTACAGGACCCCTGCCCCCAGACTCACTGCCTTGCCCGGTTTCCTCCTCATCATTGGGGAAGAGATCATCCAGTGAATCTTTGGACGTGTCACCATCTTTTTCTTCCTGTTTGTAGGAAAGGAGATATGAGGAGAAAAGAAAATCCCTGGGCCCGAGCGGGGACGATTCACCGCAGAGCTAGAGAACAACGCTGGGAGGAGGGAAGAATCATTAATTGACAACACACCAGCTCGTCACTTCTACAGTAAACCTCATATAAATTGTATTAATTGGGGTCACTCATTTAATCTGACTGATGAAAAGTATGAGTTATGTCAAACTTGCATAAGTTATCTTGTCAAATCCTCACCACCTGTACTTGTTCACTGTTCTGTACTGCGCGTGTGTCCTTGGGCATTGCAGCCAGTAAGTGTACATGACGGGTCGGGACTTGGGTTCCCTCGATTGCCTCACCTGGAGCACTCCATGTGCTGCTTCAAGGTTCTATAAATGAGCATGCGATGACGGCTTCTCATCTCTCTTTCCTCTCTCAGCTCCCCCCGCTCAGTGCGCCATGACGCTGATGTGACACCCCCTCAGGAGTGAGGGCGCGGAAAGCATTATGGCGCGCGGGTGTGCGGTTCCGTTTGAGGTAGGATGCGAGGATTATTATTATTATTACAGACAGAGCGAGGTAGACTCACAGAGGGCGAGACGTCCTCGTCATATTTCTTGAGCTGGTTCATGAACTCCAGGTGCTTCTTCTCCTCCTCGAGCTGGGCCACAGTCTGCTCACTGTGCTGCAGCTTCTGCTGGGTATTGGCCAACTCATCCCGCAGCCACTGGTTCTCCTGGCACAGCCGCCGCACCTGTGCCCTCAGCTTCTGCTTCTCAGACTCCACCGCGCTCAGGTGGTTCGACAGCGCCATCATCACCTTTACACCCACAAAATAAACAGTCACTTCACCTTACAACATATCCTGTAAAGTGCTTTGATAACAGGTGATAAGGCGCTTTACCAAACGCAAGCATTACTATTATTATCTGCCTTTGGTTCTGGAGGGGTGGGGGTGAGGAGGTTCAACATCAGTGCAGCCCACATATGCTGTGAGGGTGCCATGCTGAGTCCCTCTTTGCACACCCTACCAAGCTGGAACTCTCCCTGAGCCACCCACCCACCAGGACGAGCACCCCACTCCTTGTGTCAATTCACCCACCCACCTGTCCCTGTGCTACCCATCCACCTACTCCCCCCAGGTCTGGCACCTCTCCCTGTGCCATCCACCCACCCACCTGGCCTGGCACCTCCTCCCTCTGCTACACACCATCCCAGGTATGGCACCTCTTCCTGTGCCACCACCCACCAGGGCTGGCACCTTCTACCCGTGTCAACCGCTGCCAAGGAATGGCACCTCTACCCACAGGGCTAACACTCTCTCGCTGTGCCATCCACCCATCCGGCCTGGCACATCCTCCCTGTGGCACCCAGCCTGGCACATCCTCCCTGTGGCACCCAGCCCCCGGGGCTGGCACCTCCACACTATGGCACCCAGCCTCGCACATCCTCCCTGTGGCACCCACCCTCAGCTCTGGCATATCTACCTGTGCCACCCATCCCCCCAGGGCTGGTACTACCTACCTGAGCCTCCCCCAGTCCCAGCTCGATCATCTCCACCGACTTCCTGATGAGGTTGGACTTCTCATGCACCAGATTGGCCTCCTCATCCTTCTTGAGGCAGCGGATGGTCTCCAGGAGGCTGTGGAGGATGGAGTGGTGCTCATTCTTCAGGGCCTCGAGCCCCTGGATAACAATCCTGGTGTTGGAGATGATCTCCTCCTGGCTCAGTTTCTCCAGCTTCTCCTCCCGCGGGTAAACCATGGTGGACATGTTCTCGGGGCCTGGCAGAGAGGAGGTACAGCAGCAGGTCAGTCAATCAATGCGGGCACAGACTCAGGAAAGCAAGCAGAGGAATCAGGCAAGAAGTTAGAAGGAATTTCAGGGATGTTAGGCTACTAAGGCTGAACTAATAGAATCATTGAAAAGGCGAACAAGCAGAAGAACAGCGAAACTATTGTAGTGCTTAGGCTTTGTTGTTGAAGGCACCATTGTTCAGATGAGACGTTAAACCAAAGTCCCGTCTGCCTGTTCAGGTGGACATTAAAGATCCCGAGCAATATTGATAAAGAAAAGGTAGTCTCTCTCTTCCAGTGCCCTGGCCAATATTCCCCCAAATGAAATTGGTCATTCATTTCGCGGTTGTTTGTTCATTTCGTGCACTGCAATGCACAAATTGGTTGTCCACAAAATAGACAGTCACTACACTTTATAATAATAATCCTTGCATTTGATATAGCGCTTTTCACGTCGGGAGGACGTCCCAAAGCGCTTCACAGAACACAGTGTAAAGTGAATTGACTGTATGTTTGTGGGCGAACGCGGCAGCCAATTGCGCACAGCAATGTCCCACAAACAGTCGTAGATTGAAAATTACCAATTTATTATTGTTTTGTTTTGGAGGGATTATTATTAGGCTCTGTGTGGAGTAAGGAAACTTGGCCAAGGTTTCGCCATAGATTCTATGTAACAATCAATTGGCTATTCAGTTGGTTGTGATCGCTGCAAGTTAGAAGCCAGAAAAGTGTCACTCACTTCGCCTTCGTTTGGATTTCCTTCAAATTTAAGATTGAACAGAATTTGGATCCTGTTTTCTGCAATTCTTTTAAAAAAAGCTTCCAAATTAAGCCTAAATTTATGAGTTTTTCCACAATTCTAAATCATCTGGAAATTTATGTTTTTGTCGACCGTTTGTCTAAAACATGCAAAACTAACTGAGTACCACATATGCAACTTACACGTGGAAATTTCTGTTTGTTTGGAATGGAACGCACATCTCTCCCTGGAGGGATGCATGCTGTTTACCTAATTCCATTGGTAACCGCAGACAAGGCTTGGTAACCGCAGAGTGTGTGATGGGTCAACTGCTTGAGTCTAACCAGCTAAAAACACCCGGTTTGCCATTGAGAGCACTGTTTGGCAAGCTTCCTGCTGCTTTTCCCTCGCTGGTAAAACATGGGCTCGAAGGGTTAACAGGAGTTGGTTGGGAAGCATCTCTGTCCCCAGTGCCCCATGAAGTCCCGCTGATGAGCCAGACTGGCTGGTCTGCCATCAGCAGTGCTGCGGAGTGGACCTACCTTGCTCAGGAATCAGACTACCAAGACCGCCACAGAGGGTTGACTTGATTCGAACATTCCACTGTCAAACATCTCACCCCACTTAACCCCTCCCCAGAGGATAGTCACTGGTTGGTTATTTGACATGAAAAAAGCATGGCTTTTGAGCCCTCTCAACGCAGATGGCAGATATCAGGAACTCCAATGCGAACTTCCTGGTGAGCAGCACAGCTCATAATGAAATGCCACCATCTTCCTCCCCACAGCACGGACACACATTTCTATCCACTGAGCGATGGTTCCCAGTACTTGCTGAGGTGCAGAGCTTGAGCAGCAGCTGCTTATCTCTCTGCACAACAATCCAGGTGGATTCCAAGCCCTGGCTATATGTCTTCACTGTACTGAATACCGGTCAGGGTGATGACACCTCTGGGGAGAGGAGTCAAAAGCAAATGGATGCACAGGGGGGGACACAGAGAAGAGTGTCAACGCAATTGTCACTGGGGACACAATGGTGAAAGGAGTAGATAGGCTTTTGTACAACCAAAGACGGGGCTCTCGCATGGTATGTTGCCTCGCTGGGGCCAGCACTGAACACATCACAGAACGGGTGCAAAATGTCTACTGAGGGAAGGGGAATATCTGGAAGTCGTGGTCCATTTTTGGATCCATCACATAGGGAAAAAAAGGGCTGAGATCCTACACGGAGAGTATCAGAATCTAGGGAAAAAAACTAAAGAGTAGAACCTCAAAGGTGGTGATCTCTGGATTACTCCCAGTGCCTCATGCACGTGAGTATCAAAACAGCGGGATCAAACACATGAATGCATGCCTGGAGACATGGTGTGAGAAATGCTCAAGATGTAGTGGCAATAACGGAGACCTGGCTCAAACAAGGGCAGGAATGGGAGCTGAATATTCCTGGCTACAATGTATTTAGGAGGGATAGGGAAGGAAAAAAAGGAGGTGGGATGCTGACAATATTGATTAAAGACACGGTTACGGTATGCTAGAGGGTCCAAGAGCAGAATCTATTTGGTTAGAGTTAAGGAGCAGAAAAGGAGCTGTTACTCTGTTAGGTGTATACTATAAACCACCAAATAATGGGAAGGAGATAAGACGAGCAAATCGGCAAGCAGATACCAGAAAGATGCAAAACCAATAGAGCAGTGATAATGGGGGACTCCAATTATCTTAACATAGACTGGCAAAATAACAGTGTAAAGGGCAAGGAGGGGGAAGGATTCCTGAAATGTGTGCAGGATAACTTTCTGGATCAATATGTTTCCGGCCCAGCGAGGAAGGAAGCAGTGCTTTGCCCAGTTCTGGGGAATGAAGTGGGACAAGTGGAGCAGGTTTCAGTAGGAGAGCATCTGGTCAATAGTGATCACAGCATCATTAGGTTTAAAGTACTTATGGAAAAGGACAAGGAGCAATCAAAGATGAAGATACTCAACTGGAAGAGGGCTAGTTTCAATGAGTTAAAAAGGGACCTAGCCAAGGTGGACTGGAAAGAAAGATTAGCATGTAAAACATCTAACAAGCAATGGGAAGCCTTCAAGGAGGAGACAGTTCAGGGATAGAACAAATACATTCACACAATGGGAAAGGTAGGGCATCCAAATCTCCCTGGATGAATAAGGAAATTGGGATTAAAATAAAACAGAAAAAGGAGGCTTATGGTAAATGTCAGGTCCAAAATATAGAAGATAATCAAATGGAATCTAGAAAGTACAGAGGAGAACTGAAAAAGGAAATAAGAGGGGCAAAGAGATTGTATGAGAAAAGTTTAGCTGTAACATAAAAGCGAACCCTAAGGTATTTTATAAGCATATAAAGAATAAAAGGTTAGTCAAAGGTAGGGTGGGTCCAATTCGGGACCAGAGAGGAAATCTTCTTGTGGAGGCAGAGAACATGGCTGAATGAGTAAGTTGCATCTGTTTTCACAAAAGAGGATGCAGCCAATGCCACAGTATCAGAGGGTAGAGAAATTGGATAAGATAAGAATAAACCAAGAGGAGGTCGAAAAAGGTTGTCGAAAAAGGTAAATAAGTTACCTGGTCTGGACGGGATGCATCCTAGGTTACTGAGGGAGGTAAGGGTGGAAATAACGGAGGCTCTGGCCACAATCTTTCAATCCTCCTTGGACACTGGGGTGGTGCCAGGGGACTGGAGGGTTGCAAATGTTACTCCCCTGTACAAAAAGGGGCAGAAGGATAAACCCAAGAACCATAGGCCAGTCAACCTAACATCAGTAGTGGGGAAACTTCTAGAGACTATAATCCGAACTGGCTGCGAGTCAAAAAGCAGAGTGAACGGTTGTTTTTCTGACTGGAGGGAAATGTGCAGTGGTGTCCCCCAGGGGCCAGTATTGGGACCACTGCTGTTTTTGATTTATATAAATGACTTGGATATAGAGAGTACAATTTCCAAGCTTGCTGATGATACCAAGCTAGGAAAAGTAGTAAACAGTGAGGAGGATAGTAGCAGACTGCAAATGGCCATAGACAGACTGGTAAAATGGGCGGACACGTGGCAGATGAAATTTAATGCGGAGAAATGCGAAGTATGCATTTTGAGAGGAAGAATTAAGAAATCCAGTATAAGATACATGGTACAATCTTAAAGGGGGTGAAGGAACAGAGAGACCCGGGGCTTCATATAAGTAAGTCTTTGAAGGTAGCAGGACAGGTAGATAAAGCTGTTAAAAAAATACAGGATATTAGGCTTTATAAATAGGGGCAGAGAATACAAAAGTCAGAAAGTTATGATGAACCTTTATAAAACACTGGTTAGGCTTCAGCTAGAGACAGTGTTCAGTTCTGGGCACCACACTTTAGGAAGGATGTCAAGGCATTGGAGAGGGTACCAAGGAGATTTACCAGGATGGTACCAGGAATGAGGGTCTTCAGTTATCAGGAGGGGCGAGAGAAGCTAGGATTATTCTCCTTGGAGCAGAGAAAGTTAAAGGGAGACTTGAAGTTTTCAAAATTATGAGGGGATTCAATAGGGTGAACAAGGAGAAATTATTTCCACTGGCAGGTGGGTCGGTAACCCAAGGACACCAATTTAAAATAATTGTTAAAAGAAATAGAGGGGAGGTGAGGAGAAACTTTTTCACACAGCGAGTTGTTCGGATCTGGAACGCATTGCCTGAAAGGGTGGGGGAAGCTGATTCGATAACAACTTTTAAGAGAGAAGCAGATAATTATTTGGGGAGGACAAGTTTGCAGAACTATGGAGAGAGAGCGGAGGAGTAGGATAGGATTGATTTGGATAGCTCTTTTCAAAGCGCCGGCACAGACAGGATGGGCCAAATGGCCTCCTTCTGTGCTGTATAATTTGATGGTTCAGGTGAATTTCCATTCTAAGACAAAGACCCCAAAGAACTAACTTCAGGACTCAGGAGATGGCAGGATCGTAGAAAGCTGAGCTGTGATGTACAGACAATGCAATCGTGACTTATTGGCCTACAAGAGGGGCACTCAGCACATCTCACCAGGAGGGATCAGAGTTGATTTTGTTCATATTCCTCTCCCTGTACAACAGTTCAAGTGGACATTCAAGTCCTCAGACAGTATCTGCTAGAATGGAGAATTTCTCTGGTGCACTGGCTGATATTCTCCTTGATCCCAAGTTCATAGAATCCTAGTAACCTGATCTCAAGCCCATGAGGTTGACTTAGGTTGATCCCAGCAAAAGTGTAACCATCGACAACAACCAGAAAACCTGTGACCTGCAGATCCACTCTAAGGCACTGCTGATAGCAGATTAAAGCCTGTGTGGGTCTGAGCCTCCTTTGGGTGTTGGCCCAGCTCAGAGCTCTCACCTCCGAGTCAGAAAGTTGTGGGTTGAAGCCCCACAATGGGACTTTGAGTTCACCGTCTAAGCTGACACTTCAGCACAGTGCTGGGGGAGTGCTGAATTGCTGAAGGTGCCGTCCTACAGATGAGACATTAAATGAGGTTCCGCCTGTGTATGTTCTGGTGGACATTAAAGATCTCATGGCACTATTGAAAAACAGAAGGGAATTTCTTACTCCTGGTGTCCTGGCTAATAACCCTCCAGATAAAATTGGTCACTCACTTCATAGCTGTTCCATGGACATCACTGTACGCAAATTCACTGCCACGTTCACCTAAAACACTTTATAGGGTATACTGTGATGCATTTTGAGATATCCTCCCAACGTGAAAGATGCTGTGTCACATTTAAGATTTTATTTTTAAACAACAGCAATATCAAATTACATTTATGCAGCACTTTCACATTGGGAGGATGTCCCAAAGCACTGGACAGTCAAGGATTTGGACCTGAGCTGGGGGTTGGAATCAGGAGGGGTGGAGGCAGGGAGGGTGACCGAAGGTGCAGCCGAAGAAGAAGGTCTGGCTTGATGGGTGGGAGGGTGGGCACCTTGCTGTTGTGTGAGCCTGCATCCACCTCTAACAATGCAGTGCTCATTGGCGTATCAGCCTAAACTACAAGCTCAAAGTCCCGATGTTCGGCTTGAATCCGCAACCCTTTGACTCAGAGGCGAGAGCGCTACCACTGAGCCAGGTGGAGCTCTGATCTAGCAGCGGGAGGAGCCAGACGCAACCTCTCCCTCACACTAAGCTTCACATCCATCCCTCCCTCCCTAATACCAACCCCTCTTGAACTCTGTATATGTAGAGTCCTGTAGTGCAATGGCTCGAGCACTTGCCTCGCAAGCAAGAGGACCTGGGTTTGATTCCCAGATGGGTGAAAGCATAGGCAAGGTTCCTCGCTGCACACACCTCTGTTTACCCAGCAGTAAGAAGGAACCCGGTTGTTAGTCAATTGGGGGATCACTGTCTGGAGGGTAATAATCCCTTCAAAAAAAAAAAAATGTGGTCACTCAATTCACGGCTGTTTGTGGGACACTGTTGTAGCAATTGGCTGCTGGGTTTTGCCCGCAAAATATACAGTCAATCTACTTTACAGTATATTCGGTGAAGCGCTTTCAGACATCTCAAAGATGTGATAAGGCGCTATATGAAATACAAGGATTACTCTTGTTCTTATTATGTCCCTGTTCTCTGAAGACTTTCTCTTACTCTGCAGTCTGATTTGCATTCTCACACATCGTACATTGTGTAGAATTAGTTCTGAACTCCAGGCGGATTTTCCGATTGTCAAACATTATTCAGAGGACGGAAGGTGTCGGCGTCAGAGCCTGGGATCGCAAGGACTCGCCACGAGAGCCAGGAATGAACGTTCTCAGGGACGGGGCTGTGCGCAATTGGCTGCCGCCTTTCACCCCTACAGTCTACTCCGTGAAGCGCTTCGAGTCGTCGATAAGACGCGAAAAGCTCTACATTTAAAAGAGCTAAATTCAAGGGTTATTTCTTTTATGGTGTCGGGGATGGGTATAAAAACCTGCAAGCAGTTACAAAACCTGGAGTCTGGGGCTGCAGATGGTCCTGGAGCGGGAGCGGCGAGCTGGATACATAAGCCGAGAGGCCCGGCTTCTACACTCCCACGTCTCAGCACATCGGCGATTCACAGTGAGAAAAATAGCAGAGCACTTTGATCCCGGGGGCGAAATACAAACAGGCTGAGGCTTGTGAATCGCGCACAGCGTCAGCTTAAGCCCCGGCACCTGCCCTGCCCTGCCCTGCCCGGCCCGCGTGTGTGTGTGTGTGTGTGTGCCTTTGACAAAGGTTGTCGCAGAGAAACAGGTGAGACCACATCGGCACGTCTGCAGTCTCCAGGACAAAGGCTTCCTACCTCCCGCCTGTCCTCAGCGTGTGTCCGCTCTCCCCATCGGGGCCAGAGAGGAGCCCAAACCAAGGCACCTGCCCCCACCCTCCACCGTGTGCCTCAGCCTCCACCCCCCTCCTCCCCCCCCCCCACAGCCTCGCACAGATGCTGCAGTGAGGAAACCAATCAGCGGCCCCCACAGCACAACTGGGTGTGAACAGCACCGAGAGCATCACAGAGCAGAGGCTGTCTGTCTGTCTGTCTGTCTGACTGACTGTCACACCCCCTGCAGCTGCCGCACACCCCCAGTAGCCCGAACAACACAGAGCTTTGCCCCTCCTCACATTCAAAACACCTCGAAAGCGCTGCGCTTGCTTCACAGTGATTACTGTCCAGTGTAGTAACTATCTCTGTAGGCAAATATTGCAGCTGATTTGCACACACAGCAATGGGAGATGAATTAGCGATGTTACCTGGAATTTTGTTGGCTCGGTCACTGAGAGAATTACACAGAACATCACAGCACAGAGACAGACCGCGCGGCCCAACTAGTCCGCACCGCGTGAGCCTCCACCCCTCCTAATCCCCTCGATTCCCTTCTCTTTTCCAGTGTGCTGTGGTATCTTTAATATATCCCCCTGAATCTGGAGCTAAGAGATGGATATAAAGTCTCAACTGAAGGGCAGCAACTCTGACAATGCAGCACTTCCCCCAGTCCGGAGTGTCAGCCCAGACTGAGCTCAAGTCCTGAACCCTCAACTTGGCTCTAAGTGAACCACACTGACTGCACAGCCTTAACAGCAACAAATGACACGTGTATAACGCCATTCACATCAGGAGAATGTCCTAAGGTGCCGGACAGTCAGGATTTGCACCCAAGTGTGGTTGGGATCAGGACGAGTAGAGGGCAGGGAGGGTGGGGGGTTAGGAGGGTGACGTAGGAGCGGTTGAAGAGGAGGGTCTTGAGATGGGCCTTGAAGGAGGCAAGGCCAAGGGACTGTGGGATGGAGTTCCAGAGGGTGGGAACAGAAGCAAACAAGAATTAAGGGGAATGTTCTCCCGATCCTCCACTCTACAAGGGGTGAATATCGGAAGCGGTTTGTTTCCGAGTCAGGTTGGTGCCAGGCAAAACAGCTCCACCGCCCCAACACCTTGCCGGTGGATTGGGGAAACAACCTGGGCCAGATTTCACCGGGAAATGACTCCCAGCACAGGTTTATCACAAGACGTTCCTGGAATCGATGAGTGTGTGCTGAGATCACCAAAATTCAAAACTGTTTTGGACGTGCCTGGCTACAACTAGAATTGTGAGCAACTACTTTACACCAGACACTATGCACAAATCCACCCCCTCCCCCATCACCACCATCATCATCAATCCCCTCTGCAGTTCACATTGTTACTGCCTCCCATTGATTTTCATTACAGAATCAATGCAGGAAAATCGAGGCTGTGCTAACAGCGGAGAGAATCAAAACAGCTGAGGACTGCTATTGTGTTAATATTAAAGTGCTTCTCTCACAGGCCCGGGTACAGTCTGGTTAGTGACAGATAGTGCAGACCTGCAGTATAAGCTGATACTGAGCCACACGCAGAAACAAACACACACACGCACACACCTACCTGGTATCACTAAAGATGGGACAGATTACAATAACCACAGCAGCTACTCAGATAGATCAGCCCGATCGTCAGACACACAATGGCTGGTGAGGAGGTGCTTCCCTGCTCCCTGCACTGCGATCCCCTCCACAACACGGCTGCTTAATGCCCCCGGGAAACAGACGCTCCACTTGAGAAGCAGGCCTGGGAGCTGCTGCCTCAGCAACACTGACTGCCTGACTCACCCTGAAACAAAGCCAGAGCAACCAACCTGCCCAGCCCTGGCTTTTACATTAACTCTCACAGCTGCCCCGCGAGCTGTGAGATCACTTGATCCTTTCCCATTGCTGTTTGTGTGTAGATTGGGTGATACGCCTCATCTCAGTTCAGCATCGAAGGACAGAGCAAGGAGACCTGCCACCATCTCCCGCAGTATGTAACCTTGCTGGCTGCTCCCGGGGAGGGGATCGGGGACAGGATGGGAACAATGCTTTATCAGGTTTGTTTGTCCCTATACTGCAGTGCGAGTGACCCTCAGCAATGGCCAAATAATAATCCTGGCATTTTGATGTAGTGCTTTATAGTGTTGGTGTGTCAAAGCGCTTCATAGGATTGTATTGTAAAGTGTCGTGACTGTCCGTTTGCCGGCGAATGCAGCAGCCAATTTGCACGCAGCAATGTCCCACAAACATCCATAGAGTGAGTGAGCAATTTTATTTGGGGTATTGTGGGGCAGGACACGAGGAGACAGAAACTCCCTTCTCTTTTCGAATAGCGCCGCAAGATCTTTAACGACCACCTGAACAGGCAGTGACGTCAGTTTATCGCCTCATCTGTTCAGATGGTGCCCCCAACAGTGCAGCGCTGTAATGGCGTATCATCTTAGACTTTGGGACGTGGAGCTTAAATCTCCAACCACCTGACTCAGAGGCGAGAGAGCGCTGAGCCGGTCTGACACCCAGAAGATGCTCAGCCCTACTCTGGCTCAATCCGTCACGGCATCTCTGGCTGTTGCCGGTAATTACGGTCTCTGGCCGGGACCAATGCAAATCAGCGGATCGACCTCAAGGGTCACTCCGCTCGGAGTACAGTGTCGACAGAACAGCCCTGGATAACAGAAAGTTAACTTCCTTTCACACCGCTCTGAGTCGCTATCCTGCATGAAGGTTGCTATATAAATGCAAGTTATGGATAATAATAGGAAGAATCCTTGCATTTGATATAGCCCTTATCACATTGTCAAAACATTTTCAAAGCGCTTCAAGAATATAAAGTGAATTCACTGTACATTTTGTGGAGAAAACGCAGCAGACAATCGCACACAGTAATTTCCCACAAACAGTAGTGGATTGAGTGACCGCATTATTATTTTTAAGCGATTATTACCCCCGGAAAACGATCCGCCAATCGACTAACACTCGGGCCATGTGGAGTAAGGAAACTTGTCAAAGGTTTCGCACTGCCCGGGAATCGAACCGGATCCTCTCGCTTGCGAGGCGAGTGGTCGCTGATTACAATAATTGGATAATTAGCGGATCCTGTTGCTGGATATATCTGAGGCCGGACTTCTGCTCAGCCACAGAGACAGGCCTCAGCCTGACCTCGAGCACTGAAGCAGGGCTCATTGCAGCAGAATGCTCTGGCCTTTGGCCAATTACTGGGTGGGACTCGGGAATGGGGCGCATCAGAGAAAGCACACAACTCAATGTAGGACCAACACCGTGCAAAGCCCTGGCACTGAGCACAACAACATTGTTACAGGAGGAGGCCATTGACAGCAATGGGTTTAGTCCAGAATAATCATTGCAAACCATGGCCTTATTTTCGCCCACAAAGTACACAGTCAATTCACTTTACAGTATATCCTGTGAAGCACTCTGAGATGTCTCAACGACGTGATAAGGCACTGTATCAAATGCAATCTCACTTTCCAATGCGTGAAGTAGTTTCTCCTAAATTCTCTTTTTGATCCCCAGACACTAACATTTGTGTCCCCGGGTTACAGACTCCTCAACCAGTGGAAACATCCTATTTAGATTAACATTCTAAGATAATTGGATAAGATCAAACACTTCAGTGGCAACGGGTGAAAAGGGGGGGGCGGGGGGAGGATAAACACCATAATCCTGACAGTCAACTCTGTACCCCCATCACACTAGTCCTCGACAGGCTCCACTGGCTCCCTATCACAGAACAGATAAGACTTCAAGATAGACTCACTCTCCTACAAATCCCTTCACATCTTGGAACCGGTATCTCCCTGATCTGCTCACGCCCCAATCCACCACCTGCCACCTTCGATGGACTTACGCCAGCCTCCTGCTTGCCCCTCGTCCCCTCCTCTCCACCATCAGCAACCGTGCTTTTCAGTCACTGCGCCCCAAAACTTTGGGGAACGCTCTCCCTCCATCCCCCTCTTTCCCTTTATTCTGATGACTTTCCTCTTCAATCATGCTTATAATAATAATCTCCCCTGGCCCCCCCTCCCCGATCTCTCCCCACCGACCCTCATCTCTCCCCCCCCCACCATCCCTGATCTCCTCCCCCCCCAGTCACTGATCTCTCCCTCCTCTCCCCCCAGTCCCTGATCTCCCCTCCTCCACTGTCCCTGATCCGTCCCCTCTCCAGTCCCTGATCCCTCCTCCACCCAGTCTCTCCCCCCCAGGCCCTGATCCCCCCCCCCCCCCACAGGCCCTGATCCCCCCCAGTCCCTGATCCCCCCCCCCCCCCACAGGCCCTGATCCCCCCCCCCCACAGGCCCTGATCCCCCCCCCCACAGGCCCTGATCCCCCCCCCACAGGCCCTGATCCCCCCCCCCCACAGGCCCTGATCCCCCCCCCACAGGCCCTGACCCCCCCCCAGTCCCTGATCCCCCCCACAGGCCCTGATCCCCCCACAGGCCCTGATCCCCCCCACAGGCCCTGATCCCCCCCCCCCCCCCACAGGCCCTGATCCCCCCCCCCCAGTCCCTGATCCCCCCCCCAGGCCCTGATCCCCCCCCAGGCCCTGATCCCCCCCCAGGCCCTGATCCCCCCACAGGCCCTGATCCCCCCACAGGCCCTGATCCCCCCACAGGCCCTGATCCCCCCCACAGGCCCTGATCCCCCCCACAGGCCCTGATCCCCCCACAGGCCCTGATCCCCCCCACAGGCCCTGATCCCCCCCACAGGCCCTGATCCCCCCCACAGGCCCTGATCCCCCCACAGGCCCTGATCCCCCCCACAGGCCCTGATCCCCCCCCACAGGCCCTGATCCCCCCACAGGCCCTGATCCCCCCCCACAGTCCCTGATATCTGTAATAAATTGACGTGGATTAATAATAAAAGGTGACGACAGTGGTTTCTGGTCAGTGAACTATTCTCTCACCTGGAGCTCGGTCTCCCCGTGTCCGCGCTGCCGCTCCCGCGCCGCCCTCTCTCTCTCTCTCTCTGTATATATATATATATATATCTTTCACACGTCCTCTCTCATTCTCTCCCTCTTTTTCACACACTCCGCATCTCTCGGTCTCTGCGTCTCTCTGTGTTTCTCGGACCCTTTAAATCCAAGATGGCGCCGGGCGGGTTCCCGGCGTGCAGCGCGCGCCGTGACCTCATCAGTCTGCAGCGGCGGCCCGCGGGCCGGAGCCACACACAGCCACAGCGGGTCAGTGCACTGCCGTCAGCCCCCACCACCCCCACACCCCCCCCCACACACCCCCACCCCCCCACACACACCACCAACTACCCCCCCCCCCCCCAGCGGGGGCCTGGCCAGCACCTCGATAATAATAATAATAATAATAATCCTTACATGTGATACAGCGCTGTCTCACTGTCTGACCGGTTTGCGGCCAAACTCCGGGCTCTTGTGTTCTGACGTAAACGTCATCGACCTGAAGGACTACCTCACTGTCCTGTCTCCGTGGCGCGGCCCTGACCTGCCTCGTGTTCCCAGCGACATCCATGTTTATACCAGATTCACAGCATCTTCTCTCCTCAGCCTATTGCCGGTGTGTGAGGGCCTGACTCGGCCCCTCACCCTCGCTCGCGCCTCTGAGTAAGAAGATCGTGGGTTCAGGCTCCACGTCAGGACTCGGGAGCCAAGTAGAGTCCTGTAGCTCAGTGGTTAGAGCACTCGCTTTGCAAGTGAGAGACCTGAGTTCAATTCCAGGCAGAGGGCGAAACCTTGGGCAAGTTTCCTTACTCCACACAGAGCCTAATAGTAATCCCTCCAAAACCAAAAACAATAATAAATTGGTCATTTTCAATCTACAACTGTTTGTGGGACATTGCTGTGTGCAAATTGGCTGCCGCGTTCGCCCACAGAATAATAAAAATCCTCGCATTTGATGCAGCGTCAGAGGGACATCTAAAAGTGCTGCTCGGCATTGGCTGTAAACTTCATATTTTGTAGGCCGACACGGCAGCCAAACACATGACACTTTCCAGTGAAATGCTTTTTGAGACGTTTCAACATAACTACAGTTTCTTTCTAATGTGAACCACGGTGTGTGTACAGCCCCGCCTCAATCCCTCTTTGCCCGTCTTAACATCGCACTTGAAGACTTTCCTCTTCAACAGTACCGGTAGTCACCTCTCTTTTCTCCCCGGCCTGGCATCAGTCTCCGTCACTGTTAAGATCTCCTATGATGCTACACCACGCGAAGACGCTATATAAATGGCAGTTATTGTTGTCTATGATTGCGCAGTCTGCACCTGACGCTGACTGCACCCTCACATTGTCGCTTTGCAGGAAGGAACCTCTGACACTATGTCTCTCGTCGGCCTGGGCCGCAGGCTGGGTGCCCTGACCCTGGGTCCAGCTCGCATTCTGAGGTCGTCCCTGTCACCACTCCAGCCATTTCTGGCCTCCTGGACCCTTCCCGTTCAGCAGCCGTCCATGGGGATCCTGACGTCCGCTGCCTTGTGCAATAACAGAAACAACTGGAAGGAGAGGAGCTCGTACACAGTGAGGCCGATCGGGATAAAGAAGACCGGAGGCCGGGATCACACGGGTACGGTATTTCCACCTCATGTAGACCATCCCCCTGTGACCCAAATACTAACCCCTCCCCCCCATAACCCACTGCTGACCTCTATCTCGCAGGGAGGATTCGGGTGCACGGGATTGGGGGTGGCCACAAGCAGCGATATCGTATGATCGATTTCCAGCGCCTGCGCTATGAGCCAGGGATGGAGGGAAAGCCCTTCCAGGAGAAGGTGGTGGATGTTCGATACGACCCCTGCAGGTTGGTAACAACAGGCTAGCTCGTGAGCGGTGTGTATGGCTGGGTATTGGGGGAGAGACCTGTGTTGGAGGCCACTAGGTTTGAATGCAAAAGATTGTGTGGTGGGGGGGGGGGGGGGGGGGGAGTGCTGCATTTGAATAAACATGGACAGGGGTGTGCGCGGGGGGTACCAGAGGCTTTTGGGGTATATCTACTGGGCTCCCCAGTTCCACCATTCAAAAAATCCAATTAATTCCAATTAATTCAAAGCTCTGCATCTCAGTATCCCCAGCCTCACTCTGCTCCCCCATCTCCCAGTCCTTGCCAGACTCCACTGGCTCTCTATTGCAGAACAGATCAATTTCAAGATCCTCACACTCACTTGGAAATCCCTTCACGCTCTGGCACCTTCCTACTTCTTCAACCTTCTTCCTCCCCATTCCTTTACCTGCAACCTTCCCTCGTCTGGCTCCAGCCTCTTCACGTCCCTCTGCCCCTCTGCTCCACCATCGGCGGATGTGTTTTATGGAAGTCTCATAGGAACGTATAGGAAAATTGGAACAGTAGGAGGCCATTCAACCCCTCAAGCTTGTTCAGCCATTCTATTAGATCATGGCTGATCTAATATAATAATACCATAGTACAATACTACATTTGTATAGTGCCTTTCATGTCAGGAGGATGCCCTAAGCCGCTTCACAGAATATACAGTAAATTGAATTGACTGTGTATTTTGTGGGCGAAACACAGCAGCAGTGTCCACAAACAGTTGTGGATTGGGTTACCAAATTACTATTATTATTTGGTTTTGTTTCTTGAGGGATTATTATCAGGCGTGTGGAGTAACGAAACCTGCCGGGAGTAGAACCCAGGTCTCTCGCTTGCGAGCCAAGTGCTTTAACCACTGAGCTACAGGACTCCACGTTCTCTACCTCAAATCTGATGACCCTCCTTTGCTCCATCTCTCTGGATACCCTTACATAACAAATATCTATCTTGAGTCTTGAAAATTTGAATGGATTCAAGCATCCACAGCCTTTTTTTCCCCTCCTTGCTTGCTCCCTCCTAGCCCATCTTCAGATCGCATCTGAAGACTTTCCTTTTCACCATGCTTACGGTCACCTCCCTCGGCGTCAGTCTCTGCCACTATTCAGCCTCAGAAGCTTACCCCACGGGAAGAATGGTATATAAACATAATAATAATAATAATAATCCTTGCATTTGATATAGCGCTTTTCACGTCGGGAGGACGTCCCAAAGCGCTTCACAGAACACACTGTAAAGTGAATTGACTGTATATTTGTGGACGAACGCGGCAGCCAATTGCACACAGCAATGTCCCACAAACAGTCGTAGATTGAAAATGACCAATTTATGATTGTTTTTTGGTTTTGGAGGGATTATTATTAGGCTCTGTGTGGAGTAAGGAAACTTGCCCAAGGTTTCGCTCGGCCTGGAAATGAACTCAGGTCTCTCACTTGCAAAGCGAGTGCTCTAACCACTGAGCTACAGGACTCCACAAAGTTGTTATTGTTGACTCACGGCTGCACCCCTCAGATCCGCTGACATTGCGATGGTGGCCGGAGGCAGTCGGAAACGCTGGATCATTGCCACAGAGAACATGAAGCCCGGAGACGTGCTGACCACCTCTGGATACATCGGCCGCATGACAGGTGAGACCTAGTCCCGTTCCCCCCCCACCTCCCCGGCTCAGTGTACAAAACCCCACCAATTTAAGAGCTCCCCCCCGCCTCCTAGCTTAGTGCAATAGTCCCCCTGTCCCCAGGCTCAGTGTAAGAGCTCAAGTCCTGCTCTGAGCTGTGATCAGCCCCCAGTTGTGAGTCACTAACAGTATTTGTTTCTCAGTCTCCGCCAGCGAGGGGGATGCCCACCCTCTGGGAGCTCTCCCTGTGGGAACGCTGGTCAATAACCTGGAGTTGGCGCCCGGGAGAGGAGCACAGTTAGTCCGGGCGGCAGGTGAGTGAGGAGCTGGTGTGTGTGTGTGTTTTTGGGGCTGAGAGAGGATGGAGGGGATGTTGGAGAATATATGGGGAGAGGGCACGAGGGGAGATGGTAGGAATGTGGCTCGAGGGGCATGGCATATGAGGAGAGGCAGTACAAGTGGGGGAGAATCTAGAATATGTGTAACATACGGAGGAATAAGGGGCCAGTGTATGTGTGAGGGGCAGTGGGGAGGGGGCAGTGTGTGAGGGGCAGAGGAGGGGGCAGTGTGTGTGTGAGGGACAGAGGAGGGGGCAGTGTGTGTGTGTGAGGGGCAGAGGGGAGGGGGCAGTGTGTATGTGAGGGGCAGAGGGTAGGGGGCAGTGTGTGTGTGAGGGGCAGAGAATGTGAGGAGAGGGTGCTCGGGTGTACTGTGGGGCTGTCTGTGAATCTTACTGTGAAATATTTCTTTCTGGGATTTAATCTGCATGGGACTAGGGACATGTGGAGTGCTGCTCCGGAAAACTAATGGCACCGCCATCATCCAGCTCCCATCAAAACGTCAGATTCAGGTACCAGACTCACCTGTACAGCCTGGCTCAGAGGTAGCGCTCTCTCCTTTGAGCCAGAAGGTTGTGGGTTCAAGCCCCACATCGAGACTTGAAATCACCAGATGATGCTCCAATGCAGTGCTGGGTTGTATTGTGGGAGGTGCCGTCCTTCGGATGAGATGATAAGCTGTTCAGGTGGATGTTAAAGATTCCTCTGCGCTATTTGAAAAGAGAAGATAGTTTCTCTCTCTCTCTCCTGGCCAACAATATCCCAAAATAAAATTGTTCACTCACTCCACCCGCAGCTGGTTGTGGAATACAGCTTTGCCCAAATTAGCTGTCGTGTTTCGGCCACAAAATACAATCGATTCACTTTACTGTATATCCTTGCATTTGGTATAGGGCCTTATCACCGTTGTTGAAACGTCTCAACCTATTATATTCTGTGAAGCGCTTTGAGATGTCTCAACAATGTAATAAGGCGTTATATCAAATGCAAGGATTAATATTACAGCAACAACTTGGATTTATATAGCGCCCTCCACACCGGGCGGCGTCTCAGAACGCTTCACAGTAACGGATCCCGGGGCCAAGCCGGGGGGAGGGGAAGGAAGGTGACCAAAGGCACAGTTGAAAAGAAAGGTCTTCAGCCAAGACCTGAAAATAGGAAGAGAGGGAGCGAGGCGAAGGGAGTGAGGAAGGGAGATCCAGAGCCTCGGGGCTTAGTGGTTGAAGGCACAGCCGCCGAGGGTGGAGCGGAGGACTTGGGGAGGAGGCCAGACCCAGAGGAACGAAGGCAACGGGCACTGTTTTGAGAGAGGAGGTCAGAGAGGTAGGGGGGTGCAGAGGAGTGGAGGGATTTGAAGACAAGGGTGAGGATCTTGAAGTCGATCCTCTCTGGGACAGGCAGCCAGTGCAGTCTGGCAATGACTGGGGTGATCGGGGAGAGGAGTTTAGTTCGGGTGAGAATCCGGGCGGCAGAGTTTTGAATAATCTGGATTTTATGGATGGTAGTGGATGGGAGGCCGGCGAGGTGGGTGTTAAAATAGTGCAGCTGAGAGGTGACAAAGGCATGGACCAGGGTTTCAGCGGCTTTCGGAGAGAGGTATTGGCGGAGACGGGCGATGCGGTGGAGGGCATATTACAGCCCCCATCCCCGTCCAGCATTTGATTGGGCCATTTGGCTGTGCTGAGTGGTGGGGCCATGTTGTATGGATTGTATTATGATTGCTTCTCTCTCCCCCCCACACACACAGGTGCTGGAGACCTGCATTGCCACCGTTGGGCGCATCTCAAACGTGGCCCACAATCAGCGGATCATCGGGAAAGCCGGCCGGAACCGCTGGCTTGGGAAAAGGCCATCGAGTGGGTTGTGGCAGAGGAAAGGAGGCTGGGCTGGCCGCAAGATCCGGCCCCTGCCCCCCATGAAGAGCTACGTGAACCTGCCGTCCATTGCGGCGTCCAACTGAGCTTGGCTTGAGACAGATATTTAATAAACAAGTACTACTCCTGACTGCCTCGTGCCTCCACTCGCACTGTCTGCCTCCAGCATTCTCTACCCCATTCCCACCACCACATAGGTTGCTGCAGAGTTAAGCCCTGTTCATATTCCTGTCTTGTACAGCCTGGGCAGGATTATGAACAGTGCCACAAAGGGCTGAAAGCGAACACAGCCAATTTCCAAACAGCAATCAATCTCCCACAAAAAGCCATTGAGGTGAATAACCAATTGTATCTGTCTACACATTATCAAAATAAGGTGGGGGGGGAGAAGGGGTGTTTACCATGCACTGAATTAATCCTAATAGTCTCAGTGAATTAACTCATCTCGCTCACCATTTTATATCAAGTCCCTCGCGCCTCCCTCTGAGCCTCCCCTGGTTTCTCTTTATCGTATTCAGACTGTTGTCTCATGCCCCCGCAGTCACCTGCATCATTCCTCAGGGCTCTGTCCCTGTCCTCTTTAATATCTATACGTTCCCACTTGGTGACATCATCCACAGGTGTAGGGTTCATTCCCACTTGGTGACATCATCCACAGGTGTAGGGTTCATTCCCACATGTACATGGATGAAGGCCAACTCCATTTCACTGCCTCCACCCTCGACTCCAGGACCATTGTGGTCTGAGCGATTGCCTGTCAAACATCAAGCCTTGGATGAATTCCAACTTTTCAGTTAAACGTCAACGGCGCTGCTTGGCTTCTGTCACTACCTTCTCACCTCAACCTGCACGGGTGCTCGCTCTACCTCATGTATCCAGTGCCGAACCTCAGCATCTTGTTCAACCACCCCCCCCAACTCTCCTTCAAATTCTTGCTCCAAAAATCAACATCCCTCTTTCTCACCTGGTGTCTGCAGTGCAATAAACCACCATGCAGCACCAGCTGTTCAATAGCCTGTGATTTTTTACCTGGCCCAACCTCGTGCTGAGTAAAATTTGCTGTTTGATTGATGTTGATTTCTCACTGAGCTGCACAGATAGGCAGATGTCGCACAATTGGGTTTATTATATCTAAATGCTTCTGAAGAACTGAATGGAGAAATGTCAACACGAACCAGGGCTGATGCTAAAGATCAGGAAGCTCAACTCAAGAGAAACCTTTTATGAAATAATGGCCATGAGGCTGATCTCCATCGAGAACCACAATTTCCCATGTTCCTGTTCTAAACAACACAATGCAATTTACATGTATGCAGTGACTTTCATGTTGGGAGGACGTCCCAAGGTGGTTGACAGTCCTGATTTGGGACCTGAGCTGGGGGTGGGTGCTGAGGGAATAATGAGGTCAGAGACAGTCCTTGAAAGAGGTGAGGGAGGGAGTGAGTCATTGGGACTGAGGTGAAGTTCCAGAAAGTGGGTACAGATAGGCTGAAAGCCTGCTCACCAATGGTGGGCAGACAGGATGGGAGACTTGAGGCATGCCAGTGAAGGGAGTGGCCGGGTTGGTAGGTTTGAAGGAGGTCATAGTGGTAAGGGTGGAGCAAGACTGGAGGGATTTAAAAGAGCGGACAAGGATCTTGGAACTCGATCCACTGGGGAATGATGCATGTGTACAGACACCTACACAATAACTCCACATTTCAGTAAAATCCTGTGAAGGATTTAGAAACTTCTGATGTGAACAGCACTCTATTGAGAGCTAGGATTCTTATTGTAGAGTGTAGGCAGCTTTTGGAGTTCAGCTACACTGCTTCCTCTCATAATCAGCTAGAATATGGCTATTTGGGTGTTATATTAGTGGGAGTCAGTGGAACCGAATGCCAGTGCGAGAGAACTGAAGCTTCAGGAGACGAGAGACGCCAGGCGATACTCGGAAATTATTGGTAACTAAAGCCAGGCACTAGTACCTCTGAGAACATGAGGGAGTGATTCAATCCCTGTATTAGCATTGTTATCAGTACAAATAGATCATGAATACAGTCATATGGAACATTAATGCCAAAGGGGTTAGGCTAAGATCAACACAGAACATTGACACAATGACACTAACCTGCTGTCAGAACTAAGCTTTAAAACAAGTTTTGACAAATTGACAACTTTCAAAAATATAATCTGATACAAAATATGTGCACAAAACCTGTCCCACTCTCTCACACACACACAAAGCACAGAAACCAGTGGGGGAGGCAGGAGCTTTGGGGATGAGGAGCTTTACTCTGTCTCTAACCCTTGGCTGTCAATGACCTGGTAGTGTGTAAGGACAGGTTAGAGGGAGCTTTACTCTGACTCTAACCCATCCTGTCACTGACCTGGGAGCGTGGACGGGCAGTGTAGAGAGAGCTTTACTCTGTCTCTAACCTGTACTGTTCCTGACCTGGAAGTGCTGGATCGAGTGCAGAGGAGAGAGGGATCACTCTTCCTCCTTTCCCTCTGACCCTATTGCACAGATGTGGGTGTATGCTGATGAACCATGACAGAAACTCTGCTGTGGAAACATCCTGGCCAACAATCTTTCAGATTAATCGTTCATTCACCTCATGGCTGTGTGCGATCCTGCTGTGCGCAAACTGGCTGCCACATGTGTCACCAGATATGACAGAAATCATCTGTGAAGCAGCTTGAGGCATTTTGACACATTGAGGACCTATAAAAATGCAAGTTCTTTCTCTGTGCTTGGTGCTTGTGAGAGAGTGGGAATTGCATAAAAAGTATAAAATTACAGTCCAGGTTTCACCCGGGTAAAACATGCACAGATACAAATCCCTCAGTGGCATTTCCCAAACGCTGACCGTTTCCATCAGCTGCTTGTGCACAGAATTTCCATCAAACAAAGCTCAGCAAACGAAGGGTTAAACAAACCCCAGTGTTCACTCTCCCCGAGCACAGGCTCCCAGTGTGGTGGGTGTGTGTGTGTGTGACAGAATGTCAACAGGCACCCACTCTGACCACTGCCTCGTCACAGAAACGTTCACAATGTAAAATATCAGACCCTCTCGGGCCACAGCCCTGATGTACTACTCTATGGGCTGCCACATGTGTCCACATCAATGTGCTGTGTGCATGTGCTGGCACATGTATGTGCTCTGCATGCATGCACTATATGTCTGTGCTGTGTGCACACATGATTTGTAGCCAGTGCATGTAGCAGAAACTACTCATCTTTAACCCAATAAAAGCTGCGTGTTGTGTGATTTGAAACTTTGGAGGGAGCGGGGCGGGAGGATGGCAGCTCACAAACAGACCGAAGCCAGAGAGTCTAAGCGCTGCACAGAAGCAGGAGTAGCGCTAGAGGCCAGGCAGAGAAAGCCAACACTGGAGCTGCCAGGAACACAAGGAAGCATCAAAAACACTCAGTTAATAAGTTACTCAAACAATCTTGGAAAACTATCCATTCTCCCAGATAGCAAACAGCCTCGAGCCCACCCACATCCACACCCCATCGCACTCCTCTCACACATTAACAATTTCAGACAAAACAGTCCACCAGCTCTCCATCCAACATTCACAGGACCCCTTCTCTGAGCTTGTGTGTGTCTGTAGTGTTGGAATGTCTGTGTGTGGCTGTAGTGAAGGATTGTGTGAGCTCTGTGTATGGCTGTAGTGATGGAGTGTCTCTATGCGACTGTCGTATGTAAGCTGTGTGTGTTTGTATGTGACTCCAGGGTGTGAGCTGTGTGTGTCTCTATGTGACTGTAGTGTGAGCTCTGTGTCTGTACGTGACTGTAGTGTGAATTCTGTGTCTATATGTGACTGTAGTGTGAGTTCTGTGTATCTGTATGTGACTGTAGTGTGTGAGCGGGTAGGATGGCTGACTGTTTCCCTCGAGGCTCCACGACTGCTGGGATTCAGGAGTTGTAACTGTGCCTCAACTCGAGGAGAAGCAGAGATTAAGGGAAATGGGACAGACAAAGGGGGGTAAACACAGCTGGGGTTCTGGTGGCTTTGCCGGGTCTCCGGTCTCTGTATTTTTATTTACAAGGAAAAGGACAGTCTCGGGAGCTGGAGGCTGCTTTGTGTCTGCTCGTCATCTGCTGTGGCTGGCAGTACCGACGTTCCTCCTCCGAGGGCCAGTGGCCGGGAGTCGGTCTGAGGGTGGGGTGGGGGAGGCGCTCTTGTGGCACCAGTCCTTTCAGAACAACAACACGCTTCCCCCCAGACGATTCCTGCTCGTCGCTCTCCTACTTCACATTGGTGATAACTTCCAAAAGTGCATGTGTGAAGAAAGCTGCCTCACAGGGCAAGAGCTGGTCGGCTCTGCACCAGGCACAGCCGCGCTCTCAGCAACATTCTCTCTCTCTGTCTCTCGCTAGAAGAAATAAACAAGGATGAGGCAGCAGTCGAATTATTCCACAGGAAAAGCTTGGCTTCAGAGTCGAGTTAGTCTCCTCTGGTCACACAGTCTTGGAGTAGCCGAATATTCCCACCGGGAAGTACTTGACATGAGTTGGCCACTGCGCTGCTAGCTGGAAAAACTTCACATCATTCCACTCCACCCCATCTATAGAGACTGAAGAGACACACCATGTTAATGCGAGGCTATAGACTGGAGACACACCATGTTAATGTGAGGCTATAGACTGGAGACACACCATGTTAATGCGAGGCTATAGACTGGAGCCACACCATGTTAATGTGAGGCTATAGACTGGAGCCACACCATGTTAATGTGAGGCTATAGACTGGAGCCACACCATGTTAATGTGAGGCTATAGACTGGAGCCACACCATGTTAATGTGAGGCTATAGACTGGAGCCACACCATGTTAATGTGAGGCTATAGACTGGAGCCACACCATGTTAATGTGAGGCTATAGACTGGAGCCACACCATGTTAATGTGAGGCTATAGACTGGAGCCACACCATGTTAATGTGAGGCTATAGACTGGAGCCACACCATGTTAATGTGAGGCTATAGACTGGAGCCACACCATGTTAATGTGAGGCTATAGACTGGAGCCACACCATGTTAATGTGAGGCTATAGACTGGAGCCACACCATGTTAATGTGAGGCTATAGACTGGAGCCACACCATGTTAATGTGAGGCTATAGACTGGAGCCACACCATGTTAATGTGAGGCTATAGACTGGAGCCACACCATGTTAATGTGAGGCTATAGACTGGAGCCACACCATGTTAATGTGAGGCTATAGACTGGAGCCACACCATGTTAATGTGAGGCTATAGACTGGAGCCACACCATGTTAATGTGAGGCTATAGACTGGAGCCACACCATGTTAATGTGAGGCTATAGACTGGAGCCACACCATGTTAACGTGAGGCTAGGTGAAAAGGCGCAAAACATTTTCCTCTTGATCCCCAAAAGCCTCAAAGGTATCAGGCGAGAGCTGAGGGCAGGTCAGTGACCTCTGAACCTCCAGCAGGTGTTTGAACACTCTCAACACGGCTCAGAATTAGATTTGGAATAAAGCCCGCTCTGGTCTCCAGGGCCTTGCTGGCTGGCAGTCCAGTCACGGACCTGTTGTTTCTATACCACTAGGTGGCAGCGATGCACTGGCATTGGCGTGACAATCTTGGAAAGGACAGTTTAGTCTGTCTGGTCCCACACGGGGTCTGGCAGCCACGCACAAGCGCAAGGCTTGGGGAACCCAGGGTTGTGTTGGGGTAACGGCTGGAGTTTAATAAGCTAAAACTGCATAGGGGTGGGGGGGGGGGGCGGTGCGTGGGGTGGCGTGAGATTTCTTCCCACCTTTCAGCATCGTCTGCTGGTGTTTGGCTGTACAGATGAGTCTGCTGATGCCTTCAATCACCTGACTCTTAGAGTCCACCTCCTTCTCCTTTGGTTTCTTGCTGAGAAACATCACTGGAGGGAGAGAGAGAGGGAGAGATCACGAGAGAGAGAGAGAGAGAGAGGGAGATTGATTATTGGAGAGAGAGCATGAGAGAGCGAGATCATTGGGGAGAGAGATATACAGTGAGAGGGAGAGATTGGTTATTGCAGTGAGGAGAGAGATACAGAGAGAGAAGAAAGAGATCGATCACTGGAAAGAGAGTAACAGAGATTGACCATTGGAACGAGAGTGAGAGAGGGTATGAAGTGCAGGGCAAGGGGGGATCAGAGCATTTGGCAGTGGGGGGGGAAGAATGTGGTTAGAGCGCTGGGCTGCGATCCCTGGGAGCAGTCTGTTCGCTGACCTTTCTTGTTCTTCTCCTTGGTGACCACAGTCATGAGCATAGTGGCGGGTGCGAGCAGCTCTCCGCCACTCGGCAGCCGGCTGACCTGCAGCGAGCGGAAGTTGCTCTTCAGAGTGTTCTTATTGCCCATGTCCCGTTTCTCGCCCTCTTTTTTCTTCTCCAGCATTTGTGTGGTCCAGTAATCCACCTGCAATCCCATCAGCTCGCTCCCAGCGCTTGGGGAGCTGGACAAGGCAGCAAAGACAGAGGTCAAAGACCAGAGCAATGAGGCAAAACTGGACTCAATCCAAAGTGACAAGACCTGAATCTCACACAGGAGTCACTGGGCCCCAATCCATAGCCTCTCTCAATATCGCACCAGATTCCTGAGTTTGCTTCCCTAAGTGCTACTTCCTACACAATATACATGCACATCAGTACACATGTGGATATCAGAACACACGCAATAGGGAGGGAGTGTCAGCAGGATATTTGACTCCAAGGGCATCATAGCCCTAACCCTGACATACACCCCTTCAAGTAAAGTCGCTAAATAACTATTGACTCTCTCCTATTTTCTTCCCCCGAGAGACTCACTGCATTCCCTCGCATCTCAAACCCATCAAACCTGTGGAGTCCTGCAGCTCAATGGTTAGAGCACTCGCTTCGCAAGCGAGAGACCTGGGTTTGATTCCCGGCAGGGTGAAACGCTGGGCAAGTTCTCTTACTCCATACGCCTGATAATGATCCCTCAAGAAAAAAAACAATAATAAATTGGTCACTTCAATCCACGACTGTTTGTGGGACAAATATGCAGACTATACCAAATGCAAATGCAAGGATTAAAATTCACCTTACAGTATATTCTGTGAAGTGCTTTGAGATATCTAGAAGACATGAAAAATGCTATATCAAATGCAAGATAATATTTATTATGAACCTGCTTACCCCCCACTCCACCACCCACTGCCTCCGGCCTCCTAATTGTCCCTCATGCCTTCCGTACCTTCAGTCACTATGCCACAAAACTCTGATACTCTCTCCCTCAATCCCTCTGCCTTCCCCTTCCCTCCCCACCTTCAAATCCTGACTAAATACCTTCCTTTTTGATTGTGTTTACAATCGCCTCCCATCTCCCTCTCCCGTTGGCTCATTGTCGGACACTGTCACTGTGAAGAGCTCCGGGACACTACCCCGTTTGAAGAGCACTATATAAAATGCAAGTTGTTGTTGTGTATAGTTAACTAATCTCTTGCTGTGTTCTAACCTCTGTGGTTTGTCTTAGCCTGCTAAGTGTCCTTAGTCTGCCCAAGGAGAGTTTGAGCAAAAGTTTGATCTGGCCAATCAGCCGCACAATGCATCTGTATTGATCGTGCTTACAACACTCAGTGCCGCATAAAAGGTTAGTCCAAAAGATAAGGGCCGTTGGAATTGGGGGGAGCATATTAACGTGGATTGGGGAATGGTTAACGGGTAGGAAACAAAGAGTAGGGATAAATGGGTCCTTTTCAGATTGGCGGGATGTGACGAGTGGAGTGCCACAAGGATCAGTGCTTGGGCCTCAGCTATTTACCATCTACATCAACGATCAAGATGAGGACATCGAATTTAATATATCTAAATTCGCGGATGACACAAAACTAGGAGGAAGTGTCAATACAGAGGATGACATTAAAAAAATGCAGCACGACATAGATAGGTTAGGTGATTGGGCAGGTAGGTGGCAGATGAAGTATAATGTAGGGAAGTGCAAAGTCATCCACCTATATAGCAAAAACAGTAGAGCGGGTTATGTTTTAGAAGGGGAGAGGTTGGAATGTGTTAGCGTCCAGGGGGACTTGGGTGTCCTTGTACACCAATTACAGAAAGTTAGTCTGCAGGTGCAGCAGCAATTAGGAAGGCGAACGGTATGTTAGCATTCATTATGAAAGGTTTAGAGTATAAGAGTAGGGAAGTCTTGCTGCAACTGTATAGGGCCCTGGTGAGACCACACCTAGAATACTGTGTGCAGTTTTGGTCTCCTTATTTAAGGAAGGATGCACTTGCCTTGGAGGGGGTGCAGCGTAGATTTACTAGGTTACTACCAGGGATGAAGGGGATGAGTTACGAGGATAGGCTGACCAATTTGGGCCTATATTCTCTAGAATATAGAAGAATTAGAGGGGATCTTATAGAAACCTATAAGATCATCAAAGAGCATGATAGAGTAGATAGTGGGAGATTGTTTCCCCTGGTTGGAGAAACTAAAACCAGGGGTCACAACCTTAAAATCAGAGGTCAGCCCTTTTGCACTGAGTTGAGGAAGAACTTCTTCACTCAAAGGGTGGTGAATGTATGGAACTCACTACCCCAAAGGGCTGTTGACGCTCAGTCCTTGAACATATTCAAGACTGAGATAGATAGATTTCTTATTGCAAAAGGGATTAAGTGATATGGGGATAAGGAGGGGTTAGGTTATTAGTGGAATTAGATTAGAAGATCAGCCATGATTGAATGGCAGGGCAGGCTCAAAGGGCCGAATGGCCTACTCCTGCTCCTATATGTTATGTTATGTATGCCGACACTTGTTCTTACCCGGCTCCTGACAGACTGCTGGAGACGGAGGGAGAGGGTGGTGGTGTGGCGATGGTATAGGAAGGGGCCGTGGTTGTTGGCAATGGCGACAGGCTGCTGATATTGCAAAGCATGGCATCATCGGAGTCCACTAAATACACAGAGGAGCAGACATCAGTGCACATCCCATATACATGTCACATCAGTGCACACCTCATATATATGCAACATCAATACATAGATTACACACATGATCTCATAACACAGCAATTTTGTGATATAAGAATACACATAAAACAAACCCATCAGTACGAAAATATACACATGGCCTCAGCACACATAATATCTGCACCGCTGAGAATCCACCGGAGAGAAATAACCGAGCACTCACCTGATGTTGAGAGGGACTGTTCCACAATGCCCACCTTGACCACCTACAGGAATGAGAGTGAAACAGTTAGTGTGGGGTTAGCCACTGACTGCAGGTTTACCCTCCCTGCTCACTGGTCATAGCACCATCCTTCAATTCACAAAACTGTCTGAACAATGAGCAGGCCATCCAGTCTTTCAACAAAAGTAAACTTATGTTTTAGCCTTAAACCTTGTGTGATTGGCCTCAGGGCCCCCTGATTTAAAGAAAGGAAAATTTAACCAGGTTTCCCTGCTCCTCACCACTCTCCTAACAGAAATACCCTGGTGGAATGTGTGGGATGTCAGGTGAGGACAGGATTGGGTCTGTGATGTCTGACACTCACTATGAATATACAGTATTACTGTACTGATCTGGCTGCTTCTTTTGCTCAGCAGGCACTCTCTTGCTTCATGTCTCCCACCCTGCTCACCCCACTATCAGCAGCCTGCTCCTGATCTCCGGAACCCCATCCTGGAGTCCCTCTGACTCACTCCCTCTCTCAGCTCCTTTAAGGTCCGTCTCAAGACCTATCTCTTTGAATGTAATTTTGGTTACCTTTCTCCTCTCTACCCCCTCGGGTCCCATCCTCAGTTCAGGTGCCAAGCTATTATTGTTAAGCACCTTGGCGTATCCTCTCAACATGAAAGGTGCTGAATAAATGTAAATTTTTATTGTACTAAGACCCACATGGAGAACGCTCATTGGGACGAGGTGTCTATGGTAGTCCTCCCCAGTAGAAGGAAGAAAGAATGTGAAAGGAGAATACACTTTACACTAGAGTTATGTCAATTACGAGCCAGACTCACAGAGGGATAAATCTGGTAACTACAAGCCAGTCAGCCTAACGTTGGTAGTGGGGAAACTTCTAGAGACCATAATCCGGGACAAAATTAATTTTCACTTGAAAAAACATGGGTTAATTAATGACAGCCAGCACGGATATGTTAAAGGCAAATCGTGTCTGACTAACTTGATTAAGTTCTTCAATTAAGTAACAGAGTGGGTTGATAAAGGTAATGCAGTTGATACTGTTTAAATGGACTTTCAAAAGGCGTTTGATAAAGTGCCACATACAACAACAAAATTACATTTGTACAGCACCTTTCACGTCGGGAGGACGTCCCAAGGTGCTGGACAGTCAGTGTTTCAGACCCGAGCTGGGGGTTGGGATTGGGGAGGGTGGAGGGCAGGGGGGGAAGCAGGCTGATCGAAAACACAACGGAAGAGGAGGTCTTGAGATGGGTCTTGAAGGAGGCCAGGGCGGGGGTGAGGTGGAGGGACTGCAGGATGGAGTTCCAGAGGGTAGGGGCAGAGTGACAGAAGGTCCGCCCAACAATGGTGGGACAGGCAAGGCGGGGGATGCAAAGCAGGCCGGAACCCAATGAACGGAGCGAGCAGGCAGGATGGTAGGGCATTAGGAGGTTGCAGAGGTAGGGGGGAGCGAGACCATGGAGGGCTTTGAAGGTGCGGACCAGGATCTTGAACTGTATACTCTGTGGGATGGGAAGCCAGTGGAGTCGGGCGAGGGTTGGGGTGATAGGGTCGTGGAGCCTGGTGCGGGAGAGGACATAGGCCTCAGAGAGTTCTGGATGATCTGCAGCCTAAGTAGGGAAGAGTTGGGGAGTCCGACAAGCAAGGAGTTTGCATAGTCAAGCCTCAATGTAATGAATGCGTGTATGAGGGTTTCGGTGGCCTGCAGTGTGAGACAGTGGTGGAGCCGGGCAATGTTGCAGAGGTGGGGGAAGGCAGAGTAGGTCATGGCACTGATGTGGGATAGAAAGGATAGTTGAGGGTCAAACAAGATGCCAAGGTTCCAGCCTGGCTTAGCAAAGTGGAGTGTGCATCCATGGATGCTGTCAGAATCTGAGGTGTGGAGGCGCTGACGGGAGACAATCAGGAGAGCCTCGGTCTTGTTGACATTGAACTGAAGAAAGTTTGCTCTCATCCAGGACTTGATGTCTGACAAACATTCTGTCAGGACAGCAGTGGTCCTGGAGTCAAGGGTGGAGGTAGAAAGGTAGAGTTGGGTGTCATCTGCATACATGTGGAATTTGATCCCATGTCTCCAGATGATGTCACCAAGAGGGAGCATATAGATATTAAGAGAAGGAGACCAAGGGCAGAGCCCTGAGGAACGCCGCAAGAGACGGTGCGGGGTCTAGAGGAGAAACCGATTGTGGAGATGAAGTGGAGGGGTTGTGAGAGGTACAATTTGAACCAGTCAAGGCAGAGCCATGAAGATTGAGGTGAGAGGCGACGCGGTGGATGAGCATAGAGCGGTCAACAGTGTCAAAGGCAGCAGAGAGGTCAAGGAGGACGAGAAGGCAGAGGAAGATGAACAGAATGTCATTTGTCACTTTGACCAGGGTTGTTTCTGTGCTGTGGGTGGCACGGAAACCCAACTGGAAGAATTTGTGAAGGGAGTGGCGGGAGAGGAAGGAGTGAAGCTGGGAAACAACAACTCTTTCCAGGACCTTGGACAGGAAAGGGAGGTTGGAGATGAGGCAATAGTTTGAGAGCAGTAATGGTGCAGGGAGGGTTTTTTTAAGGATAGGAGTGATGACGGCGGTTTTTAATGGGGTGGGAATGGTGCCAGTGAACAGGAAGAGGTTTATTATGTCTGTGAGTAGAGGGACAAGGAGGTGGAACTGGGAGGTAAGGAGAGGGGTAGGGATGGGGTCGAGGGATCAGGTGGGTTCCTATGGGTTATAGTGGTGGTGAGAGGAATGGAAGACAGGTTCGAAGGTGTGGAGGGAGGAATGGGTAGGGGCCAGGGTGAGACGGGGAGGTAAACGAATGGGCAGAGGCAGCTGAGCGGATCCCCTCAACTTTGGATTCGAGGAAGTCCAGCATTGTTACGCTGTTGGCATTGGAGGCAAGGATGGGCGAGGTGTGAGAGGGTGGTTGGAGTATATTGGAGAACAGGAGCCTGGGGTTGTTCTTGGCCTTCAAGATTGTCTTGGAGTAGAACGACGATTTAGCGGAGGCGAGGGCGGAGTAGGATTTGATAAGGTCCAACCAGATCTGCCGATGGACTGTTAAGTTTGATTTAAGCCAGGTGTGTTCAGCGGCATGCATCTGTGCTTTAAGGGAGCAGAGGTGGCTGGTGTACCATGGAGGCTTACATGACTAGGAGACAGTTTGGGAAGTGAGGGGAGCAAGGGAATCGTGAGTGGAGGAGAAGGAGCTCCGGAGAAGAGTGGCTGAGGAGGATAAGTTATTGTGGGAGGCAGCCCAGAGGGGTAGGAGTTCAGATGACTTCAAGGCAACCAAGAGTGGGGGAGCGAGATTTTTTTCCAGGGGCGGTAGGAGATGGAGGTGGGTTGGGGAGAGGAGTTAAGTGAGATGAAGTGATGGTCCGAGTTCGCTTTGTTGATGATGGTGAGGTCCGGGATGATGAGGCCCCGAGTAATAACCAGGTCGAAGGGGTGACTGTGGATGTGGGTGGCGGAGTGGATGTGGAGGGAAAGGTTGAAGGAGGAGATAAAGGTGGAGAAGTCATAATAGACTTGTTAGCAAAATTGAAGCTTATGGAATTAAAGGAACAGTGACAGCGTGACAGAAAGTAGAGTGTAGTGTATTGGTGAATGGATGTTTTTCAGACTGGAAGGAAGTATACAGTGGTGTCCCACACAGGTATTAGGACCACTGCTCTTTTTGGTATATATTAATGACCTGGACTCGGGTATAGAGAGCACAATTTTAAAAGTTTGCATACAACGCAAAACCGGAAAAATAGCAAACAGTGAGGAGGATAGTAGCAGACTGAAGAAGGACATAGATTGGCTGGTGATATGGGCAGACAAAAGTTTTGGGAGGAGGAATGAGGATAGACAACATAAGATAATTGGTACAAATTTAAAGGGGGTACAGGAACAGAAAAACCTGAGCATTCACATACACAAATCTTTTAACGTGGCAGGGCAAGTTAATAAAGCCGTTAAAAAAGCATATAGAAACATAGAACGCAAAAGCAAGGAAGTTATGCTAAACCTTTACAAATCGCTGGAGTATTGTGCCTAAATCTGGGCACCACATTTTAGGAAGGATGTCAGAATGGAGAGGGTGCAAAGGAGATTTACCAGAATGATACCAAGCATGAGGAACTTCAGCTTTGTGGAGAGACTAGAGAAGCTGGTATTGTTCTCCTTAGAGCAACAACAAAACAACAAAATTACATTTCTGTAGCAGAGAATTTTAAAGGGAGATTTAATAGAAGCGTTCAAAATTATGAGAGGTTTTGACAGAGTAGATAGGGAGAAATTGTTTCCCCCGGCAGGTGGATCGGTAACCAAAAGACACAGATTAAGATAATTGGCAAAAGAACCAGAGGGGAGATGACGCAAACTTTTTTTTAACCCAGAGTTATTACGGTCTGGAATGCACTGCCTGAAAGAGTGGTGGAACCAGATTCGATAGTAGCTTTCAAAAGAGAATTGGATAGGTACTTGAAAAGGAACAATTTGCAAGACTATAGGGTAAGTGGGGGGGAGTGGGACTAGTTGGTAGCTCTTTCAAATAGCCGGCACAGGCACAGGCACTTTTGGGCCGAATGGTCTCCTGCATTGCTGTAAGATTCTATGACTCAGGCCAGAGGGAAGCTCGGAAAGTTGAACAGGGCAACAAAGCCTGATCCTGGAACTGTGAGAATTGAGATAAGTAAAAATTAGACTTACACCAACGAAGGGAACAAACTTCTGGCAGGAATCCTCGTCGGGGCTGAGGTGAGAGAAGATGATCATCATTATTCACAGCTTCTGTGGTACAACACAGGAAGAATTCTAGTAATGCAATGTCTAAAGAAAAGTCTGCAGCTCTAGTCTTTAGTAACAGCCCATCTGTACTCCCTTCCTGCTGAAAACATTCCCTCCTGCCACCGGACATTTACTGCACAGGAAACTATCAACTACGTCTTAGGGTGGGGGGGTGGGGGAGGAAGGGAACGACACATGCCACACATCTTCAGGGGGGACATGATACAAGTTATGTGAGATGGGTGGAAGCACACACCATATGGTGTAAGTGGGAACATGCCACAGTTGGGGCGGGGGGGCGGAGATAAGAGAGATGGATGGACACAGCAGAGTTGGGGAGGGGGGTGTGAACACGCTGAAGTATGTGTGTTTGTGTGAGATAAGAGTGAGGGGGACACACACTGCAGAGTGTGAGGGGTGTGGAAGATACGAAAGTACTTGAGAGCTGAGTGTGGCTCCAACTCTCTTTCAGATGCACTGTGGCCTCACAGGGTGATGCAATGTAAACGTTCCCCGACTTATTCTTTTCGAGCAGTGGAAATCGATTCTGACAGCAGGCTGTGTGACCTCAGCTCCCAATGGCTAACGTTGCTCTCTGTCTCCCTCAAACATTCTGTGGAGAAAGAGCAAGGCAGCACCCAACTCCTCGCCTGTCACTGCAATGTGTGAAACACCAGCAACTCATCACTGTGACTGACTAACCCCACAACCACTCTCACACTCACGCACATCGATACATTCCCATTCAAACCAAGGTCTCTATGCAGCTGCTGGTTATATAACAACGTACAAGTTACACAGTAAAGATTTAGAAAGAGTGAATATTCCAGAATGTCAAACGCGGAACAAATTGCAGTTGGGTATTAGCATTAAACACAGTGAGAGAGACAAGTTGGGACAGGAAACAGATACGTACATCACCATCTCGCCAATGGACACATTCAGGGGAGGAGATTGGCCAAAAAGATAGGTGTGCCGTGCCTGTGCCCTAGAGAGGCACACTCACAGTGAACTGAATAACTAGCAGTGGGAGGCCCCAATGGCTCAGTATTTAGAGAACCCCTGCTGAGAGGTGCATGAGGGGGGTCGGGTGAGACCAGGATCGGGATGTGATGGCCTCACCCTGCTGACGCTCACGTATTATTAACGGCTTGGGCGAGGTGCTGGAGGGAATCCGTGGAACTGTCCAAAAGCTGCAGGAGAGAAGACGCTAACATTGCAGAAACACCGGCAGTAAAAAGGAAATGGGGAACAGGGGAATATGAGGGGAAAGGGGGAAGAGGAAGGGGAATACGCGGGGGAGGGGGAAATAGGAGGGAAAACGGGGAATAGGAGGGAAAAGAGGAGGGGAAAGGGGGAATAGGAGGGGCTGAATAGGAGGGGGAAGAATAATAATCTTGCATTTGATATAGCGCCTCATCACGTTGTTGAGACGTCTCAAAGTGCTTAACAGAATATATTGTAAAGTAAATTGATCGTATTTTGTGGGCGAAACACGGCAGCCAATTGCACACAGCAATGTCGCACAAACAGTCACGGATTGGGTGACCGCATTTTTATTCTTTAGGAGGGGGAGGGGAAATAGGAGGGGGAAAAAGGAGGGGGTAATAGGAGGAAAAATGGGGAAGGGAATAGAAAGGAAAACGACAACAGCCTTAAATTGGGGAGATGGCTAAACCTCAATTTAACGTTTTAGCTCTTTCCCATTAGCACTCGCAATCCCCTTACTCAAAGGATATAGTGCTGGTGGTCATTTGAACACCTCATGTTCGTGTGGGTGAGTGGAACAAAGTGGTGAACTGCACCAGTCTTAGGCCTGAGAGGTGCACTCCATATGAACTGGAAAATCACTCCATTTCCAGTTCTGTCATTGCACACGCACATACACTCACTCAAAGCCAACGTAAGACAAACTTGACATGTGATGAGTCACGGCACAAACGGAGGACAGAACACAGGTTTGTAGGTTCTTATATACACGCACGTCAAAAAACGTGTCTCTCCAACAAGAAGACAGACAGTGTGCGGACACACAAGCAGATACCTGATATAAAAATCAAAATATAGACTTCTTTTCCTTGATGGAGCACAGAAAAAAAAAGATTTTTTTTAAAAAAAGCAAAATGTAGAATTACCTGAAAATACTCAGAATAAATTATAATAATCCTTGCATTTGATATGGAGCCTTATCACGCCTTCTAGACGTCACAAAGCACTTCACAGAATATAGTGTAAAGTGAATTTGTGGGCGAAACACGGCAACCAATTGCGCACAGCAGTCTCACAAAAGTCATAGTTTAAGTGACCAAAGTTATTATTTTTTTAAAGGAATTATTACCCCAGAAAAGCGATCCACCAATTGACTAACAACTGGCTTCCTACTTACTGCTAGATAAACAGAGGCATGTGGAGTAAGGAAACTTGCACAATGTTTTGCTCTACCCGGGAATCGAACCCAGGTCCTCTCACTTGCGAAGTGAGTGCTCCAACCACTAAGCTACAGGACTCAAGGTTAAAGGCAGCAAAACACAAGGAATATGTTCCTAGCACCCCAGCATGTTCCCAGCAGCTCAGCATGTTCCCAGCATGTTCCTTTTTAATAACTCTGACTGTCCAGCGCCTTGGGACGTCCTCCCGATGTGAAAGGCGCTTTACGAGTGTAATTTTGATGTTGTTCCCAGCATGTTTTGAGTGTGAACATGTTCAGCACGTCAACATGTCCTGAGCACATTCTGAGGCAACAAGTTACAACCACATTCTGAACAGTCTCCGAGCACACTCCGGTTCATGTCAACATGTTCCAAGCATGTTCTGAATGCGCTCTGAGCATGTTCTGAGCACGCTCCAAGTACACCAGCAATACGCCCAGTGGGGTAATGGGTTGCAAGCACAACAAACAGATTATGAACTCAGGACTGGGATCTTACCAGTCCACCAACACCACACACTCTTCCTGTAAACCCACACTCCATTGTGAGTTGGCTCCAGCTCCCCCCACCCCCACTACCTATCATTGCACAGTCCATATGGGTCCCAGATTCACTCCCTGTGTCAAAGGTCCAAGTCAAGTTTAGTTTTGGCTAAAACAAAGTTCCTTTAAATAAGTAGGCAACAAAGCCACTTACTGGGGTAAGTACTAAGTAACTTTTCATCAGAAAGGATAAAGGGTAATTTTAGCTGCCCCCAAGAGAGGTTACTGCAGCCCCAGCACCAATAACTTTTCAGACTGAGGGTTAAAGGACACTGTTAGCCCAGGGCTGGGCAGTCCCCACCTCACTGTTAGCCCAGGGCTGAGCAGTGCCCACCACACTGTTAGCCCAGGGCTGGACAGTGCCCACCTCACTGTTAGCCCAGGGCTGGACAGTGCCCACCACACTGTTAGCCCAGGGCTGGGCAGTCCCCACCTCACTGTTAGCCCAGGGCTGGGCAATGCCCACCACACTGCTAGCCCAGGGCTGAGCAGTGCCCACCACACTGTTAGCCCAGGGCTGAGCAGTGCCCACCACACTGTTAGCCCAGGGCTGGACAGTGCCCACCACACTGTTAGCCCAGGGCTGGACAGTGCCCACCACACTGTTAGCCCAGGGCTGGACAGTACCCACCACACTGTTAGCCCAGGGCTGGACAGTACCCACCACACTGTTAGCCCAGGGCTGGACAGTGCCCACCACACTGTTAGCCCAGGGCTGGGCAGTCCCCACCATACTGTTAGCCTAGTGATGGGTAGTGCCCACCACATTGTTAGCCCAGTGACAAGCAGGGCTGGCACAGTCTTCTTACAGGCTTACCTCTTTTGTTTGTAGGTCAACATGGCTTCAGATATTGGGAGCTGGTGGGACACATTTGCTCCAGCAACATACTGCATAACACGGGTAATAACGTCAAACACGTCTGCAGTGACAAAAAAAGCAATGAGAGTGGCAGAGAATAAACACCTGTCCACTCAACAACCTGGGCTCCCCCCCTTCTCCCCATACTCCATACCTCAGGCTCTATCCCCAACTCCCATCTCCCCGGACTCCCATCTCCCCGGACTCCCATCTCCCCGGACTCCCATCTCCCCGGACTCCCATCTCCCCGGACTCCCATCTCCCCGGACTCCCATCTCCCCGGACTCCCATCTCCTAGACTCCCATCTCCTAGACTCCCATCTCCTAGACTCCCATCTCCCCGGACTCCCATCTCCCCGGACTCCCATCTCCCCATCCACAACTACCAGCCCCAGGCTCCTGCCTTCCCCTGAACTCTGAGTAAGTACCTGCAGTGGGTGGCTCAGTCCTGCTAAACAGTTCTCTCCAGGCTGAGTCCATGAACGAGCTGTTGTACCGGTTGTCCACAGATGCCAAGTACTTAGCCAGAGGATGGGAGCCTGAGGAGGACAAGTTACCATTTAGTTCACAATCTCTCACTGTCTCAGGGGAGGTCAGAGGGACTAGTGGGGGCTCAGAAGGGCGGACTTAGAGGGTTGGGGAGCTCAGAGCCCCAATTGGCTGCGTAAAGCATTTTGAAGTATCCTCACGAAAGATGCTACGTAAATGTAAGTTGATGTCGCAAGTGTCATAAACAGAATTGTTTGATAAGCTTCTACTCATCTGTGAGTTGATGACTGGAGGGTTTACCAATTTAAGTTCATCAGCAAGAAGCAAAGGGAGAGGTTTGAAACTCGCTTTTATAGACAGGGTGTGCAATGTCACACCAAAAACACTGGTGTTCAAAATAGATAGGTTTTCAAAGGAAATTGGGTCAATATCCGAAAGAGAAAAATCTAAAAGGGTGCTGAGGACAGGTCTCATTCTGTGCTGTAAAATTCTGTGATTGATCAGACCCATGTAATAAAAAGAATCCCTGCATTGTGATATAGCGCCTTATCACGTCGTTGAGATGTCTCAAAGTGCTTCACAGAATATACTGCAAAATGAATTGACACTATATTTTGTGGGTAAAACATTGTAGCCAATTGCGCACAGCAATGTCCCACAAACAGTGGTGGACTGAGTGACCATTAATTTTTTTTAAAAAAATTTGAAGGGATTATTACCCCCCAGAAAGTGATCCGCCAATCAACTAACAACTGGGTTCCTACTTACTGCTAGGTAAACAGAGGCGTGTGGAGTAAGGAAACTTACCCAGAGGGACAATCAGAAAGCGGACATAGTTAAGCCAGTCGGGTGTCTTGTTTGCCAGCTGCTCAACAAAAAAGCGCAGGATGGTGCTGAGGTAGCACTGGTCTCCAGCCACGGCCACCTTCATCGGCGGAGGCATCTGCGAGTTACAGTTACAGCTGCAGGAGAGGAGTACGGGTCAGTACAGTTAACAGTGCATGGGTCAACATCATAACAATCCTTACATTTGATACAACATCTTTCGTGTCAGGAGAGTCTGTCAAAGAGTTTCACAGAATACATTGTAAAGTGTAGTGACTGTATTTTGTAAGCAAGTGCAGCAGCCAATATACGCACATCAATAAGCCACAAACAGCCATGAATGACTAAGTTTATCTGGGAAATTTTTGGCGAGGACACCAAGAGAAACTCACTTCTCTTTTCGAATAATGCCTTAGTGTCTTTAATGTTCACTGAACAGAGAGACAGGATCTCAGTTTAATGTCTCAACTGAAGGGTGGCAACTGAAGCATTGCATCGGAGTGTCAGTCTAGCCTATCAAGTTCCAAGTCCTGATATGGGTGTTCAACCTACAACCTTTTGATTTAGAGACCAAAGTGCAAACCACTCAGCCAAGCTGACATATTAATGATGATAATAATGTTGTATTTGATATAGCGCCTTTATGATATTGTTGAGAAGTCTCAAAGCACTTCACAGAATTTTACTGGGAAAAGTAGTGAATGTATTTGTAAGCAAGAAACACTGTGATATTTTTAAACCCGTTCCGTTCTGAGGAATGAGGTGAAAATACATTTGGAATTACCCCCACTCCAACGTCTGCCTGAGGTCCGGTCTTGGTTTCCCGCTCAGCAGGGCCGTGGGTGTCTGACCTGGGAGCAGGTATTCACAAGGCACTGTTGTCATTACACTATAAAGCTGCATTGAAAGGCCTCAGTTCCAGATCAAACAGGTACTAAAAAAATTAAGGAATGTTTGCCATTTGCCAATGCCATCTTTGTAGGCCACATCTGCCCGCGTGCAATGGCAAACAAACCCTCAACGGTCCAGTGCCTTGGTGCAATGGCAAACAAACCCTCAACGGTTCAGCGCCAACGGTCCTCCCGATGTGAAAGATGCTTCATAAATGCAATATGTTATTGTTGTTGTTTGAGCCGATGGTGCACTCAGGTTACCAGCAGAACGCAAGAGTCAGTTCTGATGGTCAGAAGCATCAGGTACTTACAATCTCTGGATGCGTGTGACTATGGTGTTAAAGGCAGCCAGCACGTCTGCTGCTGAGCACGTGCTAACCATTAGCTGGCTCTTCTCCTGTAGCCGGTCACACAGATACTGGAAGAGACAAAGTGATGATGAGTTACAATGGGGCCTGTTTGTGAGCTCTCTCCTCACCCAGGAGATAACACAAGGAAGTGGTGAAGACTGTCAGCAGATTGAACAGGCAATTTGATAGGTATTTGCTGAAGAGATTGTTTGTGCAGTGGGTGAGACAAAGGAGTGAAAAACTATTTATATTCTGGAATTGGCCATACACACCTGTGGCCATTTCCAGTCCTGTGCAACCCTTGTTCTTCCCCCGCCACACTCACCCGCTCCCCACACTCACACCCACCCCGGCCTGCCCTCTACCTCCGCTCACCCCACTCCTATTTACCGTCCCCCACCTCGCCCCTCACCTGTCCCTGCCAATCTGTGGTGTTCACCAGGATGATGCTCTCTGGCAGGTGTTCGTCTGATATTAAAATCTGGTTCAGTTGGTCGTACACTGACTTGCGCGGAGCCTGGTTGTGGGAGGGGGAGAAAGAAGACGTAAGATTTCATGTCACAAATACTCCATTGTTAAACACTCTGTACAGCAGGTGCAGCGCTTGCCGAAGGTTCTCCTAGTTAGGCGCAGTTGATTTGATGAATTAGTTCCTAGATTTTAACCTCAAAGCACAGTAATAAAAAGGTTCAATTTCAGTCAGTGCGCATCCCACCCACAGGTGCCAGGGACAAATCCCGAGTGCACCTACTGTCCTGCTCCCAGGGTTCCTGCTTTCATCCAACTACTGCACTGCCTAACCTGGATGTTGAGTCTGGAGTCGGGTGAGCATTCGTTGTCGAGGCTGTTGGCTCGGTCGCTCTGTGCCTTGGAATTCTGCCGATCTTTCAGTGAGGTGCTGCGAGGCCTCCGTGCCTGCTTACACTCCGATTTGCTGCACAGGCGAAAGGAAGGTCACATCAGCCAGGTTCTTGGGCAACCTCCGCTTTTAAATTAAACTTAAATAAAAAGGCAGCACTAAAGCACCGACAGAGCGGCATCCTGGCCACGTGCATATCATTTAGCTCAAAGGCTATTTACTATGACGTGCCCAGACACACACATGGTACACGGTAATGATATAAACGTTCAGACACGCTACGCAGATACAGAATACACACACACCACAAAACGATAGAGGGAATGCCATGCAGGAATGAATACCTGGGTGATACGATAACCTGCGACTCTGTCTTTGTGATTTTACCCAGTGGAGGCAACCTTTCAGGAGTTGTTTCCCAGATAGTGACATCTCCCAAACTTTCATCGTCATCCAAATCCTGTGAAGAATTGAGGTAAAAATGACCAACTGTCCTCTGCAGAGCGGAGAGGCTGGGGGACAAGGCTGCTCCTGAAATATGTATTGTTATATTTGTACTGACCAGCGAGATGGACTCGAGAACGGACTCCTCGGGATGGCCAGTGCTGGTCACCAACTTTTTCTCTGGGGGTGAGAATTCCTCCTGTAGGAATAGAAGCAGAGGTCATCTAACAATGACAGAACAAAATCCCAAACGGGAGCTGTAAATGCATGGGCTGTGGGGCTGCTATTATGTTACCAAAGAGCTCCCTACCAGGAGGCTCTATTTCCCCATAGGGAAGGGAGAGTTGGGCATTAGATTTCAGTTGCCTCGGCATGACGACAGAGGAGGAGCAGGTAAACAAGGGTCACTGGGCTGGTAATGTCAGGTGTGTGGTCAGGTGGCACACAGCAACACACTGACCAGGTTGGGGGGTCACACCGGGGGAGGGTCACACTGGCAGGGCGTCAGACTCACAGGGCTTGGGTGCTCCAGGTTATGGCTCTTCTGACTCCTCAAGCTGATGATCTCTGTCTGGGAGCTCGAATGTGACATGCCTTCGAAGTATGGCCTGAAACATCAGAATGCAACTCGCATCAATTCAGAATTAGTGAGTGAGAGGGATAGTGCCAGGCAGACCTCGGAGTTACAGTGAGTTGTGCATGGATGTCTTGGTCAGAAGGGTTTGGATGAAGATCACTTTCTCAGGGCAGTTGATTGGGTCACTGCTTGGGTTTCACATCAAGAATGGAATTTTAACAATTGCCATTTGGTACAACCCCTATCATGCTGAAAAAGCTCAAAAGCAATTCTTCATACAATAATTGCTGTCATTGAGTGTAGTGACTGTGTATTTTGCATCCAAACAAGGCAGCCAAATTGCACGCAGCAATATCCCACAAAAAAAGAAACAACCATGAAGTGCTGCCTGATTTTATCTGGGGGATGGTCGGCCAGGACACTTGGAGAGAGAAACTCCCTTCTCTTTTTCTAAAATGCCGTGAGATGTTTAATGTCCACCTGGACAGGTAGACAGGACCTCAGTTTAATGCCTCACCTGAAGGACTGGATCAATTGACAATGTCCCAGCACTACATTAGAGTGTCAGGCTAGAGTGCAAGCTCAAAGTCCAGACATAGGTTTTAACCTCTGATGCTGATGCTCTGAGTGGTAGTTTTGGCTCTGGGATGTAACACTCACTTCAGTTTGGGCTTCGGAGTGCTGAGGACACTCTCGTTGTCCTCCATTTCAGGGCCACTGTCGCTGGGATTGTAAACTTCCAGACTGTCGTACAACAGGTCCAGATCCTCCTCCACTTCCTGGGTCTGGTCCACGGGATCAGAATCGAGTACCTAGCACACAGACAATCAGCCATCAGCAATGTATAGCAATGTATAGCTAGAAACTTGACCTGACTCAGTTACAGTGAATCAGAGTGAGGGAGAATGGACAATGGTCAGATCTCTTGTTGGCATCTCTTTGCTCAGCCTGACACAACCTCCCAAAGTTGTTCATCATGGGCAGAAGTCTCCATTTTCAGGTCAGGTCAGGCCTTTTTGACCGCCTTCGGTCACCTCCCACCTCCTCCCGGCTCGGCGTCGAGCTCTGCCGCTGTTAAGTGCTCTGGGAGGCAGGCGCGCCATATAAATACAAGTTGTTGTTGTCTGTTTAAACATGGGGTTAGTACATTCGGCTGAAAGTAGCTCACTCTCTCCAATCTGACTCTCTGAAGCTAACAATATACCAGGTAAAAGAAAATTCAGATTTATATTGAACTCAGACAAATGACAAACCCGCTGAGTTTTTAAAACAACTCTTGCGCTTTCAGTATCCGAACAGACCCCAAATCTCCCAGCTCTCAACAGAGAAACACCAAGTCCCTGACCCACCTCATCTGTAACTTTGAACCTCTTCAGCAAGGCGACGAATTTTTGTTTAAAGTTCGGTTGCTAAATGTAGAAAGACAAAATAAATAAATTAAACTGACACAGAGACCACAACATTTCCACTCAGATGCAGTACTGGAGAGGGCCACTGCACCCTTGCGCAGAGGCAGAGCAATGCTCTGTACCCGGGCCACACTCTCCCATTGTATCGCAATGACATTACGACCTGCCGTTGGAATTTCAGTGATCAGAGGCTGCGAAATGAACCTGAAAATCAGGTCACTTTTGACACTGTTTTTTTACAGCGATTCCGCCAGTACCAAAGGACCTCTGACGTTAACTTGCAAATGTCTTCACGTTATCATGCTACTTATGCAATGATGTCAAGGAATAATGACATGCTCATAGCACTGCTGGGCCTATTCTCTCCACTGCAGCCGCTTTCACTGTTGAGTCAGATCTCCGTGTGCGAAGACAACAGGAGATCTGATTCAGAATCGGTTCTCAGTAAATCTGGAGCTAATAAATCACCAGTGGTGTTAAAGCTGCTTTGGTTGTTAGAAGCATGTCAGGGCTGGAGGCGAGCTCTATCCTGGCAGAGACTGCTGTGAGGTTTCTTGTCACTTGCTAATTACCCGGATCATTGACATGGTCCGCACCATCTTCCGCCGCGTCTTCTTAGGTTTTCTGACCTCGTCGTCTTCATCATATAAATCCTAATGAAAACACAACAAGATATTCTGTTGTTAAACAGTGGGGAGAGGCATGGGTGCGCACAGATGTGGGCACGTGCAGTTGTATGGCCACGGACATGTGCGGGCATGGGCACTTGTGGGCACAGACAAGGGTGTGTACAGGCACACATACAGGCGCATATATGCGTCAGTACATCAGTCTCCAAACCCCAGCAGTTACCGTATATTTTGATTCACGTACATATGTTTCTGTTCACATTTCTATTTGTCACACATATACAGCATGTGCCCGCAGATTTGGGCATGTGCTTGGAGGATACGTATGTATGCAAACTGGAACAAAATGATTAAAGCTCAGGGCTTAGCTACACTTAGTGGATCCATTTTATATTCAGACATCTTGTAATAATGGCAATTTGCTTATTGACTGCTTTCTGCACTTTCTTTGGAGGGTTGAAGGGGCTGGCAATGGAATATCAGAATTGAGTGGATCCTCTGTGGTGGTCTCAGTTGTCCGGTGGATTTGCAGTACTCTAAGACACACTGATGACAAACCAGCCAGAACTTGGAAGGGCTGACCAGCGACTGGAGCCAGGGAATCCTCCCACTCAGCTCCTGTTAACCCTGCAAGCCAAGACTCTTACCAGGTAGGTGGTCCTAGCTGGACAAGTTGCAAAGTTTGCCCGACAATGCTTTCAATGCCAAACTGTGCTATTTCGGCTGGTTAAACTCCAGCAGTTACCCCAAGGCACATCCTGGGGTGCCCAAAATGTGGCTCTTGCATAATATTTTGCAGGAATAAGTGAGCAGGATGCATTCCTCCAACATATGTGAAACTCTGTCTGGTTTAGAGACTCTTCAGTGTAATGATGGGTTTGTGCATGGAAGTGATAAAAAAAAGCATTCGCTTCATAACTGTCTGTCCGACCATTTCATTGACTTTTTTTTCTTCTACCAGTTAAAAGTTGTGCTCCAGTGGCAAAGAATCCCAGCTATGTGTTACCTAACTCTGTTTGCTAAATCTAGATCACTAAATATAGAATCTGGTTATTGTTTGTGTCAGCAAAGTGCGGGAACTGTCATTAGAATTTGTTGGATGATCCGGGAGATGTTCCTGAAAATCAGGCCACTTTGCTCCTCCTCTTCTCCCTCCCCGCTTACGTGGCTAACAGCAATCCCAAATATTCCTAATGGTTCATGCATGCGCATAGAGTGTCACTCAGTCATCTCAGAACAACTGCAAGGCGTGTCTCGATTGTTCAGATCTCATACATATGGATATCAGGATATCTGGAGAAAAAGTGCTAATGTAACAGTGAATAGGATCACCCCATCCTTTGCACATGCCTGAACTAATGGTGGCTGCTCAACCTCTTACCTGTCCTTGCACTGCATCATCGCTCGCTTCCTGCTCGGAGGAGAAGCTGTCGTCCTCCTCTTCCGAATAATTGTCAATATCTGGCGATCGATCTGAAAGGTAGAAAAAAAATTGCTTAAGAGATTGGCACCCTTAAGTCTCATGGCAACCAACAGTATTGGGAGACCATTGTAGCTCACATGGCCAGTCCACAAACTTTGTTTTGTGTACCCCTCAATTGATTCTCTGCCGAATATCCATCTAATTCAACTTGAATCTGCTGCCATCTGTCTCCACCAACTCTCTGAGTCATCCATTCTCCTCAGGCACCAGCTGCTCGCTCTGTAAAGTCATTCCACTTGGTCTGTCTGCTCATCTCCCATCTTCTGAGCTGGAGTCCATGCTCCCTTGTTGTAAATTGTGCTATTTTCACCCATTAGTATCAAATAATAATCTACTCACTCAATCCACGACTGTTTGTGGGACACTGCTGTGCTCAATTGGCTGCCGCGTTTCGTTCACAACATACACAGTCAATTCACTTTACAGAATATTCTGTGAAGCGCTTTGAGATGTCTCAAAGACGTAATAAGGAGGTATATCAAATGCAAGGATTATTATTAGTAGTAGCATCTTTGTACATCTATTATCCCAGTCCTCGGCAGGCTCCACTGGCTTCCTGTCTCTTAGTGGATCTATTTCAAGGTTCACAACCTTCACCTACGAATCCCTTCACATCCCCTACACTCTCCGTGCCATCATTGTTGAACAAGCTCTCCAAGCTTTTGGAACTCCCTTCTTCACATTGCTCCAGACTTCTGTAAACACTGTTCTACATGTGTCCACTGGAGGTGTCCAGTCATAATACCCTGTGAGGAAGCACCTCACCATTCCTCAACAGCCCCACATAAAGCAGAAATTCACTGAGCAGTAATAATCCTGAACATTATAAAGGGTTTCTCTCAAACCACAAACAAGCTGCCAATTATGACACCCTATTAAGGATGTTACAACCTGACCTGTGTAAGGTACAGACAGGATGGGCAAAGAAACTAAATGCACTGTACAGAGCTGCTGTTTTCGTGGATGAAGACGACTGTGGGGAGTCGCTGTTTAGCAGAGTGAGAGTCATTGTGTGTAACTGTATGGTGAAGGTTGTGTAACTGTAGAGGTTTGCACAGAACTAGAGTAAGGGGCCACTGTCAGGCTACCTGATGCCTTTGTCTTGGGCCCAGCTGGTACATTGCTCTCCTCGTGGTCGATGGGCTGACTGGAGAGAGAATAAATGCTGATCTCAGCCACTCGCAGAGACACATCCTTCAGATTGGAGTGGAGGCCGAGCACCTGTCCCCCTTCAGTAGGATGCTGCATCACCTGCGAACCCAAGAGACATGAATGTCTGGAGCAAAGCTTAAATCCTGGCCAGCCACGCACCCACCATCAATCCTGTTACATCACAGGATGAAGGTATAGTTATACTGTGTAACTGTACGGTCTCCCACACCCCCCGAATCCTGTGTGCAGTGCTGTACTGTGTCCCACACACACTAAATCATGCTTCCCAGTGCAGTACTGTGTAATAACAAAAAAACAAAATCCTTACATTTGATATAGCACCTTTCAAGTCGGGATGACATCTCAAAGCATTTCACATGATTTACTGTAAAGTAAATGACTATATTTTGTAGCAAACATAGTAGACAACATGCATAAAGTAATGTCCCACAAACAGTCATGGCTTAAACAACAATTTTATATTGGGGATTAAACCGACAATTTATATGGGGGATGGGGGCAGGGGTGGTGCTTGCCCCCCAGGGGCCCCATACAAAGGTTAATTCTGGGGCCCCTACCAGTGTTGCCAACAGATCCCTAGGCAACCAAACTTAGTGTGTGGATGTCCTGCCCGGTATGCAACTATTGGCTGGAGGGCAGTTGGTGTCGGCTGCCGTGAGGTGTCCATCACGCCGGGCGCCTCCCCCAGCAGGTTAGGTTGACGGGGAGGTGATTTCAATGGGTATTCACGATGGCAGGGTACCCCCTCGCTGTTTCAGGGGCCCATGCAATTGCATATGGGTTGCATATGCCTAACGCCAGTGGAGATGGGACACTAGGAGAGGTTCCCTTCTCTTTTCGAATACCGCCATGGAATCTTTAACATCCACCTGAGCAGGCAGACAGAACTTCGGTTTAACGTCTCATCTGAATGATGCCACCTTCAACAATGCAGAGCTCCCCCAATACTGTATGTGAATGTCAGCTTAACCTATACAAGTTCCAATGTAGGTTTGAACCCAGAACTTTCAGACTCAGAGGCATGAGTGCTTCAATTGGGCCAAGTTGTCACCTGTCTGTGTGAATTAAAAAAGCTACAACATGTTGGAGCTTTTGAGTTCACAGTCTAGACTGTCACTAGTGCAGTGTACCTCCAGCAATGCAGCCTTTACTCAGTGCTGTACCAGACTGTCAGCCTACATTGTGAGCTCAAAGTTGCAGCTCGAGTTCAAGTCCTGTGGGAATAGAAACACAATCTTCTGTTACAGAAGATTTGACTGAGCCCAAACTTTACACTGAACAGACAGAGCAACGAGGGCTAAATTTGGCTAAATTCTGTGGTTGGTGTTCGATTTTCCACGTGCGAACACTTGTGGCTTACCTCAGCCATATCAATGACCCCCACTGCTAGGGTCTTGTAGCCCAGGATGGTACGGTTTTTGTACCGCTTTCTCCGTTGTAACATTATCTGTAGCTTATTAGCGTCTCTCTTCAAGAAGTGGGGATACTGTGGGGGGAAGAAGAGCAAACCCCTTCAAAGATAGCATCAGTGCGCAATCATCTCTCACACCCTACACCTGGGACACAGACTGACTGTCAGACCCCTCTCTTTGACCCTCATAATGGTGATAATGACTGCACCAGCAATGCTACATTCTCTATCAGTCACACCCGAGGTCCAGCTCTGTCTCAGCCACTGGCAGATTTATGTTTTTAATTTGCTCCACTAGATAGTGGTTAGTACATTAATTGATAGCCAGCAAGCCGTGATGAAGAAAGAAAGATGGGGAGGGGTAACAGGAGCCTGCCCTGACTGGGGAGAGACAGGGAGAGAGAGAGACAGACAGGGAGAGAGAGCGAGACAGAGAGAGAGAGAAAAAAAGGATAGAGACATATGTAGAAGATTATCAGGAGTCTGCTCACTACACTTCATTGTGTGAAGACTTTGGAGACATTAGGAGGTTCTGAGTAGGACGAAACATTAATAATCCTTGAATGTGATAAAGCACTACATCCTGTGAAGTGACTGTGTATTTTGTGGGCAAAACGCGGCAGTAGTTTTGCACAGTAGTGTGCCATAAACAGCCATGGAGTCAGTGTCCAAATTTTATTTGGGGATTGTTGGCCAGGACACTGGGAAAGAGAAACTCCCTTCTGTTTCCATGGAATCTTTAACATCCACCTGAAAAGGCAGGCGGGACATTGGTTTAACGTGTGATTCTAAGTCCCAACGTGGAGCTTGAACTCACAACCTTCTGACGCAAAGGTGAGAGCGCTACCGCTGAGCCCAATTAGATAGTAAAACACATCCACACAATAACTACCTGCAAGGAAAAGGTCAGCTCCAAGTCAGTTTCCATCAGGCCTCCTGGCGGAAGAAGATATTCATTTGATCTGAGGATTCGCTTTGAACCCTGCAACACATGGCAAGGAAAACAAGCTTCAACACTTCATGTGACCCCAGCCCCAACAGTGCTGCTTACATACACACATATCACACTGCACAGTCACATCAAGGCAGCTTTAAAGAGTTTAGATGACTGGGAGGCATTAGTGACTGAGCATGACAGTCTGAGGGAGCTGGAGGAACATCAGTAGTGATTCAGTCAATAAAATGGGGCTCTGGCTGGTGGGCATTATTGAGAAGTGGAGGGAGGAACAGTAGTGAGTTGCTCAGTTATAGAGGATGGAAAACCTGGATGTAGTCAGTTATAAGGAAAATGTGCACTGCTTCAAATTTAATTATAGGCACAAAAATGAACTGTCATTATTGGTTGCATTGCCCTGTGCACATCATGCTCCCATATCATCTGCAGAGTGCGGCAACTCCTTTGCAGACCTCAGTTTGTCTATTCTCCAGTCTCACAGTCGTGTAAGTGCCAGTGGGACAACATTCACAGTGCATCCCACTACTCATGCCCGGTAGTGAAATACTGTGTCTGCATCCTAGACACCTAGTCACAGTGAGGGCTCCTCTCCTAGTGAGACAACAGTCACAGTGAGGGCTCCTCTCCTAGTGAGACACCAGTCACAGTGAGGGCTCCTCTCCTAGTGAGACACCAGTCACAGTGAGGGCTCCTCTCCTAGTGAGACACCAGTCACAGTGAGGGCTCCTCTCCTAGTGAGACACCAGTCACAGTGAGCACTCTTCCCCTCGTGAGACACCAGTCCCAGTGAGGGCTCCTCTCCTAGTGAGACACCAGTCAGAGTGAGGGCTCCTCTCCTAGTGAGACACCAGTCAGAGTGAGGGCTCCTCTCCTAGTGAGACATCAGTCACAGTGAAGACTCCTCTCCTAGTAAGACACCAGTTACAGTGAGCGCTCCTCTCCTAGTGAGACACTAGTCAGAGTGAGGGCTCCTCTCCTAGTGAGACATCAGTCACAGTGAGGGCTCCTCTCCTAGTGAGACACCAGTTACAGTGAGCGCTCCTCTCCTAGTGAGACACCAGTCACCGTGAGAGCATCACCATCCACCGTTGCACACTCCACCTTACTAAGCCAGTCTGGAACCTTGGCATCTCAACTATCCTTTCTACCCCACATCCGTGCCATGACTTGCTCTGCCTTCCCCCACCTCTGCAACATTGCCTGGTTCCGACACTGACTCATACCACAAGCCACCGAAACTCTCATACACGCATTCATTACATCGAGGCTTGACTATGCAAACTCCTTGCTTGTCGGAATCCCCACCTCCTCCCTACTTAGGCTGCAGATCATCTAGAACTCTGCAGCCTGTGCCCTCTCTCTCACCAGGCTTGGTGACCCTATCAGCCCCAGTCTCCCCTAACTCCACTGCTGTATCCTCACACAGAGGATACAGTTCAAGATCCTGGTCCTCACCTTCAAAGGCCTCATGGTCTTGCTCCCCCCCTACCTCTGCGACCTCCTAAACTCCTACCATCCTGCCCGCTCCCTCCACACAGCGGGCTCCGGCCTGCTTCACGTCCCCCTGCCTCGCCCACCACACCATTGGCGGACATGCCTTCTGCCACTCTGCCCCCACCCTTTGGAACTCCATCTCACAGTCCCTCCGACTCGCCCCCTCCCTTGCCTCCTTCAAGACCCATCTCAAGACTTTCCTCTTCGACAGTGCTTTCTACCAACTTGCTTCCCCTCCCAGTCCTCCATCCTCCCCAATCCCAACCCCCGGCTCGGGTCCGAAACCAGCGCCTGAGGACATCCTCCTGACATGATAGATGCTATACAAATGTAATTTTGTTGTTGTTGTTGGGGGTTCCTCTCCTAGTGAGATACCCTATCACAGTGAGGGCCCTTCTCCTGGTGAGACACCAGTCACAGTGAGGGCTCCTCTCCTAGTGAGACACCCTATCAAGGTGAGGGCTCCTCTCCTAGTGAGTCACCAGTCACAGTGAGGGGTCGGGAAGGCAGGCCTGGAACGAGAGGCTGGGTGGGTAGGCTGGCGAAGCAAGGGTTGGGTAAGCAGGCTGGGAAGTGACTGGTTAGCCTATTCCTTCTCTGGGCAGTTTAATATGTTGAGTCTTTAAGTGGGTGTTTTCAGAGCTGTTGATGTTCATCATTGAGACTAACCCCGCTGTGTGCAGGCTCAGGAGCTGCTATTTGAAATATTAACAAAAGAATTAATTAAACCACAAGCCTGGTGCTCAAGTGGTAATTCAAACAGAGAGAGCAAGACCGAGAGAGAGTGAGGGTATGAGAGAGAGAGAACACAAGAGAGAGAGAGAGAGAACACAAGAGAGAGAGAGAGAGAGAGAGAAGAGAATATTACTTAGAATAACTAAAGGAATTGACAGATTAGACTGTGGATGGCTCTTTCCTTTGATACAGATATCCATTACAAGAGGTACAGCCTTAAACAGAATCTAGACAGGTAGAACTGAGGTCAGGAAGCATTTTTTCACACAGACGGTTGTGTAGATGTGGAATTCTCTGCCCCAGAAAGTTGCAGACACTATTGATCATGAAAGACCATCGGCAGGACATAGAGAAGACCAGTCACTGGGAGCAAGGGTTTTTCCCATTCAGCTCTTGTTAACCCTAAAAACCAAACCCCAGCTGAATAAGCAATAGGAAGATTAGCAGATACTTTAACAATGGCAAGCTATGTGGTTTTAGCTGTTTAAACTCCAGCAGTTACCCTCTGGGGTGCACACTCTTGCCTTGGCTCTTGCCAAACTGCCAACACTCTCCTGAATTAGGTACGCAGGATACATCCTTCCAGGGAGAGTACACATTCCGTGGTTCACAAAGGGAAATTTTCATGCATAGGTGGCAATCAGATGTTGTTCTCTGTCTGGTTTTGGGTAATAATAATTATTGCGTTTGATATAGCGCTTTTCACGTCTTCTAGATGTCTCAAAGGACTTCACAGAATATCCTGTAAAGTGAATTGACTGTACATTTGTGGGCGAAACACAGCAGCCAATTGCGCAAAGCAGAGTCCCACAAACAGTCATGGATTGAGTGACCAAATTACTATTGTTTTTTCTTCTTGAGGGATTATTATCAGGCGTGCGGAGTAAGGAAACTTGCCCAACGTTTTGCCCTGCCGGGAATCGAACCCAGGAATAAGGGACCAGAATTAATGGTACAGATGTAAACAGCTTAGCGGTGGTTAAGAACAATTGTTGTCACGTTAGTGATTTTGCCACTAGATCTAGCAACTTTTTACATCTTTGGAGATTTTTTAAGCTTTGCTGTAGTGATTTTGCTACTAGATCTAATAACTTTTTAAGCTCTGCTGTGTCAAGTTGCAAAACTGTGACCTTTAATGAAATCTGGTGACTTTTTGTAATCTGCCTCACGTTCCCCCCTGGCAATAGCTAGTTGGCCTGTGGGGAAAGCGAGATAGAGAGACAGAAAGGGAGGGAGCGCTTGCTGGCCGGGCCATCCGTCTGTCTTCGTGGCTGTTCATGAGAGCTGTAGTCTGGCTGCCGTATCCGCGAGTAGAGATCCCAACCCGGGCTCGAACTACGAGGACCAGCATGCGATACGCGGGTTAGGGATAGGGTGTGCCCTAGCACAAATCAGCCTAGTACATTGTTGTTTACAGGATCAGCTGCTAAATGATGCCATCACCTGAGAGGTCTTTATTAATGTTAAACTCACATAGGTACTGCCCGTATCTGCCTCCCTCCACGGTAACACCTCCACCATGTACAGTGCAGGTATGGCATGCAGACTGGACATACCGTCCTTGAATTCCAAACATATTTGCACCTTGTAACTGCACACAAGGAGAACATGCTACCTTCCAAGCGGCCCACCTGTCTATTTGCTTCAAATCTATTGGGTTCTTATAAATCATCTGACAAGAAACAGTTGCCAGGTAAGCAACTGTTAGCAACCTGTTAGCAACAGGTTGGCAGAGTGTACCTGCCCCAAGCACAGCACAGCACAATCGACACATCACATCCCACAGCAGCTTCGGTGCAAAGGGCGAAATGTTCACCTGGATTTTAACTGCAATCACGACGGAGTTCAGGTCTTTGTCGAGCTCTTTCAGTACAGTAAGCTTCTTTAGCGTCAAGCTACACAACCTGAGAAGAGATGAAGAGGAATTAATTGTAATTATGTTCCAAATTCTTCAGGCTTTTCTATTGAGACCAATTTCAGTGCAGAGAAAGATATGATGGGGTAATTAATTTGTCGCTTATGGCTGAGAGTGCAGATGGCAGTGAAAGAACACAGAGATCACAATAACTCTTTTCAGCTCACAAGCAACAGAGCTACTAAGAGTGAACACTGCAACTCTTTGGCTTACACAACCACGTAGCCCCGTAGCCAGTCCTTTTGCTTCACAAGCAAGTGACTGCAACCTGATTGACTGCCTTTGGAATTTACAGCTGAGAGTCCAGCAAATCCTTTAAAAGGGAATTGGATAGATGATTGGAGGAATATTAACAGGTTGAACATGGAGAATAAGCAGGAGAGTGGGATTACACTGGCTGAAATCCACCAGCAAGGGTTCGATGGGCTAAGTGGTGCTTATGTGCTTTCTGCTGTGAAATGTGGATTTGCGGATTCTTTACACACCAACTTCAGAAGCTCATGTTAGATACTGAAACAAGTCATGGAGCTCACAGGGATAAATGGCTGCCCTGTTCCCCTCCTCTGCACATGGAATTGTAATATAGAGGACAGTATCAGTTCCCAGATGAGCATCATGGAGTGCATTTGGCAAGTTACAAAATTAATGTCAAACTATTTTCTAAAACAGATGCTCGCCAGATCTAGATCCACGTACAATAGGTATCCTGCAGTTTGTAGAAGTCACCCACTGATCTACTCACTTTGATGCTTTGGAGAATCTTTGTTGCTTACAAGTGAGTTTGGGAGGAATGTATCAAAAATGAACAATAGTAGAAGCATTACATGAAATGCCATATATTACAGCCATACACCAGCCCATCAATATTTCAGAAACTCTCAACACTTCAATGTCATCACCAACCCTCCTCCATTCTGAAAGCCAGCACCAACAGCTGAATCACTGATCATCATACTGTCTATTATTTCAAAAGCTTCTGTCCTCTCTGTGATGTTGCTTACAAAGTGTTTTCCTCTCAGAGAGATCATTTAGAATGAAACACGAATGCTGATTGAATGTGGCAGAAGCCAGAAATTGTTCAATGTTAAATGATGTTGAGATTGGGATTGAGCTCTAAGTATGACGAGGCTGCTTCTGGTGTTAATGCTTCCTGTTAAAGTAAATCCTTTAACCCACTGCTGTCACTCTGGCCTGTCCATTACTGTGTGCAGCACAAGAAGAATAAAATTACATTTGTATAGTGATTTCACGTTGGGAGGACATCCCAAGGCGTTGGACAATCAATGTTTCGGACTCGAGCTGGGGATCAGGATCGGGGAGGGTGGAGGGCAGGGGGGGGATGGGGGAAAAGAACAACAACAACAAAATTACATTTGTATCGCTCCTTTTACGTCGGGAGAAGGATGACCGAATAGTGCTGAAATGTTACTTCCTGTGAATTAGCGTTTGCCAGTGAAACACAGAATGCCATCAACCAACACAGCTTCAGAATATGATGTTTGATTCTTTTTCTGGATGAAACAGGAGCCTTTAGGACATAGAGCGGACTCTGTACACCAACAGCAGAATGGTCACAGCCGGGCAGGGACTGCAGCGACATGAGCCCTTAAAGAAGCCAAATAACTGCAGCACTCACCGTTCCAGGCGATGACTTATTCCTTCACTTTACGCCGTATAGAGAGAAACTAAAATGTCACTGCTATTTTTAAACAGACTGGCCTCATTTAACTGTAACATGAGTTTGGGCAGTAATGAACTTATGATGGTATAAAAGTGGGGCTGCCTAAAGCTTCAGCCAGCAAGCGATACACAAACCTCTGACTCTAGGTCAACCAACGAAGCCCAATTTCTGAACAGCTTCCTCCTGACAGAGCTGGGTTCACGCAAAATTTAAAGTGGTTACAGCCATCTGGTTGAACAGTTAGTGATCAGATAGATACAGATCAGATAGATAGGTAGATACACCCCTCACTGTTAACACAGGGGAACAGTTAGTGATCGCACTACACATTATAATACTCACCAATACCATTCTAGTAAGTGCATTTTAGGAGCGCTGGTCACAAGAACATAATTTGCTCTACTCCTCCCTTGCTCCGTGTACAACTCAGTCTCTGAAGCATCCCAAGATGTTAATCAATGTGAAGGTGTCAGCCTGGCTCAGTAGATAGCACTATTGCTTCTGAGTCATACAGTTGTGAGTTCAAACTCCAATACAAAATTATAAATCCTCAGACGTGGCTCACAATCCAAATCAATGTTGGGTAGCGTTGCATTATTGGAGTTGCCGATGAGACACTAAACCGAAGGCCCATCTGCCTGTTCAGGTGGATGTTAAAGATCTTATGAAAATAGAAGGGGGTTTCTCCTCTTGTCCTGGTGAATATTTCCCGATAAAATTGGTCATTCATTTAATGTTTGATTGTGGGCCATTGTTATGCATAAATTGGCTGCCATGTTGCCTAATATATAGTCACTACGCTTCATAGTAAAAGCTTATGAAGCGCTTTCAGACATCCTCCTAACTGAGAGGGCATCAATTACAAGGATTATTATTATGGCGCTATATAAATACAAGTTGTTTTAACTTACAAGTAATATCCCAAGCAGTAACCTAGGGTTTAATTCGCTTGGTTGGCAGCAGCTTCAAACTGAATGAGCCGTTCAGTGACTAATCACTAACCACATCCTAACTCATCTCTTCTCCCCCGATGCTCACGGATGCCCTTCATTGGGTAGTTTTGTGTTGCAGCCGTGCACATGTCTGCATCAAACTAATCAGCCATTCCTTGGCCTCTCAGGAACCAGACCCTTTGCAGTGTGGTTCATCTTCTCATATTGATCACCTGGTCAAACAGCTGGCCTATCCTCAGCAAATATTTACCTTTAATACCAGAAATACAATAAACCCTTCAACTTATCCCCACCATGTCACCAATGGTTACACAAACCCTTCAATTGATCCCCACACGTCATTATTGCAAATAATGATAATAATCCTTGCATTTGATACAGTGCCTTATTGCATAAACTAGATGTTTCAAAGTGCTTCATAAGATTTTACTGTAAACTGTAGGTGAACACAGCAGCCAATTTGGGCACAGCAATTCCCTCAAAGAAAAATACTTGTTATATAATCTTTAATAAAGGGATGCTGATGAAGTTGAGCTCATTATAAATGAGTTGAGGCCGTCATGCAATAATAATACCTGCATTTGATTTAGTGCCTTATCACGTCTTCAAGACATCTCAAGGTGCTTCACAGAATATACTGTAAAGTGAATTGACAATTGACTGTCAAATGGCCGCAGTTTTCGGCCAGTGCTATTTGAGCTGCCCAGCCTGTAAAGTAAGTTTTTCCCTGGTGAAGGAGTTTACTTTAACCATGTTACTATGAAATGTGTTGTCCAGCTGTTAGATTTACAGCAAGCACACAATTTTGTGTTGATTCTTTCATTTGCAAGGTGGACACCTCTAACCACACGTTGAAGCATTTGCTTCTCCACTTGTCCTGACAGTAGACAGGGCTCTTCGGAGGAAGCAGGAATTGGTGTATTACATGAAAGTAACTAGAGAACATACTAGTGCATTGCTTAGTAAAACTTTAAAATGACTGAAAACATATTAGCCAGCCTGCCAGGAATATAACAAGTGTCCATCACGCCAGCAATCCTCAGCACTCCTACCAGCAGCATTTAGGCCAGTATAGCAAGTCCTTCAGGATATTAAAAAAACGCTGGAAGTGTGTCCTTTTGTTCAAATTAACTCAAGTCTACGTCATAGTGCTGACATACTCAGTCAACTAGGTGCCAGAGCTTGAATTAAACTGTTAACTGCACGAGTGTGAGCGCTCTGGCTTCAATGTGCTTTTTCCCTCTCTACTTTTCCAACCCACGCAGTTTCTCGCATTTAACTCCCACCTCAGAGAAGCTGCTAATGGTTGCACCATTTTCCATACCAGCCACCCTCAAAAGCATGTCAATGCCAACCAACTATTGATGAAGCATGGCTGGTTGGGGCAGTTACTTATGCCTAGAGGGAACGCGGACACTGGCAGGTAAGGTTCAAAGTGAAACGTGTGAAATGGGCAGAGAAGAAATTTGTGTCATGGAATTTGCCTGAAAATTGTCCACTCCCTCCGGCTGATTAATGTCCTCTGCCCTCTCCGCCCCACCATTGATGGACAATCAGCCATTCTTCCCCCTCTCTGGAACTCCATCCTAAATTACTCTAACTTACCCCTTCCTCTCTATTTTTTTTAATTTGCCTTAACACTTACTCTTAGACCGCATTTCCAGTTATCTAACGTTCCACCTCCGTCCCCAGCTTGGGTATCCAGCTAACTGTGTAAAGCGCTTTGTGATGTCCTCCTGTCTTGAAAGGTGCAATAAAAATGTAAATTTCTAAAACACTTATTTGTCCGAAGAACAGCATCTCCATGCAGCGCTCCCCCAATATCTCGCTGGAGTATCAGCCAAAACTGGGTGTGGTATCACAGGCAGAAATGTGGTGCTCGATTCCGCAGGGCAGTCATTTATTTTTGTGAGTTATAGTTGCATCATCTCCCAATTCTGATATAAAAATAAAACAAATCTAATCTAGAAAACGTCTCTTTATTCCGCCTTTGAGTGTTTCCCTCCTGACAATTGTTTAATAATTGTCACAGGTCAGTGTGCTCCATTACACCTAGCTCCAAAAGCAGCATTTGTGCAATTTTCAATACTCCCATTTCACGGTAAAATAGCAAAAGGGAATAATCCTTGCATTTGATATTGCACACAAACCGTCAAAGCTTTTCACAGAATATACTGTAAAGTGAATTGAATGTATGTTTTGTGGGCCATATATAAATATAAAATATATTTTATATATATTTTATATATTTAGTTTATATATGTTTATTTGTATATTTTATCTACATTATACAAAATATATTTTATATTTAGGGAAATCTCTCTTAGCAAGTTGCAGAGTGGTTTTATTGGCATTCAGAAGATTACAACCAATGAGGGTTAGACACCGCAGATTGATGTAGAATACAATATTGCTAACTGGAATTACTGCAGTAAGGAAAACCTTACAACCCTTCGCTGAGTGGCAAATGTAAACAGTTCCGCTTCCAGAGCTCGGCAAATGTCCCAGCGCTGCAATTCCAGGACAAGCCTCATTAACTAAATGCAATAATTTGGCTCTGAAGCCAGTCAGATAGAGAGAAAAAACTCACTTTTATTGAGTTAATCAAAACAATCTGTGCTTCACATCAGGAAGTTTGAGCATAGCCAACACAAAGCTGCTGCTATTATTGGTGCTGCTGGATGAGCGGGAATCCGCCAGCCCATACCACTTTACAACTCCAGAGATTATAACAAAAGTAGGAATTTAAGTATCCCTAAAAGACATCCCAATTCTGGTGTAATGGATGTAACATCAAATGCTACAGAAATGCTTCATACAAAAGTGCATCTTGACTCAATTCACACTCTTGTTGGTGGTACACTAAATACTGGTCACAAGTCCCTTACCTCCTGCTCACACTCGGTGCTGCTGGCACTGCCTAATGGCCTGTGACCAGCGCTGAGTGTCTCCAGCTCACACTCTTCATACACTACTATTTAGTGGGTTTTGTTCTTTGCTTTTGGAAACTTGAAGAGAATTCTGTAGAAGATAGCTCACAGTTTATGTTGACACTCCAGCGTAGTAGGGGAAGCAGTGGGAGGAAAAAGCACTGCAGTCAGAATGTGAAAAGGCAGTATATAAACACGCAACTGCAGAGGGAATACACCCACCTCAATGTGCAAAGGGGAGGGGCGCCTATCAGTCAGTGACAGCTCCACTTTATAACGAGTTTTCCTAAATTCTCAATCAGCTTGCAGAACCAAATTAAACACCTCCAAAATAATGCAGTATAAAAAGTCTTTGAAGTGTGAACTGGGCTTACAAAGCCTGTGATCAGTGGGTGAGCTGGATGTGTGAAGTCTGTGAGCATCACTGGGTGTGAGCTGGTGAAATTGAACAACTCAAATCTCTCTAAGTGCCAACAGGTACTCCAGCAATCACTCTCTGTACTGTTGTAAACTTAGTCCTTCCAATAGGCTGCTCACTGCTAATAGAATCAAATGAGAAGACTCTCGCCATTCTGTGCACTCGTATCGAGTTACTCCTAACTCTGGGCTGGGCCACTGCTATTCCATGTGCAGAGAACGAGGACTCCAAAAACTAATCAGAGCAATTTATCATGTTGTAAAAAGGATATAGTTAGTCATGAGACATCTCGACGATGTCATAAGGTGCTATATCAAATGCAAGGATTATTATTATTAATCAGAAAAGGCATCATCCTCGTCTCCAAACAGGCAGTAACCGATCAGGTATAACAGTTTAATCCTTACAGCAAACGATAGTGGGCCAGTGACCTGTGCACGGGTCATTGATATGTTTAGGATAAGTGATAGCAGGGAAAGGTTTACAGCCAGGTTGGGTCAGTTACGTCAGCTGAGTTAGAGGTATTCCACAACAAATCTAAAACTTAGCCTAGAAAGCACAACCTATTGCAGTAACCGCCCCTGCCATCCAAAGCATCACATCATGCAGTGGAGAGAAGTTAGACAATGCCCAGTAGGACATTAATTTAACACGATCCCAAAACTGACACAGAAAGTAAGCAAAAAAACTTTTCCTAGTCGGTGACAGAAATGTAGAATTCTTTGCCACCAACAGTGGCAGAGGCTGTCGATTCTTTTAAGAGGGAATTAGGTCAATGTTTGATGAGAAGGAATATTAAAGGGTTTGGGGAGTGAGTGGGATTAGATTAGGTGAAGACCAACTCCAGCACAGACTCGATGAGCCGAATGACCTGTTTCTATACTGGAACATTCTATGATTGTATTCTGTGAACTCATGCAGGATTTTGAAGCAAACTCACACAAACTGGGAAACACGGGAGTTCTTACAGTGTTGACCTGACCCATCTTTTGAAAAAGATCCCTATACTCATCCCAGAGGCNAAAAAAATCAAAAGACCTCATTCTCACATACTGGGGCATGACCTAGTGCAGTTTTCAAATGTAAAGAAGCCCAAACAAAAAAAGGTTTCTCCATTCAACGAGGAGACATATTTACTGCACTCTAATCCCAGCCCAGCACATAATAATAATAATAATACTTGCATTTGATATAGCACCTTCATATTGGGAGCATGTCTCAAATCACTTCACAGGATATACTGTAAAGTGAAGTCACTATTTTTGGGGGTGAATGTGGCAACCAATTTGTGTACAGCAATACTGACAAGCAGACATGCCAACCAATAGCCCAAGTTTGCCATTTTTAAAAAGTTTCAATTTCAATTTTATTACCTGGTTACTTTAACTTTCAAACCGATTTTTGAAAAACACAATAAGCTCCCTACTACTCTTAAATAGCAGCCAACAGAATGTAAGTGAGGAAAAGACAACAAGCACAAAGCATTGCCAAGCTCTGTAAGGCAGTTTGTCACAGAGTTTTGGATGGCACAGAGAATCTGTTGAAAGGAGCAGAGAGAGATTGTCAGCCTGATGCATTCCATCTCTCACCACAGGACATTTTGCTCAATGAGTTGCTGAGGGCAATTGTAAAGCAACAATGCGTGTCCCATTGATAGGAAGATGGGGGAAAAGGTAGAGCCCAAAAATATTTTTTTTTAATTTGATTTAGCCATTTATACACAGCATAAAACCTTGCAGCATTTCTCCCAGTTTGAATTTGATGGTCAAGGTTGTAATTG